GCACTAGATCATTCGAGCTAGCTTGACGCAGTCTCAACTAGCCCGAACCAGTAGTTTACCAGACAATGTCTTTCGGACGTGCCTTAATGTCGAACCCTGCTTTAAGCCATATAAAAAACTAACGTTTGGGACACAAACTGGGTATCAATTCGTAGAATCACCCATATACTGCGTTAATAAGGGTTCTATACTTTCCACACGGCAACAATTAAAAAACGCTCAATACAACACTAATTGATAGAAATTAAGCGTGAAAATAATGTTTTAATAAGAACAATACAGATACGAATAGATAGGTGAACATTACCTGTCTTGTGAGTGAAAGTTATATATTTACTGAATTTTCAAGTTGTATGGAATCGAATTTCCCCGGTTTCAAATTATTCTGTAAATAAATGAAAAAAAAATGGCTTCGTACAGATTTCTGTTAAATCCTAAAATGTGGCGATCTTAACAATACTTTAAGAGATGTTTGGAAAAAATAGATATTTTCCATTGATATGGTTCAGTTTGCACATTTCCTTGCTGTCTGCGTACGGGATATATGGTAGCAGGAAATCGTTAATTTGCATTTTTCCTGAAATTATTGGTCATGTTTGAGATGTACAGGTGTAGCAGATTGGTTATGAAAAATACATCACTACAGGTACATGTATTTATAAACTAAATAACAACAGAGACGTATATATGTCTCTGATAACAATTACATTAATAGTAAAGAGATGAAATTTGTGTATATCAAAAATTTTCTCTGATTTCTGACGTGATTGTCATGGTTACCTACTGAAAAAATGCTAAAAATGCAAAAATACTGTTGATTCCATCCTAATACTACAACTTTCTAAAATAAATTTAATTCTAAGCACCTATCTTATAATCAATAACATTATTGCAGTAACAAAGTACTTACATTTCAGCAAATTCCAACTAGGAAATCCTTATTAATATGACCACATTAAAACACTATGAAAATTTCACTTCCGGTAGAGCTAGTTTTTGATACGTAGACACAGATTCGAGACTTACGCTAAATATTATCCTGAAAAATATTAAACCCTGCGTTTCCACTTTAACATGACAAGACCAATTTTAGCAAGTTTTTATTTTTTTAATTTTTATTGAAACCTTTATAATGGGATAATTTAATGAAAAAAAAAAATCACTCATGGCCATGGTAGAATTGACTTTACAGCATGCGCAATGAGGCTTGTGCCAAGTGGAAATCCGGTGGAGCTAGATAAAGTTCATAGAGCTTGCCAAGATATCTTTGTTTTGGGGTATATTTCAGCTCGACGATATATTTTGTAAGAAATTTAAGTCTAGTATTATAACGAGAGGACCTGTCACTGATGTTAAGATCTATACACACAGTACTTAAACTATATGTATACTCATCTGACCATTGCTAGAACACCACACATTTTCGTCGCTGTTTTAATCTGAATACAAATGCTTGTAGTGTTAATGTCATGAACGTTTCAGCTTTTTCAAATTAGCATGCGATTAATCTCTTCTCCTAGTCAACTTTCAGAATATCAGAACTAAAAGTATTAAAGGGTTTTGGCCACGATTTCTCATAATGCGCCATATTTCAGTCTAAATTGACGCCATAACGTATGCATTCTATATTATCACGCCTGGCACACTGATGACTTACAAAGCTGACCCGTCCCATGGCCATGGTGAATATGCATATGTTTAATGCAAAACAAGGTTACCTGGTATGTGACAAAGTATTACCTCGGTGATAGTGATATTCATTTTACCTTACAATACAATACTAAACAGGTGAGGCCTGTGTAACAGAGGTCATTATTTATTTCAATGCCTCCGCTAGGAATCGAACCCGAGACTCCTGACGTACTAGTCTGACGCTCAACCAATCGAGCTAAAGAGAAGTTCTCTCTAGCCGAGAGGTATATTGCGGCTAGTAATTTAACAGGGTTAAACCTGTACTCATTTACAAACCTACCATCGTTTATAGTTATTGTTTACATAATGATGTGTGACAGCGAAAAATGGTATATTTTTTTTTCATTCTTTTAAAATTTAGTTTGAAAGAGATGCACCAAGTAGACATGATTATAATACAGTAAGTGAACGCTCTCGGCCAAGATGATTCAAAGGCTAATATTAGTAATAATTACAGTTAATTGTTACTTTTAACTAGCGTTTGCATGGTATAATAGCAAATGTCTTTAAAAAAAATACCGTTATTGGTTGTCACATAACGTACATTAATGTATTGCAGCTTTCTACTCGTGGATATACAGTCATTAACACCTCATAATCAAACTGATGACCAAATATGAAAGAAAATAACAAACTTTCGTCATGTTTCAATATATATTCTCTGTAATTATTACAATGCCTATATTTCAAGGCCAAATTAAACTGATTGTTATTTGTCAAAAAACTTGAAATTGTGGGAAAAGGGATAACCAAAGACATTGACTTCTCTATCATGGGACATATTTGAGTGGTGCCAGATTGGTGGTATTGCTATTTAAATTATGATGTAACACAATTTAACTTTTTTGTACTTTTCAAAACAAGCCATCATCACTAGTTTGCTTTTTTTTAGTACTAAATTTGGACTCTGAAACTTTTCAATAGACTTTCCTCCTACTTCTCTGGACTTATAAATTTTCCAGAGTTTTTGTTATTAAATCTGACTTTTCATTTTTCAGTGTACCTTTTTTGTACCTAATTCTGACTTATGAATTTCACAACATTGCTAATAACTATAGTGGTACTTTTTTTCATACTTTTGTAGGACTTCAAAATTTTTCAACTGCACTTTTTCTGCACTAAATTCTAATTGTGGATGTGGATATTTTGACATATATTGTGAAACATAGTGTTACTTTCCCTACTTATATCTGACTTAGACTAATATAACCTTTCCCATGAAGACTAAACAAGTATCTAAAAGACATATCTTTGCCTATTTTTGTTTACTTTTCAAATTAAGAAACAATTTTATTTTTATTGAATTTCTGTTAAAGAGCAAAATAATGTTTTTTATTTTACATTATTATCATTATCATTGAGAGGAAAGAGTTGGGAAGAAAGATGTTCCATTTTATTTGAAAACCTGTTGATGTAAGTGGGATCTCAGTAGTTAAGGTAATCTATTGCCATGTAGAGATAGGGAAAAGTGGTGTTTCATCCAAAACGGCACCAATCGATAGACCGTGCATTCATGTTTAGTTCACAGGCATCACAGGACAGAATGCACAAGTCAGAACAAATTACCCACTAAACGGTTTTAGTTCAAATAATCTCCAAATTTCAATAAACGAAGTATGTAAAGGTATGTAAATCTATTAAAGAAACATACTTTTGTAAATTCACAATTAAGTGTACAGAAATCTCAAGGTCCATGACTGTTTACCAAACCGCGGACTAGAGCAAGTCTTGCTTATTTACGTGTTTGTTTGGCTATTATGCCATATCTTGAATCTTAGCACTTTGCAGTGTTTGAGATCACATGTTATTTAGCAAAACTGGTTAGTTCAATCACACAAAATATATTCGCTTGCAAAGTCCAAACTACATCAGCGTGTGAAACTCGTGTTGTAACCTAACTCAGAAGTATATGTGTAAAATGCATGTTTTAGATTTAGATTCAGTCTTGACTCGAGATCTTCTGATTTAAACATGACCACATCTTAAATTTTTTTTCACTGGAAAATGGATGGTGTTTTCATGATTCACTGAAAAGTGTCAATGAACTTGTAGAAGAATTAGCTCTCAGCAAGTCCAGATATGGGGACAAATGCTGTCCTCTCACTTGTAACAAACATAAGTATTGAATCATATCAAATATTACATGAGTGTTTATAGATTTTCCAGGTTTGATATACAGCTGTGTTGTCTGTACATTTGATGTACAGCTGTGTTGTCTGTACATTTGATATACAGCTGTGTTGTCTGTACATTTGATGTACAGCTGTGTTGTCTGTACATTTGATGTACAGCTGTGTTGTCTGTACATTTGATGTACAGCTGTATTGTCTGTACATTTGATGTACAGCTGTGTTGTCTGTACATTTGATGTACAGCTGTATTGTCTGTACATTTGATGTACAGCTGTATTGTCTGTACATTTGATGTACAGCTGTGTTGTCTGTACATTTGATGTACAGCTGTATTGTCTGTACATTTGATGCACAGCTGTGTTGTCTGTACATTTGATATACAGCTGTATTGTCTGTACATTTGATGTACAGCTGTGTTGTCTGTACATTTGATATACAGCTGTATTGTCTGTACATTTGATGTACAGCTGTATTGTCTGTACATTTGATGTACAGCTGTGTTGTCTGTACATTTGATGTACAGCTGTATTGTCTGTACATTTGATGCACAGCTGTGTTGTCTGTACATTTGATATACAGCTGTATTGTCTGTACATTTGATGTACAGCTGTATTGTCTGTACATTTGATGTACTGCTGCGTTGTCTGTACATTTGATGTACTGCTGTGTTGTCTGTACATTTGATAAACTGCTGTGTTGTCTGTACATTTGATATACTGCTGCTTTGTCTGTACATTTGATATACTGCTGCGTTGTCTGTACATTTGATATACTGCTGCGTTGTCTGTACATTTGATATACTGCTGCTTTGTCTGTACATTTGATGTACTGCTGTATTGTCTGTAGGCTTGCTCTTTGAAAGTCTTCTGTAGTGTGTAGATGTATATTGTAAATTTATATTTGATGATTGTTCATTTATAATGCAGGAAGACATCTAAGATGGTCAACGTGACAAAGGGGATCCTTGTAGAATGTGACCCAGCGATGAAACAGTTCCTTCTCCATTTGGATGAAACTGATGCATTCAAAACCAAGTTTGTTCTACAGGACCTTGATGAGACACACCTATTTATTTCTGCTGACATCTTGGATACTCTTCAAAACAGAATTGATGACATTATGGACCGATTATCATTTCCTCTGGTAGAAAAATAAAATCTGAAGCTCAGCATAACATTTAAAGTTACATGATTTTCCTCGCATTTTTAAGTAAGGAGTTCTGCATTTAGTTTGTATGCAATTATTGTAAAAGCATAAACTTGTATTTTTTAGTCAGGATTTATGATTGATACTTTTAAAAAAGTTATGTCAGTGAAATGGAATCTATGTAAGAGGAGGCTTTGGATGGATAGTCCTTTGTTTGAGGAAGGAAACACCATGTGTTACAGTCCATCCAAACATTTACTTGTGGTGGATGAGGAGGCTAGCAGCAGGTAAACACTTATATTACATAGACTTGACTACAAAAAACTGTGTATTTTAGACTTGACTACAAAAAACTGTGTGTTTTAGATTTTACTACAAACAGCTGTGTATTTGAGACTTGACTACAAAAAACTGTGTGTTTTAGATTTTACTACAAACAGCTGTGTATTTGAGACTTGACTACAAAAAAATGTGTGTTTTAGATTTTACTACAAACAGCTGTGTATTTGAGATTTGACTAAAATTAGCTGTGTATTTTAGACTTCATTACAAACAGCTGTATATTTTAGACTTGACTACAAACAGCTGTGTATTTTAGACTTGACTACAAACAGCTGTATATTTGAGACTTTACTACAAACAGCTGTGTATTTTAGACTCTACTACAAACAGCTATGTACTTTAGACTTTACTACAAACAGCTATGTATTTTAGACTCTACTACAAACAGCTGTGTATTTTAGACTTGACTACAAACAGCTGTATATTTTAGACTTTACTACAAACAGCTGTATATTTGAGACTTTACTACAAACAGCTGTGTATTTTAGACTTGACTACAAACAGCTGTGTATTTTAGACTTGACTACAAAGAGCTATGTATTTTAGACTTTACTACAAACAGCTGTGTATTTTAGACTTAATTACAAACAGCTGTGCATTTTAGACTTTACTACAAAGAGCTGTGTATTTTAGACTTTACTACAAAGAGCTGTGTATTTTAGACTTGACTACAAACAGCTGTATATTTTAGACTTAATTACAAACAGCTATGTATTTTAGACTTGACTACAAACAGCTGTGTATTTAGGACTTAATTACAAAGAGCTGTATATTTTAGACTTATTTACAAACAGCTATGTATTTTAGACTTGACTACAAACAGCTGTATATTTTAGACTTGAGTTAGAACACCTCTGTATTTTAGACTGGCTCAACCACCATCTGGCCTCCATCTGTCTGTCCTGATTTAACAGTTCTTGTTGTCATTTTTCTGGAGAAGTACTAGATAGATCATTTTGAAATGTCATATGGAAGTTCCCCTTGGTCTTCATTTGTTTCTTTTTATTCATTTTGGGGCTGATCCCAAAGGTAACCATCTTGAATTTTGACAGTAGTATGTTGTTATGGCTATATGTTGAGAAGTATGTATAGGATAGATAATTTTCAAATGTCATATGGAGGTTTACTGGTCTGAATAATAATGTGGCCCACAGTTAGCCAGCTTGGTTTATGACAGCGGTAATTTGTTATCATTGTTTCTTGAGAAGTACGGGATTGATCTTTCCCAAATTTCATATGTAGGATCCCTTTGTTCCTTTGTGCCCTTTTGACTTTGTGACTGATAAAAAAAATGTAATTACCGGCAGGTGGCCATCTTGTATTTAGAATAGGAAAAATTGTTATTGCTATTTCTTTAGAGTACCTGATAGATTTTTCTCAAGTTTTTTCAAGAGTTTTCTCAAAAGATTGTTGCTACTATGTCTTGAGAAGTAGTGAATGAATCTTTGCCCGATTTCTCATGTAGGTTCCCCTTGATCCATATATAGTTATGCCCTTTTGATTCGACTGGAGACCATCTTAGATTTGACACTTAAAGATCTTGAGAGGGATTTTAAAACTAAATAAGATAGAAGAAAAGGTAAAGAGAAAAGATCCAACTTTTAAAGATAAGATCAAACTATGGTGGACTCAAAAACTCCTTCTTGCTTGTTATTAGACTCCGTACTAAAGACTAACCTAAACAGATTTCTATATTTCAGATAGTAGACCAATTCTTTTTGCTGTAAATGTATCTAAACAAATTTCTGTAATTTCATATACGTACTGAAATTTCTTTTTACTAGAAGACATGTACATAACTCATTTCATTGAACTGATTTAGTTTGATTCTGTTTTAGTGAAGGAAACCAGCAGTTTTCCTGTCAACTTGCCAACTGTGGAAGGAAATTTAATTCCCATGCAAGGTATGTTTATATGAAACAGCATCATGTAAGTATGTTAATGATTTCAGTGATACACCTTCGAAACTAATATCATTAAACCCAAATTAATTCATGATGGCCAGAAGTGTGTGTATGGACAGTTTTAGTTCTGTACATTTGTTTTACAGCTATGAGAACCACTATGGGTTGGTTTAGACCAGAAGTGTGTGTATGGACAGTTTTAGTTCTGTACATTTGTTTTACAGCTATGAGAACCACTATGGGTTGGTTTAGACCAGAAGTGTGTGTATGGACACTTTTAGTTCTGTACATTTGTTTTACAGCTATGAGAACCACTATGGGTTGGTTTAGACCAGAAGTGTGTGTATGGACCGTTTTAGTTCTGTACATTTGTTTTACAGCTATGAGAACCACTATGGGTTGGTTTAGACCAGAAGTGTGTGTATGGACAGTTTTAGTTCTGTACATTTGTTTTACAGCTATGAGAACCACTATGGGTTGGTTTAGACCAGAAGTGTGTGTATGGACCGTTTTAGTTCTGTACATTTGTTTTACAGCTATGAGAACCACTATGGGTTGGTTTAGACCAGAAGTGTGTGTATGGACAGTTTTAGTTCTGTACATTTGTTTTACAGCTATGAGAACCACTATGGGTTGGTTTAGACCAGAAGTGTGTGTATGGACCGTTTTAGTTCTGTACATTTGTTTTACAGCTATGAGAACCACTATGGGTTGGTTTAGACCAGAAGTGTGTGTATGGACCGTTTTAGTTCTGTACATTTGTTTTACAGCTATGAGAACCACTATGGGTTGGTGCACAGCAGAGTATGCCAGACATGCCATAAGAGCTTTCCCACAAATCATCTACTTGACCTGCACATCCTAGAATGGCATGACACCATGTTTGCCTTGCAAACCAAGAAAGAACCAATGGTAACTTTGTCTGTTGGAGTACAACATCTAATTTTACTTCATTGTGCAAGAAAAGTAGCAAGATGTTTTGGTCTGTGTGTGGAATATGTCCAGCTATTTCTGTTTGATCTGTGTGCTGAGAATGGTAAGCTATTTCTGTTTGATCTGTGTACTGAGAATGGCAAGCAATTTCTGTTTGATCTGTGTACTGAGATGGCAAGCTATTTCTGTTTGATCTGTGTACTGAGAAAGGCAAGCTATTTCTGTTTGATCTGTGTACTTAAAATGGCTAGCTATTTCTGTTTGATCTGTGCACTGAGAATGGCAAGCTATTTCTGTTTGATCTGTGTACTTAAAATGGCTAGCTATTTCTGTTTGATCTGTGCACTGAGAATGGCAAGCTATTTCTGTTTGATCTGTGTTCTGAGATGGCAAGCTATTTCTGTAAGATCTGTGTACTGAGATGGCAAGCTATTTCTGTTTGATCTGTGTACTGAGATGGCAAGCTATTTCTGTTTGATCTGTGTACTGAGATGGCAAGCTATTTCTGTAAGATCTGTGTACTGAGATGGCAAGCTATTTCTGTTTGATCTGTGTACTGAGATGGCAAGCTATTTCTGTTTGATCTGTGTACTGAGATGGCAAGCTATTTCTGTTTGATCTGTGTACTGAGATGGCAAGCTATTTCTGTTTGATCTGTGTACTGAGATGGCAAGCTATTTCTGTTTGATCTGTGTACTGAGATGGCAAGCTATTTCTGTTTGATCTGTGTGTAGAGAATTATCAATCTAATGCTGTAGTAGTGCTTTTTGCTATGGAGAAATTCTTTTTCTGTTGCTATGAAAACTGACCAAATCACAAATTTCAGATTTTCTGGACTAGTGTTCAAATACTGTTCCTGATAATTATGCAAAACTTTGTACAGTTATTCAGCTAACGTGGTAGTAGTGTCTTTTGCTATTGGGAAGTTTTCCATTTAAATACTGTTCCTGTTACCAAGGAAACTGGTAGACCAAATCACAGAGTTCAGCCGACTGTGTCACTTTCTCGACATTGTATGCTTTCAGCAGATTTTTCAAATTGCCCTGTGGTGGTCTGTGGTCCGTAGACCAACGGCTGTCCATAAAAATGTTTTGTTTTCACATTTTCTTGAGAATTACTTGACCAATCTCTCTTAAATTTCATATGTAGATTCCCCTTGGTTTCTAGAAGTGCCCATTTTTTTTTTTATCTGATCACAGAAAAAAAATGCTGAAAGGTAGCCATCTTTGTTTTTGGTTTTAAAAGTGGCTATTTCTTGAAAAGCACTGTATAGATCTTTCTTAAAATTCATATGTAGGTTCCTCTTGGTCCCTAGTTCCCATTTGATTTTGGGACAGATCCATTTGATTTTGGGACAGATCAGAAAAGCAATATGGCCAACCGACAGCCATCTTAGATTTTGACTGTGAAAGTTTTGTTATTGCTCTTTCTTGAGAACTACAGCGTAGATCTTTCTCAAATTTCATTTGTATGTTTCCCTTGATCCCTAGTTGTGTCTGTTTGATTTTGGTACTGATTAGGAAAAAGCAAATGTCCCACATTTTGATTTTGACTTTGAAAGTTTGTTATCACTGTTAGAACTTTTATGTAGATCTTTCCATTTTATGAGACATGTAACTAGTAAATAAGTGATGAAAATATGGTCATTCTTCCATGTACGATGTTTCCGTTCATAGAAACATGATTAAGTCAATTCATCGGATAAGTCTGTTCATAGAAACATGATTACGTTGAACCATCGGATAAGTTAAACATTTCGTTTGGTCCCATCAGGTTCAGTTTATCCGTGTTTTACTGTATTCAAAATTAAGTACTAGATCATTTCTGTACAATAGTTAGTATGATGGAAGTAGATGTAAGTAACAGTACCCACGAGAAGTCATCCATTCTAGTTCAATGAAAAGAATATTTGTGAAAAATATTCAAAATTTCCATGGCATAAACTATTACTTAAATTACAAAAGTTTATGGTATGTTAAGTTATTTTACCTTCAACAAGTGAATTTACATCAATTTGTGAGCAATAAGATGGTTACCAGCCTCTCGGTATGCTATATGACTGTTTGTGATTTAGGCGCCTCAGGCCCTGTGAGACGAGGTTACGTATATCTAAATGTAAGTGACTGTTTGCATCGCTAGTTATTCATAGATAATGGCGTGGTATTGAATTCTGCATGTCCTGTATTGATCACTTGTTTTTTTGTTTTGGTTTTCTTGAGTTGAGTATAGCCAGATAAAGAAGCAAGTCATGAATGGATTTCTCAACTTAATCTTCCTGTTGCAGTTTAATTGTTTGGTGGAGTCATGCAAATGCAAATTTTCTACAAGAAAAGAGAGGAAAAATCATGTTGTGAAGAACCACAAGTATCCCAGTAACTACAGATTTGATCGGAATCCCAGTAAACATGGGTATGTAAATTTTAGATCATCACCTCTGTGGCCATGCCATATCAGTTTATGATTTGAATTTTTATTTCAGTTCCTCACCCATTTTATCAGGATGCATGTGGTGTTACCCTTGTCTGGCATTAGTGTCTTGTCAAGCTACATTTCATCTTGTTCTGAATCAAAATAATATTTTAGAAATCTCTCAACAGATTTCGTTCATATTAATTTCTACACCTGATAAATTCAAGTTTGCACAGGAACTGGAGCTTTCATGCCTGAAAGAAATTTTCTAGATTTTTAGCCTACTTGAGAGGAAATTTAAAGTGACCTATTGTGATCGCATTTTGTCTGACGTAATGCGTTGTAAAACAATTTCAAAATTGAATCACTAATCTTTTGGCCATGAAATGACATCTTTACTGATTCTCTATTTTCCTAAAATTTTCACCAAATATTTTTGACTTAAAGGACCAAATAATATATAAAGATTTTTGGTGCACTCAGACTGAAATTACATGCCTCATTTCTTTGAAAAATTGTCTTAGCTGACAAAAATCATACTTTATCAATTTCGAAACTATATGATTTTTTTCATATCTTGCAATATTTTGATACATATTTACCACCATATTGTCAGACTGAACCTTGTTAATCAAACAGTATTTCATTTGATCTAACATATGCTGTGGTTTTAATACTTTTTAAAAAAACTGAACCCTTTCATACTCCTATGGTTATGAATCTGAATGGGTTGTAACACAGGCCCTTTGGACCTTTTGAATTTTTGAATCCTATTTCATGGGTAGCCACTCAAGATGCTACAAATGCCACCCACTTTTATTTAAGTTCGTGTGTGGGCAAAATTCCATTGTTCCTGAAAGAGATCCTTTCTTATGTAGGTTCCTCTTGGTCCTTAGTTTTGTCTGTTTGATTTTAAGACTGATCAGAAAGAACAAAATGGTCAACAAGGGGCTATCTTGGATTTTCAGGTCATCTGATCTGAAGAGTCAGGATGACCTAAAGCCATCATTTTTTGTCCATTGTCCTGTGCTGTGTGCCATGTGCCAATCGACGATACTCCAGGGGTTACACTCTCTTTGCATTCCTATAGTCCTCGTGTTTCGTCCATCATTGTGTGCTGTATGCTATTGCCATGCGCCCATCCTCGATACTCCAGGAGTTCCAATCTCTTTGCACCTTTGGAACATGTCATGGAAAAATTTACCGTTCCATGTGCGACTCTTGTGGACAAGACAACTAGTTTTGACCATTTCATACGAATTTCAAGGTTGCATAACAATATATATTGCAATGGCTTTGAAGTTGGTTGCGCTTCCTTTGTAATCTTCAAATGTAGCATATCAGCCTGTAATTAGTAAGTTATTTTCTCCCGGAACAAATCAAATTACTTCACTTCAGCATTCAAATTTGCCATGACATGTTCCAAGTGTGCAGAGGACAAAAGTGATCATAACCTCTGGAGTACCCAGGATATGGTGCACCATGTGCCGTCAGCTATCTGCTGGATAAGGGGCTACCTGTGTCATAAGGTGATTTTATTACCAAAATGTGTCTCACTGGAGAGGAGGTTAACTTTACTGTAATTTTTGTAGAAATTTTTGAGCATAATGTTGCTTATTATACCCCCCGCAACGAAGTTAGGGGGGGTATACTGGAATCAGGTTGTCCGTCCGTCCGTCCGTCCGTCCGTCCGTCCGTCTGTTCGTCCATCTGTCTGTAGACAAATTTTGTCCAGCTAACTCCTCCTAAACCTGTGAACCAATTTTGATGAAACTTTACAGGATCATGTGTAGATATGCATGCCCCTTTCTTTTTTTGAAAATTTTGGTTGCCATGGTAACTGGTCACTACAAACAAGTTTTCTAATAAATGTCCATAACTCCTCAGTTATTAGACCGATTGTATTCAAGTAAAAAGATGTAATTCAGTAAGGCCAATAATTGGACATATTAGACGTTTCCAAAACTGTTACCGTGGAAACACAATCCTGGCCTCTGATTGGTCAAAATTTAGATATTGTCCAATATTGACCAAATTTGGTATATAGGGTTATTAGGGGATGCCAAACATTATAAAATAGGTTTCGTTGCCATGACAAACATGAGTGTTTAGTGTAAATCAAGAACATAATGGCAGACATTTTTCAGTTAAACAAATTTGCCATCATTGGTCAAAAGTTATTAGATATCGTCAGATTTTAACGGTTTCTCGGCATGAAGAAGATGCAGGCACATGCAGAATATGTCAATTACTCTCAGAATAACACTAACTTATCCATTGACTCGTTGCAGTGTGCAGGGGGTATTGGTCAGCCATCTAGGCGACAGTTCTAGTTTCCCACAGGAATATTAGTATAAGATAACTGTTTTGAAGGTATGTAGGTATTGACACTGGCTTACTTTCATCAGTGTCCCTGGAGCCTGAGGGTCAGGGGCTAATAGGGAAAATCTATCAGTTTCTTTAAAATCTATCTTGTTCTTCAGGAACTGAAGGATATTGTCGAGAATTGGTCTGAAGCATGCTTGGGTGAAAGGAAATCAATTTGTATAAATGGTGGGGTCTTGGCTCCCTGGGGCCAGATGTGCGAGCACTCATATGGAAAATCAATCAATTTCTTTGAAATTTATCTTGTTCTTCAGGAATTACAGGATATTGCCCAAATTTGGTCTGAAGCATACTTGGGTGAAGTGAGTTTTGTATAAAGCATGGGGTTCAGCCCATGCGGTCAAATGGGTGGGGCCCAACAGGGAAAATCTAACCCCAATGTAGAATTAGTTCAGTTTCTTCTCATTGCCTTGCAACATGGACATTTGGATCGTTGGTTATCTGAAACAGTTGTGATGACTACTGAATAACTATAGCATTGCTGAGCATCAGGAGATCAACACAATCATAACTGATAATTTGTCCAGGGGTCTGGTGTTACCCCAGGACTGATTATATCTTTGAAGCCACTGAGATTACCATCCCATATGTTAATAGCATTGCAGGATATCAAGAGATTAACAACTAATCTCTGTCCCCACCCCTAGGGAATTTGAAGCTGTATATGTGGGGTGAGGCTCATCATGGGAAATATTTTCCTTTTATAGAAATGTAAATTTTTGCATTATTGACTTCAATATCCACATCAGTGATACAGGCCCTCTTGGCCTCTTGTATTTGTAGCTATTCAAATCACTCAGCATCTGTGGTCTGTCTACCCGTCTGTAAACAATTAATGTTATCAATATTTCTTGAAAAGTACTGGATGGATCTTTCTTAAATTGCATATGTAGGTTCCACATGGTCTCTAATGTGCCCATTTGATTTGGGGTTTGATCAGAAATAAAATAGTCATCTGGTGGCCATCTTGGATTTTTACCAAGAAAGTTTGTTATTGCTATTTCTTGAGAACTACATCATAGAACTTTCTCAAAATTCATGTATATGTTTCCCATGATCCCTAGTTGTGCCTGTTATAAGCAAGAGATGAAGGCTCAATGGTTCGCCCATATTAATCTTGGTTGAAGCCTAGGGGATTATGGGCAGTTCAAAAGGGGTCAAATTGACTCAGATTTCAAAAATCTTTTTCTCAACACCAATATATGGTAGTATGCTCTTCATGGATGGAAATGTCTTAAGGTGGTTTACCAAAATGTTGGATTTCATAGCCCAAGGGTCTCACATTTCTCCATGGGGAGGAGGTAAAGTTTACCACAGTTGATTTAGGAAAAATAGATTTTTGAGCATTATTTGTTTAATTTCCATTGGAAGCATCTTTAGGTGCTTTAATTACCAAAATGGGTCTTGCATTTCTCACCAGGGAGGAAGTTAACTTTACTTTAATTTTGGTAGAAAAATTCCATTTTTGAACATTATGTTGTTTATTTCCTTCTGGAATGTGGGTGTATAATGTCACGCTTTGCAATATCTTGATAGAAAATTCTTTTTTGCCATGTCCTGGCTATTTTTTCAGGGAATTTAATTAAACTTTTAAAGGACTATTATGTCATAGACAAGATCCAATTTCAGGGTCCTAGGACCAGGATCAATATCATTGTTTTTAGAAAGTGCAGTGAAGTGCAGTGGCTTAAGGTTTTTAGGGATTTTGATAAAACTTCAGACAATTGGCTAACTTGTATGTTGCATTTGAGTGAAACCAGGAGCGGATTTGTATCCTTTGCAATGCAATGTTTTTAATTTTCATGCAATTAGCATAAACTCCAAGCACACATATGTACAAATCATGTATAGTTGCCATTTTTGTCTTGTTAGTGATTGAAAGTTGCTTCAGCTAGAGCATGGTGTTAAAACAAGTAACAATTAAGGCACAATCAAAACAATTCACAGTTTTGCAATGATGTTTTCACAAATGACATAGATTCCATGATTTTCAGTAAGTGGTATATGATGTTGGTTGTTGTAGCCATAAGGATGATCAGTCATTGAAAGAACAGTTTACCAGGATACAATTTGACACATCATCTGGTGTGGAAGGAGTGAACAGAATGGATGTTAAGGACACATTATCTGGTGTGGAAGGAGTGAACAGAATGGATGTCAAGGACACATCATCTGGTGTGGAAGGAGTGAACAGAATGGATGTCAAGGACACATCATCTGGTGTGGAAGGAGTGAACAGAATGGATGTCAAGGACACATCATCTGGTGTGGAAGGAGTGAACAGAATGGATGTCAAGGACACATTATCTGGTGTGGAAGGAGTGAACAGAATGGATGTCAAGGACACATCATCTGGTGTGGAAGGAGTGAACAGAATGGATGTCAAGGACACATCATCTGGTGTGGAAGGAGTGAACAGAATGGATGTTAAGAACACAGCACCACAGAGACGTCAGTTTTCTTACAAGTATGTTAAATTTAGAAATTTCACAGAATGTCACAGGTGTAACTACAAAGGCAATTATACCCTCACTAGGTTTATGCAACATCAATGACAGCATACAAAAGGTTTTCATGTTTACAGGGTACTGATATTTGGCCTGTGACATGCTGGTATGACCTTGACCCACTTTCATGGTCACATTGGTCAAATATATGAAGATCTTCAAACGATTTTTCTAAGTAACCAAAACGGAATTGATATAGGCCTGCAGCATGCTGGGATGAAGGGTTATGTAGTTCTAATGAAGGACCTTGACTAACTTTCAAGGTCACAGGGGTCAAGTGTTTTTACAAAATCTTCAAATGACTTCACTAATGGTAATGATTTTGGGTCTTTGGCATACTGGGAAAAAGGACTACCAAATTTCTTCAATTGAATGACGTTGACCTACTTTCAAAGTCACAGATGTCATATGTGTTAAATTTCTTCTCAATGAAAAAATGGAACAAATTAATGCCTCGGCCTGTAGTATGCTTGGATGAAGGGCTACAAAGTTTTTGGTTCAAATAAATGACCTTGACACATTTTCAAGTCAAATATATGAAAAACTTCAAACAACTTGTTCTCAGTAACTGAAAGGTGAAGGTTATCAGGTCATCTGCCCTGAAGATTTATGATGCCCAATAGCAATCATATGTAAACTTTCCATTCAAATATGTTAAATGACTCCTCAACAATTAAAAGGACCAGATTGCTGATATTGGGCTTGTAGCATGCTAGGATGTAGGGCTACTAAGTTCATATGAATGACCTTGACCCATGTCCAAGGTCACAGGGCTCAAATATAGTAAAATCTTTAAACAACTTCTCAGTGACCATAAAGCCCAGGATACTGATATCAGGCCAGTAGCATGCAAGGATTTAGGGCTATTAAAATTTGTTTATAGGAATAACCTTGACCAATTTTCGATGTCACAGGAGTCAAATATGTTTAAATCTTTTAAATGACTTCTTCTCAATAACCAAAAGTCCAGGGTGCTGATATTAGGCCTGTAGCATGCAAGGATATAGGGCTACAGAGTTTGTAAATATGTACTTTAAAGGTCTGATGTGTCAAATATGTTAAAATCATTAAGCAACTTCTTTTTAATAACCAAAAGGTCCATGGTGCAGATGGTTGGCCTGTAGCTTGCAAGGATGTAGGACTACAGACTTCGTAAATATGAATAACCTTGATCCACTTTCAAGGTCACATTGGTCAAAAATGTTAAAATCTTAAACAACTTATTCTCAGTCTCCCAAAAAGCACTGGATGCTGATATTAGGCATGTGGAATGCTAGGATGTATGGCTATTAAATTTGTGAATGATCTTGACACACTTTTAAGGTCACATGGGTCAAATGTATGAAAATCTTCTTCCCTTTGGCTTAAAGGCCAAAAGGACTGATATTGGACCTGTGGCATGCTAGGATGAAATGCTACCAAGAAATGACCTTGTCCCATATTCAGGGTCACAGGTGTCAAACTCATTAAAACATTTAAACAACTTCTTCTGACTAACCAAAATACACAGAGGCATGGTATTCGACTGATAGGTTCCTAAGATGAAGCCCCATCACATTTGCAAAAAGAAACTATCTTGACTCTTATTCAAGGTGACTGGAGTCAAATTTGTTAAAACCTTAAAATGACTTATGACTAACCAAGAGGTGCAGAAGCATGATATTGGTACCATATTTTCCTAGGATGAACCTGACAAAGTTTACAAAAAGAAATGACCTTGACCTTTATTCAAAGTTTAAGAAGTCAAATTTGTTAAAAACAAAAAGACTTCTTCTAAAAAACAAAAAGACACAGAATTCTGACTATCAAAAAGGCATAGATGCATAATATTTTGGTGATAGGTTCCTAGAATGCCTCACGAATAAGCTTGGGGAAAGAAATTGCTGAGACTCTTATTCAAGATCACAGGGATGAAACTTGTTAAAACCTGAAAACAATTAACATTACAATGTAGAAGCAGGGTATTTGACTTACAGGTTCCAAGGATGAAGCCCAATTTTGTGACAAAAAATAACTTTGACCCTTATTCAAGGTCTTCAGCATCAAATTAGTTTAAACCTTTTGATGACTTCTCTGACTAACCAGAAGATGTAAAAGCATAGTATTTGGTTGATAGGTTGCTGGAATGATGACTGACATTTCACCAATATTGAAGGTCACAGAGATAAAAATTTCTTGAAACCAGTAATAGATTTCTTCTGGTAAACTAAAAGTCAGAGAAGTGTGATGTAAAGGTGTTTTTAGGTCAAAGCCCAACAGATTTTTAGAAAAAGGAAGAACTGGCATTTACTGAAAATCCAGGTCAAAACTATCACTGTTTAGAGTTGAGTAATAGCTCTTTATAGTGGAAATATGTTAAAATTGATTGGATGTGCCCACTTTGAATTCCAGTGGTGTATATGTCAATATATTTGTGATATTAACTGTGTTCATGAACATTGAATACCAGGTGAGTGATGCAGACCCATTGGGCCTTTTGTTATCTAAAGCAAATGTTGCATATCACTTGTCTCTTACAGAGTGCCTCTAAGTATTTGCTTTGGACAAGGAACCAGTCGAGGATTCCAGAGATCCAGGGAGCGTGGACATGTGTATAAAAAGGGACAGCACTGGTATAACAGGTGTTCAGAAAAAATGGACACTCATGTAGACATAGAAAAAGTGGATTTACAGGATCTGAAAGAGGCTCTTACCTAAGTCTGGATAAATCAAGTTTCTTTATCAAGTTCTGTCATGATGAATCAGCTCTCTTCATACTTACTCAAATTTTTATGGAATCTTGAATTTTCTGTGCAATTCAATATATTAAGATGACACTTATCTAAATGCAAATTCCTACACAGACTTTTTTTATAAAGGATGAAAATCATCAGTACATTACAGCATCTGAAACCCACTTTTATGAAGGTCCCGACACAGAAGATTATCCTACCTGTGGGTCGCTGATTCTACATTTTAGTTTGTTGAGGGACAATTTTTTTAATATTGTCTTTTGCACCTTGTTACTTATTCATACATGAAATGGATAAAATTTCTTGATAATTGTATTTTCTATGCCGAAGAAAAATCTATTTTGTATGAAATATGGGTCATGACCTCTTGAGAATAGGAGACATGAAATAAATATGTATATTTTGTAGTATAATAATAGTTTTGTTTTTATAACTTTTGCTGTATAATGCATGTACACTAAGATATTTCATGAACCTCTTGACAGATTCGGTTCATATCTTATCCCCTAGTAGAATGTGTGATATAGTAAAACCCCACTAGAACCTGCATTCCTGGAATACCACCTATTGGTGGAACTGATTACTTGGTCCCAACCATGTCCTTATATATTTCTTGTTATTTAACGCTGCATTCCTCAAACTAATTTGTATCCACATTGTTTCATGTTCAAAGCATTTACCTCCTCATTTTGTCAAACAAGTGTCATGCTTGCCAAAATTTACTTATCTGTATCATTACTCGACTAGGCCCAACTTAAGGGGAACAGTTCTGATCACTAATGTTTATACAGATTTTCGGAATAATTAGACAAAAAATAGCTGACAGGCAACTACTTGGATCTTTTCAATGAAGTTTATTATCACTATTTCTTGAAAAGTACTCGATGGATCTCTCTCAAGATATATATATGTAAGCTCTCCTTGTTCTGCAGTTGTAGCTGTCTAATTTTGGGACTGATCAGAAAAACAAAATGTCCAACAGACGACCAACTTGGATTTCGCATGATCAAATTTGCTAATACTATTTCTTGAGAAGTACTCCATTGATATTTGGATTGATCATAGGTGGCCATCTTTGATTTTCAGCTTTGGAATATTGATATTGCTATTTCTTGAGAAATACTGCATAGATCTTTTTCAAATTTCATGTTTAGGTTCCTCTTTGTCCCTAGTTGTGTCTGTTTGAGTTATCCTAAAAACAAACTGTCTGCCAGCAGCCATCTTGGATTTTTAGGTCATCTTACCCGAAGGGTCTGATGACTTATTGCGATTGCCTTTTGTCCGGCATCATCTGTCATAAACATTTTCAACTTCTTCTCAAGTTCTACATGTCTCATTGAGCTGAAATTACCTGAAATGATCGTGACATGATTCTGACCAAAATTTGAAAATTTCAGTTTGGTCCGAAATCAAAGATGGCCGCTATGTTGAAAATACATTGAAACACATTTTCAACTTCTTCTCATGTTCTACTTGTCTCATTGAGCTGAAATTTACCAGAAATGATTGTGACATGATTCTGACCAAAGTTTGTTAATTTCGGGTCGGTCTGAAATCCAACATGGCAGTCAGGGTCGCCATCTTGAAAACACATTTTCGACTTCTTCTCAAGTTCCACCAGTGCGATTGAGCCAAAACTTGTAGAAATGATCATGACAAGGTACTGACCAAGTTTGTTCATTTCGGGTTGGTCTGAAATCTAACATGGCTGCCATGGCCGCCATTTTGAAAATACATTGAAAACACATTTTCAACTTCTCCTCAAGTTCAACCAGTGACATTGAGCTGAAGCTTACCTGAAATGCTCGTGACATGGTCCTGACCAAAGTTTGTGAATTTCTGGTCGGTCCGAAATCCAGGATGGTCGCCATGACCGCCATCTTGAAAACACATTTTCGACTTCTTCTCAAGTTCCACCAGTGTGATTGAGCCAAAACTTGTAGAAATGATCATGACAAGGTACTGACCAAAGTTCGTTAATTTCGGGTTGGTCTGAAATCCAACATGGCTGCCATGGCCGCCATTTTGAAAATACATTGAAAACACATTTTCAACTTCTTCTCAAGTTCTACCAGTGACATTGAGCTGAAGCTTACCTGAAATGCTCGTGACATGGTCCTGACCAAAGTTTGTTAATTTCAGGTCGGTCCGAAATACATGAAATGATCATGACATGGTATTGACCAAAGTTTGTTACTTCAAACGTCCTCTGAATTACCAGAACACCCAGGGTGATGATACTTGGCCTGTAGCATGCTGGGATGAAGGTTTACAAAGTTTGTTGAAATGAATAACCTTAACCCACTTTCAAGGTGGTGGCTGAGTGCCCTTGATTCTTAAATCCAGGTGAAATAAGTTCAAAATTTGAAATCTTGTATTTTATGTCAGATGACCGTTAAGGCCCATGGGCCTCTTGCACCTAGTTACCCCACTGCCCGAAAGCATGTGGGGTATTGCGATCACGCACGACGTCCGCCCGTCTGTCTGTTCGTCCGTCCGTCCACAATTGAATACCGCTTATCTAAAAAAAACTACATCACCGGTCATCACCATTTTCACTGGGGATGTTGGAGATAACTTTCAACTCACCCAACTACACATTTCCAACTTTATAATAAGGCTGTGGGGTATTGCCCGCGTTTGCGGAGCTATTTTTAAGTTTGTTATCACAATTTCTTCAGAAGTACTGAATGGGGATCTCTCAAATTTCATACACAGGTTTCCTTTTATCCCTAGTTATATCTGTTTGATTTTGGATCAGATCAGAAAGACAAAATGACCAATTGGAAGCCATCTTGGAATTTGTTATTGCATTTCTTGAGAAGTACTCAATCGATCTCTCTCACATTTCATATGTATGTTCCCTTTGTCCCTAGTTGTGAATATTTGATTTTTGGACTGATCAGAAAAACCAAATGGCCTCCAGGTGACCATCTTGGATTTGTTAGGTAAAGATTATCATTACTATTTCTGCAAAGGAATGTTCAAATTTCTATCATTAAGAGCAAAAACAGAGAAAAGAAGGGATAAGATCCAACCTCAAAGGAGCAAATAAAGAATAAACAATGGTGGGCGCCAAGATCCCTCTGGGATCCCCAATTCTTGAACTCAATGTTGGAAAAAAGTCATCATTCTTCAAACGAAAGTATGCCCTTCTGTGTAAACCAATTTAAGAATGGCACACACTTAGCGGGAGATTACGGATGAATAAGTAAAGACAATTATCTGCATACATTAAGTATGTCATTGATTAAGTAGAGATTAATAAGACGTTAATCAAATATGAGTTTATGTCAATAGTGTAAGCATCTTTAATGTTATTCTGAAAAGTTATTTTACCAGAGATGACTGCATGATGTACAGATGTATTCAGCCTTATGACCCTATCAAAGTATTCTGTTTTTAGCTCAACTCAGCGTCTGTCTTCTAATCAGTTTCAACTTCTCAATTGAAACAACTTCTTCTCAATTACGTAAAGGTCCAGGGTACTGATATTGGGTTTGTAACATGTTGGGATGGAGACTTCCATGTTTGTTATAATGATTGACCTTGACCCAAATTTTCAATGATTTCTCAATAGCCATGCAGATATTAGACCTGTAGCATATCCTTAGTTGTGGAGAATTCTTGTAGTGGCAGTATAAGAAGCCATAATGAAAAAAAGTTAGTAAATCATAGGTTTCCCTTTATCCCTAGTTGTGGAGACACTGTGTAGTGACTGTATGATTAGCCATACATGAAGAGAAGTAAGTAATGGGTTCTCGTTTTGTACCTAGTTGTGGAGACACCATGTAGTGACTGTATGATTAGCCATACATGAAGAGAAGTAATGGGTTCTCCTTTTGTACCTAGTTGTGGAGACATCATGTAGTGACTGTATAATTAGCCATACATGAAGAGAAGTAATGGGTTCTCCTTTTGTACCTAGTTGTGGAGACACCTTGTAGTGACTGTATGATTAGCCATACATGAAGAGAAGTAATGGGTTCTCCTTTTGTACCTAGTTGTGGAGACACCATGTAGTGACTGTATGATTAGCCATACATGAAGAGAAGTAATGGGTTCTCCTTTTGTACCTAGTTGTGGAGACACTGTGTAGTGACTGTATGATTAGCCATACATGAAGAGAAGTAAGTAATGGGTCCTCCTTTTGTACCTAGTTGTGGAGACACCATGTAGTGACTGTATGATTAGCCATACATGAAGAGAAGTAATGGGTTCTCCTTTTGTACCTAGTTGTGGAGACATCATGTAATGACTGTATGATTAGCCATACATGAAGAGAAGTAATGGGTTCTCCTTTTGTACCTAGTTGTGGAGACACCATGTAGTGACTGTATGATTAGCCATACATGAAGAGAAGTAAGTAATGGGTTCTCCTTTTGTACCTAGTTGTGGAGACACCATGTAGTGACTATGATTAGCCATACATGAAGAGAAGTAATGGGTTCTCCTTTTGTACCTAGTTGTGGAGACACCTTGTAGTGACTGTATAATTAGCCATATATGAAGAGAAGTAAGTAATGGGTTCTCCTTTTGTACCTAGTTGTGGGGACACCTTGTAGTGACTGTATGATTAGCCATACATGAAGAGAAGTAATGGGTTCTCCTTTTGTACCTAGTTGTGGAGACACCTTGTAATGACTGTATAATTAGCCATACATGAAGAGAAGTAATGGGTTCTCCTTTTGTACCTAGTCGTGGAGACACCTTGTAGTGACTGTATGATTAGCCACACATGAAGATAAGTAATGGGTTCTCCTTTTGTACCTAGTTGTGGAGACACCATGTAGTGACTGTATGATTAGCCATACATGAAGAGAATTAATGGGTTCTCCTTTTGTACCTAGTTGTGGAGACACCATGTAGTGACTGTATGATTAGCCATATATGAAGAGAAGTAAGTAATGGGTTCTCCTTTTGTACCTAGTTGTGGGGACACCTTGTAGTGACTGTATGATTAGCCATACATGAAGAGAAGTAATGGGTTCTCCTTTTGTACCTAGTTGTGGAGACACCTTGTAGTGACTGTATGATTAGCCATACATGAAGAGAAGTAATGGGTTCTCCTTTTGTACCTAGTTGTGGAGACATCATGTAGTGACTGTATGATAAGCCATACATGAAGAGAAGTAATGGGTTCTCCTTTTGTACCTAGTTGTGGAGACACCTTGTAGTGACTGTATGATTAGCCATTCATGAAGAGAAGTAATGGGTTCTCCTTTTGTACCTAGTTGTGGAGACACCATGTAGTGACTGTATGATTAGCCATACATGAAGAGAAGTAATGGGTTCTCCTTTTGTACCTAGTTGTGGAGACACCTTGTAGTGACTGTATGATTAGCCATACATGAAGAGAAGTAATGGGTTCTTTTGTACCTAGTTGTGGAGACACCTTGTAGTGACTGTATAATTAGCCATATATGAAGAGAAGTAAGTAATGGGTTCTCCTTTTGTACCTAGTTGTGGGGACACCTTGTAGTGACTGTATGATTAGCCATACATGAAGAGAAGTAATGGGTTCTCCTTTTGTACCTAGTTGTGGAGACACCTTGTAGTGACTGTATAATTAGCCATACATGAAGAGAAGTAATGGGTTCTTTTGTACCTAGTTGTGGAGACACCTTGTAGTGACTGTATGATTAGCCATATATGAAGAGAAGTAATGGGTTCTCCTTTTGTACCTAGTTGTGGAGACACCTTGTAGTGACTGTATGATTAGCCATACATGAAGAGAAGTAATGGGTTCTCCTTTTGTACCTAGTTGTGGAGACACCTTGTAGTGACTGTATAATTAGCCATATATGAAGAGAAGTAAGTAATTGGTTCTCCTTTTGTACCTAGTTGTGGAGACATCATGTAGTGACTGTATGATTAGCCATACATGAAGAGAAGTAATGGGTTCTCCTTTTGTACCTAGTTGTGGAGACACCATGTAGTGACTGTATGATTAGCCATACATGAAGAGAAGTAATGGGTCCTCCTTTTGTACCTAGTCGTGGAGACACCTTGTAGTGACTGTATGATTAGCCATACATGAAGAGAAGTAAGTAATGGGTTCTCCTTTTGTACCTAGTTGTGGGGACACCTTGTAGTGACTGTATGATTAGCCATACATGAAGAGAAGTAATGGGTTCTCCTTTTGTACCTAGTTGTGGAGACACCTTGTAGTGACTGTATAATTAGCCATACATGAAGAGAAGTAATGGGTTCTCCTTTTGTACCTAGTCGTGGAGACACCTTGTAGTGACTGTATGATTAGCCATACATGAAGAGAAGTAAGGGGTTCTCCTTTTGTACCTAGTTGTGGAGACACCATGTAGTGACTGTATGATTAGCCATACATGAAGAGAAGTAATGGGTTCTTTTGTACCTAGTTGTGGAGACACCTTGTAGTGACTGTATAATTAGCCATATATGAAGAGAAGTAAGTAATGGGTTCTCCTTTTTTACCTAGTTGTGGAGACACCTTGTAGTGACCGTATGATTAGCCATACATGAAGAGAAGTAATGGGTCCTCCTTTTGTACCTAGTTGTGGAGACACCTTGTAGTGACTGTATGATTAGCCATACATGAAGAGAAGTAATGGGTTCTCCTTTTGTACCTAGTTGTGGAGACACCTTGTAGTGACTGTATAATTAGCCATATATGAAGAGAAGTAAATAATGGGTTCTCCTTTTGTACCTAGTTGTGGGGACACCTTGTAGTGACTGTATGATTAGCCATACATGAAGAGAAGTAATGGGTTCTCCTTTTGTACCTAGTTGTGGAGACACCTTGTAGTGACTGTATGGGCAGGAGTGAGTAAATTTTAGGTTACCAATACAGTCACTTCAAGATGTTCTACTACTAGGGTCAAGGGGAACCAATTACCTACTGAATCCTGTGTTGGCTACATATAAGTCCACTACAAGGTGTCTCCATTACTAGAGACCAAGGGGGACCTATTACTTATTCACACATCTTCATGTATGGCTACTCATAAGGCCATTACAAAGTATTCCCACAACTATGTTTCCCTAATAACACACAGCCATGTACAATTATAACTTTATTTATCGTGAAATAAAACACAATTTCAGCAAATATATTTATTATGAAAATAAATATTTCTTTAACAAAATGATGAATTAAAACACTTTTAAAGCTATTCATCAAAACTTCCACTGAATAGATCACAATCATAGATGAATCAAATTCTGTCCTTTCTTTGTGTCATCAGATGCCATATGTCTCTTCAGCAATGTTCTCTTGTTCTAATATGATAGACTTCATTGATTAATCATTTGTTCATAAAATTCTGCAGGTTGGGTTGATACATTTTCCTTATCAGCTGACAAGTGCTCTTCAGCAATATTCTCATGTTTAGTATAAAAGACTATATCGATTGTCATTTTCTATCAAAATTTTGCAGGTCTAGATAAAACATGCTGCCATGCAAATTTCAAACATAGCGTGTAATTATGTAAAGGTACTCAACATTTAAACACTGCAACACAAAATTAATATTTTTTTAAATAATGCAAATGTAAACTGTAAAGTCTTTATCATTTTCAAAAAAAACAAAAACAAAAAAAATCCATGCATTTGGGAATGTAAGAAAATCCACTTATAGTCCAAGCCTAAACCTGCAGTAGCAATGCTACCCCACCGAGGGTCCACTTGCTCTGCTTCTCCTTGCTCTTCAGGTTGAATGTCCAGACAAATGTTGGACCACGACTCTTTGTCTTGTACACTGGACACTCGTAGATGTTCTTCATGTCCATACGGTCTACTGGTATGGCTTTGATGAAGATGACTGGCATTGGTGGAGCCAATTCCTTCAGTCTGGCTTCGTTGATCATGCCTGTCTGCATGTCCCAGCGAGCACCTTCCATGAAAAGGCCATGGACATATGCACCCTCTCGTGGTGGGCCAGCCATGTCCTCTCTATTCTTCTTGGTCACATCACACTGTAGTGCCATTCTATCAAGGGGCCACTCATTCTTACGTGCCATCTGCTGCATAATGGCAGTAAGGAAGGACTGTGGATTGAAGAACCCACCCAACCATACTGCAGCAGGAAGCTGGAAGTCAGATGTCCAAGTTTCTAACTCCTTGATACGAAGCAGAAGATCAGCATACCAAGCAGTAAGGCCAAACAGGGAAGGATAAGCTCTCTTTGTCCAACTTGCTGGTACAACATCCAAGAACATGGAATTTCCAAGGGTCTCCATATCGGCAGTAATTGTCAGTTCTCCCTGTAGAAGACATTCATGAGAGATTATGGCATATCCTCGTCAATATACAACTTTTACATTTTTAATATACTTTCAAATAGTTCTATTGATTGAGAAAGAGAATATTCATTTTTAAGTCATGTTTCTCATGAAATGGATCCAAAATAGGGATGTGCAGTTCATGTCAATGTTATGTTTTTTTGATAATGACGATAGTCATGGACAGTTTATTGTTCACATGTTTCTGATTAAGAAGTTAGACTGGAGGCTATCAAAGACAAAAATGCTTTGACCAATCACATGACAGAGATGCCCAATGTCGGATGTAAAGTAAACAAATTTCAAAATCTCAAAACAGATACTTTTCTCCTTTATTTAGGTTGGATGGTGCAAGGGCAGATCCAACCCTAAGGTCCTACTATTTCCCCCTTATCATTGGCCCAGAAACTTAGTAATCAAGACAATTGATGGTCATGGGTAACTTTAGTAGGATACCCTTGACTCGGGGGATTCAATCTGTTTGAACAGCTTAGACTCTGAAGTAGATCCTATAGCATTTCATTGACTGTGTCCTATTGGACAGCTAAACCAATTAAAATTGAAATGAAGATGCCTTACCTTCAGACCAAGATCCAGCTCTTTCAATGATCTTCTTATTTCATTTGTCAGTGAATTCATACGCTCACATTCCTGGAATGCCACCAAAACATATGGGGTCCTCTCATCTGGTGGTACTTTGGCTTGGATTTCGACAAGGTTGAACTCTTCAGGAAGCTTCTCCATAATCTCGTCAAGGATGGATTTAATCTGAGTACAAGACAAGTACAAATGCAAACTTTGAATATAATGATCCAGAGCAACATGTTTCACTCGTGGATAATGATATGCAAACAATTAAGCAAATATTTGAAGTTTCCAGTCAAATTTCTCACATATTCAGTGTAGTTCAAATTTTTGAAAACCATTTACAGACACTTTCTATAGCTTGACTATGGCTTAATTTTGCAGGGTCTTCCTACTGACACATGGCCTAGTTTGACAGATAAATCTTCTCCCTAATGACACTTGGTTAATTTGGCAAGGCCTCCCTCTCCTTACTGAAATCTGGCTTAGTTTGACAGGTAAATCTTCTCCCTAATGACACTTGGTTTAATTTGGCAAGGCCACCCTCTCCCTACTGACACATGGCCTATTTGACAGGTAAACCTTCTCCCTAATGACACTTGGTTTAATTTGGCAAGACCACCCTCTCCCTACTGAAAGCTGGCTCAGTTTGACAGGTAAACCTTTTCCCTAATGACACTTGGTTTAATTTGGCAAGGCCACCCTCTCCCTACTGATACATGGCCTAGTTTTGTCATGTAAACCTTCTCCCTAATGACACCTGGCCTAATTTGGCAGGGCCACCTCCACAGTCAACCTCTTCTCGTCAATATACTGCTTAACTTACCTTCTCCTCCCTACTGATACCAGCACCAGTTCCTGCTCCTGCCTCACGAGGCTGCATTTCAAACACTGTTCTGAACAAAGTCTCTGATGTTGTTGTCAAAAATTCAATCTCTGCATTGGGATGGAGGCCATAAAGGTATGGGCTTTCTGGAGGAAGACACTCATTAATGTAGGCATGGTAGCCCTTGTAATCTGAGTTTGGAGGAATAGGGAAACCTGGAGCAAGGTATAGTTCACCATCCAACTGCAATGACAAATTTATTGTAAAAATTTGTGATCTAAATTAATTTGTAGATACAAATAAATTATGATCATATAATGAAATGCCTCTCAAAAACATTTTTTCCATTTAGCCTACTTGTCTATAAGGTCAACTTATGAAATGGAATGATTGGACTGAAATGCCTCTCACTGAAACTTCATCATGAGCCACATTTATCTACCACCATAGATTTCAAGCAGCCATACTATGATTGACATTAAAGTTTGAGAAGCAACTAACCATTTCAGGATGCATGTAGACCTCCAGATATGTCCTACAAAGTCGCCTGTCCCAGTCATCTGTGATGTGTCCTCCGTACATGATCTCACCAAAGAGATAGCGTAGATCCTCCCATGGCACCTTGGCATTGGCTTCCAGGTAGTTGTACAGTACCATGGCACTAATGGTAAGATCTCCAGTGTTATAGGGATAAACTCTGTTCCAGCCCTGAGGCCCAAACTTACGCCTCTCACACACCACTGCGTGGAAGTAACACAGTGAGAAAAGGATACTTTTGAACTCTGTCTCTCTTGCACACATTTCCATGGTGTCCTATGTCAGAAAAAAGACAATTCCATTTCATTAAAAAAACTAGAACAAAATCTTATATCTCACCTTAAAAGACATAAACCAGACTTACTGTTTGTTACTGATTTGCAAGTGAAAGAAAATCTGATGAAAATAACTGTAAATTGTTTGGTTCTTGTCTTCACGTTTCCAAGCCATTCCACTATAAACAAGAGGCCCACAGGCCTTACAGTCATCTGACTACAAAAACTTTCAGCAAGGAGGCATTATTTTTCTACTTTTTCTACTGGAATGAAATCTTACTAAGAAGCTATTTTCCATGATTCAGATGGTAGTTTTGGTGAGCAGTAGGTAACTGTAACAAGTGTTACCTATTTTTTGACAATAAAAGTTTTCAGATAGCATTCAACTCTTAATCTGAGTCAGTTTCTTTTCTGTAGGCACGGTCCTTGGGTCAAAAAGGGTTAACCCTGCCTCCTGTATATAAGAAATGTCTCCACCCTCAATGATATTTCAGGAGTAACGTTTGGGTCCACCTCAATTATTTCAGAAATAATTTCATTCTAATGATGTTTACAAAAGTCCGTAGCCTGCACCTTTGTCACTTCATTATCTGTTTAATGTTGGCTTTTTTTCCCCACATGATACTCAAGTTTAAACCGGTCTGGTTGGATCATTTGTATTATAAAACATTACCAATAAACTAACCTGGTTGGATCATTTGTATTATAAAACATTACCAATAAACTAACCTGGTTGGATCATTTGTATTATAAAACATTACCAATTAACTAACCTGGTTGGATCATTTGTATTATAAAACATTACCAATTAACTGGTCTTGTTGGATCATTAGTATTATAAAACATTACCAATTAACTGGTCTGGTTGGATCATTTGTATTATAAAACATTACCAATAAACTAACCTGGTTGGATCATTTGTATTATAAAACATTACCAATTAACTAACCTGGTTGGATCATTTGTATTATAAAACATTACCAATTAACTAACCTGGTTGGATCATTTGTATTATAAAACATTACCAATTAACTAACCTGGTTGGATCATTTGTATTATAAAACATTACCAATTAACTAACCTGGTTGGATCATTTGTATTATAAAACATTACCAATTAAATGGTCTTGTTGGATCATTTGTATTATAAAACATTACCAATTAACTAACCTGGTTGGATCATTTGTATTATAAAACATTACCAATTAACTAACCTGGTTGGATCATTTTTATTATAAAACATTACCAATTAACTAACCTGGTTGGATCATTTGTATTATAAAACATTACCAATTAACTAACCTGGTTGGATCATTTGTATTATAAAACATTACCAATTAACTAACCTGGTTGGATCATTTGTATTATAAAACATTACCAATTAGATGATCTTGTTGGATCATTAGTATTATAAAACATTACCAATTAACTAACCTGGTTGGATCATTAGTATTATAAAACATTACCAATTAACTAACCTGGTTGGATCATTTGTATTATAAAACATTACCAATTAACTAACCTGGTTGGATCATTTGTATTATAAAACATTACCAATTAACTAACCTGGTTGGATCATTTGTATTATGAAACATTACCAATAAACTAACCTGGTTGGATCATTTGTATTATAAAACATTACCAATTAACTAACCTGGTTGGATCATTTGTATTATAAAACATTACCAATTAACTAACCTGGTTGGATCATTTGTATTATAAAACATTACCAATTAACTAACCTGGTTGGATCATTTGTATTATAAAACATTACCAATTAAATGGTCTTGTTGGATCATTTGTATTATAAAACATTACCAATTAGATGATCTTGTTGGATCATTAGTATTATAAAACATTACCAATTAACTAACCTGGTTGGATCATTTGTATTATAAAACATTACCAATAAACTAACCTGGTTGGATCATTTGTATTATAAAACATTACCAATTAACTAACCTGGTTGGATCATTTGTATTATAAAACATTACCAATTAACTGGTCTTGTTGGATCATTAGTATTATAAAACATTACCAATTAACTGGTCTGGTTGGATCATTTGTATTATAAAACATTACCAATTAACTAACCTGGTTGGATCATTTGTATTATAAAACATTACCAATTAACTAACCTGGTTGGATCATTTGTATTATAAAACATTACCAATTAGATGATCTTGTTGGGTCATTAGTATTATAAAACATTACCAATTAAATGGTCTTGTTGGATCATTTGTATTATAAAACATTACCAATTAAATGGTCTTGTTGGATCATTTGTATTATAAAACATTACCAATTAGATGATCTTGTTGGATCATTAGTATTATAAAACATTACCAATTAACTAACCTGGTTGGATCATTTGTATTATAAAACATTACCAATTAACTAACCTGGTTGGATCATTTGTATTATAAAACATTACCAATTAGATGATCTTGTTGGATCATTAGTATTATAAAACATTACCAATTAGATGATCTTGTTGGATCATTAGTATTATAAAACATTACCAATTAACTAACCTGGTTGGATCATTTTTATTATAAAACATTAACAATTAACTAACCTGGTTGGATCATTTGTATTATAAAACATTACCAATTAGATGATCTTGTTGGATCATTAGTATTATAAAACATTACCAATTAACTAACCTGGTTGGATCATTTGTATTATAAAACATTACCAATTAACTAACCTGGTTGGATCATTAGTATTATAAAACATTACCAATTAACTAACCTGGTTGGATCATTTGTATTATAAAACATTACCAATTAACTAACCTGGTTGGATCATTTGTATTATAAAACATTACCAATTAACTAACCTGGTTGGATCATTTGTATTATAAAACATTACCAATTAGATGATCTTGTTGGATCATTAGTATTATAAAACATTACCAATTAACTAACCTGGTTGGATCATTTGTATTATAAAACATTACCAATTAACTAACCTGGTTGGATCATTTGTATTATAAAACATTACCAATTAAATGGTCTTGTTGGATCATTTGTATTATAAAACATTACCAATTAGATGATCTTGTTGGATCATTAGTATTATAAAACATTACCAATTAAATGGTCTTGTTGGATCATTTGTATTATAAAACATTACCAATTAGATGATCTTGTTGGATCATTAGTATTATAAAACATTACCAATTAGATGATCTTGTTGGATCATTAGTATTATAAAACATTACCAATTAACTAACCTGGTTGGATCATTTGTATTATAAAACATTACCAATAAACTAACCTGGTTGGATCATTTGTATTATAAAACATTACCAATTAACTAACCTGGTTGGATCATTTGTATTATAAAACATTACCAATTAACTAACCTGGTTGGATCATTTGTATTATAAAACATTACCAATTAACTAACCTGGTTGGATCATTTGTATTATAAAACATTACCAATTAAATGGTCTTGTTGGATCATTAGTATTATAAAACATTACCAATTAACTAACCTGGTTGGATCATTTGTATTATAAAACATTACCAATTAACTGGTCTGGTTGGATCATTTTTATTATAAAACATTACCAATTAACTAACCTGGTTGGATCATTTGTATTATAAAACATTACCAATTAACTAACCTGGTTGGATCATTTGTATTATAAAACATTACCAATTAACTAACCTGGTTGGATCATTTGTATTATAAAACATTACCAATTAACTAACCTGGTTGGATTATTTTTATTATATAACATTAACAATTAACTGGTCTGGTTGGATAATTTGTATTATAAAACATTACCAATTAAATGGTCTTGTTGGATCATTAGTATTATAAAACATTACCAATTAACTAACCTGGTTGGATCATTTGTATTATAAAACATTACCAATTAACTAACCTGGTTGGATCATTTGTATTATAAAACATTAACAATTAACTGGTCTGGTTGGATAATTTGTATTATAAAACATTACCAATTAAATGGTCTTGTTGGATCATTAGTATTATAAAACATTACCAATTAACTAACCTGGTTGGATCATTAGTATTATAAAACATTACCAATTAACTGACCTGGTTGGATCATTTTTATTATAAAACATTACCAATTAACTGGTCTAGTAAGATTTACCTGGTTAAAGTTATCTAAAGCCTTGTGTAGATTGGCAAACATTCCTGTTGGAGGTTCATTTGTAATTTTTATTGCAGATTCCAGGATTCCCTGAGGAATGATATGGTATTCTGGTGAACCTGCTGGCTCAGCACTGATGTACAATCTGTAGTTTTCATGACTCTCCTGACTGTAAATTTCCATTTTCTTTTCCAACGTTGCCAGCCATTTTGCCACCAAGTGAACATTCTGTCAAGATTAGGAAAACAGAATAAGGAAGGTGATACATGAAAAATCAATAACCTTTTAAATCAATTTATTCTGATGAAGGGAAAATTCTTGTATTGAATTGTGAGATGACCTGTGACCCTAGCCTACAGTGTAAAGGTTACCTGTCAGATGTCAAGCTATCCAAGTGAGATGACCAGTAGGATACAGTGTAAAGGTTACCTGTCTGATGTCAAGCTATCCAAGTGTGATGACCAGTAGGATACAGTGTAAAGGTTACCTGTCAGATGTCAAGCTATCCAAGTGAGATGACCAGTAGGCTACAGTGTAAAGGTTACCTGTCAGATGTCAAGCTATCCAAGTGAGATGAGTAGGATACAGTGTAAAGGTTACCTGTCAGATGTCAAGCTATCCAAGTGAGATGAGTAGGCTACAGTGTAAAGGTTACCTGTCAGATGTCAAGCTACCCAAGTGAGATGACCAGTAGGATACAGTGTAAAGGTTACCTGTCAGATGTCAAGCTATCCAAGTGAGATGAGTAGGATACAGTGTAAAGGTTACCTGTCAGATGTCAAGCTATCCAAGTGAGATGAGTAGGTTACAGTGTAAAGGTTACCTGTCAGATGTCAAGCTACCCAAGTGAGATGACCAGTAGGATACAGTGTAAAGGTTACATGTCAGATGTCAAGCTATCCAAGTGAGATGAGTAGGCTACAGTGTAAAGGTTACCTGTCAGATGTCAAGCTACCCAAGTGAGATGACCAGTAGGATACAGTGTAAAGGTTACCTGTCAGATGTCAAGCTATCCAAGTGAGATGAGTAGGATACAGTGTAAAGGTTACCTGTCAGATGTCAAGCTACACAAGTGAGATGACCAGTAGGATACAGTGTAAAGGTTACCTGTCAGATGTCAAGCTATCCAAGTGAAATGACCAGTAGGATACAGTGTAAAGGTTACCTGTCAGATGTCAAGCTATCCAAGTGAAATGACCAGTAGGATACAGTGTAAAGGTTACCTGTCAGATGTCAAGCTACCCAAGTGAAATGACCAGTAGGCTACAGTGTAAGTTACCTGTAAGATGTCAAGCTACCCAAGTGAAATGACCAGTAGGCTACAGTGTAAGTTACCTGTAAGATGTCAAGCTACCCAAGTGAGATGACTAGTAGGCTACAGTGTAAGTTACCTGTCAGATGTCAAGCTACACAAGTGAAATGACCAGTAGGCTACAGTGTAAGTTACCTGTAAGACAACCCAGTGTCCTTCCTTTGCTGACAAATCCATGGCCTGTTCTGCTACCACCTCCTGTCCTTGCCCCAGGGAGATGTTATGGAAGTTATTGTTGTCTTCAGTAAATCCAATTTTCTTTCCATGAGCTTCAACATCCTTAAGAGGGTTAACTCCTGGAGACAGAATGAAAAAGATTGGGGTGGCAGGATCGGTTTCCTCGTAAGATGTAGCGAAGTCCACAGATCTGCCCTCAACATATTTAGTACCCATCTTTTCTTCCACAAAATTCCTGAAACAATTGTTAGCAACAAGTTAGACCTATCACAGGTGCACATGAACCGTCAAGAATATCATTCTTAACACAACATCAGATTTATATCAGAAATACAAAATCCAATTTTTTTTTATGATATACATACTTGACAGCATATGTCATTCTGTCTGGACGGAGGGCACGCATCATACACAGTTTCTGTAGTGATGTCTTGTTCTTCCACTCCTGCGGGAACTTCTCCTTTTCAGGACACTCACTCTCAACAAACTTTTTCCATCGTTTGGCAGACCCTTCTATGTCCCTGTCCAAGTTCCTGAACTCATCCATATTTGCCATAGCCTATAACAGACATGTTTGTTCCTAGTACTATATACTGTTTTTCAATACTCTACCCTATTCAACTACAAAAGATTTTATTAAGTAGAAATTGCATATAAGACATAGATACCAGCGATTCCATTAAAATTTGTTCCATTAATTGTCATATTTGACCTTTACATATAGTTCTCAGGTAAGGATAGACCTGGTCAGAAATATTCCCTACCCTCCAGAAAATGGAACAGGAAAAAAAAAAAAAAGGAAAAAGAACAGGAAATTTGCATCTCTTACCTTGATCCCTCCCCAGCTGTTGTTGTTCATGAAGTCAACTGGGGAAATAACGTTAGGCACAGCAGGGAAACGTAGGAGGAAATCCAGTTCTACGGGATTCAGTTCCTTATTAGTTGAAAGGATCTGTACAATTACAATGAATATAGCATTACTATTCAAACTTACAGTCAATTTTGGTTAGCTTAGCAGAAAATTAAATAGCTTGTAAAATTTGTAGCCTGTTAAAACATCACACAATAGTCATTTACACTATTAAAATACATTATCTAATAACCCTTCACACTATCAAAATGCATCAAGCAATAACCCTTCAAGAAATAATCCTTTACACTATCAAAATACATCAAGTAATAACCCTTCACACTATCAAAATACATCAAGTAATAACCCTTCACACTATCAAAATAGATCAAGTAATAACCCTTCACACTATCAAAATACATCAAGTAATAAACCTTTACACTATCAAAATAGATCAAGTAATAACCCTTCACACTATCAAAATACATCAAGTAATAACCCTTCACACTATCAAAATACATCAAGTAATAACCTTTCACACTATCAAAATACATCAAGTAATAACCCTTTACACTATCAAAATAGATCAAGTAATAACCCTTCACACTATCAAAATACATTAAGTAATAACCTTTCACACTATCAAAATACATCAAGTAATAACCCTTCACACTATCAAAATACATCAAGTAATAACCCTTCACACTATCAAAATACATCAAGTAATAACCCTTCACACTATCAAAATACATCAAGTAATAACCTTTCACACTATCAAAATACATCAAGTAATAACCCTTTACACTATCAAAATAGATCAAGTAATAACCCTTCACACTATCAAAATACATTAAGTAATAACCTTTCACACTATCAAAATACATCAAGTAATAACCCTTTACACTATCAAAATAGATCAAGTAATAACCCTTCACACTATCAAAATACATCAAGTAATAACCCTTCACACTATCAAAATACATCAAGTAATAACCTTTCACACTATCAAAATACATCAAGTAATAACCCTTTACACTATCAAAATAGATCAAGTAATAACCCTTCACACTATCAAAATACATTAAGTAATAACCTTTCACACTATCAAAATACATCAAGTAATAACCCTTCACACTATCAAAATACATCAAGTAATAACCCTTCACACTATCAAAATACATCAAGTAATAACCCTTCACACTATCAAAATACATCAAGTAATAACCCTTCACACTATCAAAATAGATCAAGTAATAACCCTTCACACTATCAAAATACATCAAGTAATAACCCTTCACACTGTCAAATTGCATCAAGTAAGAACCCTTCACACTATCAAAATACATCAAGTAAGAACCCTTCACACTATCAAAATACATCAAGTAAGAACCCTTCACACTATCAAAATGCATCAAGCAATAACCCTTCAAGAAATAACCCTTTACACTATCAAAATACATCAAGTAATAACCCTTCACACTATCAAAATACATCAAGTAATAACCCTTCACACTGTCAAAATATATGTTACAGCCCTTTACACCATCAGGATATACCATGTAATAGCCTTTACACTGTCAATAAATCCATACAATACTACTAGTAACCTTATATGTTTCTTGTGTCCCCCTTTGATTTTCTGAGATGATTAATTCATCAAACAAATCAACATCATTGGTGTGTTAGTTCCCTCTAGGCAGCTGGCCTAATATGATTGATAAGAAACTCCATAGTAGTCAGACTTTGACACAATATTGATAGCAGGTGTTGACCTATAGTGACCACTGTATAGCTAGAATAGTGAGCTCAGTGGTAAATATATTAACAACAGTAGGTACTGACCTATAGTGACCACTATGTAGCTAGAATAGTGAGCTCAGTGGTAGATACACTAACAACAGTATGTACTGACCTATAGTGACCACTATATAGCTAGAATAGTGAGCCCAGTGGTAAATAGATTAACAACAGTAGGTACTGACCTATAGTGACCACTATATAGCTAGAATAGTGAGCTCAGTTGTAAATACATATACAACAGTAGGTACTGACCTATAGTGACCACTACCTACCTGGAATGCCATTTGGGAAGTGAAGATGATTTTGTCCCTCTCAAACAGACCTCTGGCTGTATACATGAACACAGAGTAGGTTATACAGTCAATCAAGTTATTCACTCTTGCCTTCACTTCCTCTGCTACTTCAGCTTTATCTATGGCCTTCTCAAACACCACAGTGAATGCCTGTATCAATGACAAAAGGATTAGAACCTTGACTGTAAAAGTATAAACAATATTTATATTTATCAAAAGTAATTAATACAAATATATGAAATTAACTCATGTAACAAACTCCAAAGAAGGCATTGGTCTAAGTATGATAAAATAAACCATGTGTACCTTGATAGATAAATTGCATCACTATGGTATACTTAATAGTGAAAGATAATTTCTAAATTGTGTTAACATTGTATTGTTGATTGTGAGATACTGATTATGAAAACATTGTATTGTTGATTGTGAGATACTGATTATGAAAACATTGTATTGTTGATTGTGAGATACTGATTATGAAAACATTGTATTGTTGATTGTGAGATACTGATTATGAAAACATTGTATTGTTGATTGTGAAATACTGATTATGAAATATTGTATTGTTGATTGTGAGATACTGATTATGAAAACATTGTATTGTTTATTCTCGTAGATAAATTTTGTGATGGTTGTATTGTGGATCTTAATAGATAAATTAAATGTCTAACATAGTATCAAATAACTGTCAAGCAAATGATGTGTGGCATTCATGCAATGGTTTGTTTGTTGAATAAGTACTTTACCTTGAGAGAGAATTGATACATAGGGTGAATCTTGTGTAGGTCATTGAGGATGAAATAGAGCAGTGAGGCACGGGCAGCTGCTGGTCTGTAGATTTCACGGGCAATGTTGATTTCGATTTCTGTCTTCTTAGCCTCCTCAGCCTTAACTTCAATCTCTGCTGCAGTTCTCTTTGTTGTCTCCAGATTTTCTACCAGTGCATAATCTCCCAAAAAGTTACCTTCAGCAGCAGACAATCGTGCAAGGAGTGAATCTTCTAACTCCTTCAGGGTGATCTTGAACTGATTTTGTTGGCGAGTGAGGTCTGCTTTCAGTTTCTCAAGGTCAGGTCTTTCCTTGCTGACCACTGCAGCCAGCAACTGATCTTCAAGACCATCCTTAGTCACAGTAAAGTTGATGAGAGTTGCCTGAGCTTGCATCTCTGGCTGGTAATGAGGATTGGCCAGCTTAGTCTGGAGAATTAGACGAAAGTCTTTGTGATACTCCACCTCCTTGTCTCCCATCTTGATGGCTCGTCCTTTTTTGATGGTGTTGCGGCCAATAAGAGGATCAAGGACAGGATCTACATATTCTCCCAAGTTCTCAATCAACACCACATCTCCTGAGGACACTGCCCGTTCTAGGGCATCCAAATATCCCTTCTGTCCTAGCTGAACTATTTTCAGGTCAGCTCCATACTTTGTTTTGATCCACTTGATACCCTGTAGTTGGGGATCTATCATCAGGGGCCAACGTTCACAGTTCGACAATATAGTGGCATTTTCTGTAGACATCTTATCACTGGGAAGACCTTCATTGTTCCATGAGGCAATCTGAGCATCATCTGTCAAAAGTGTCAATGGATCTAATCCTTCTGAGACAGGAATAGGGACTTTCAGTGCATTCAAATATGGCAGCCAGTGGTTATCCATCATATCCACACGGTAGAGTTTGGTAAAGCAGCCTGAATACGACACAAAAGCAGTGATCAATAATACATCTCCAGCAAGGGTCTTCTCTTGCTCTCTGAAGTCTCCAATGGCATCAGCCCAACGTACATTTTCTGAAGCTAAACCACCAACAAGACGATTAGCTAATTCAATAGTCTTTGCTGTCATCTCTGCTTCTTGTTGACACTTCAACTTCTCAGATGTGGCACGTTCAAACTCTGCTGTTAGCTTGCCCAAATCAGCCTCTAGCTGTTGAATCTTGTTGGTAATGACCCTCAGCTTTTCTCTGGCAGCAGACAGTTCAGCATTTGCTTGCTGTAAGGCAAGCCTCTTTGGTTCTACAGTACAAAATACATTGTAATACATAACAATGTTTACTGCCCAGGAACACAGCCCAGCAGCAGCAGCAGATTTTGCCTTGATAAACTCAGGATCAAATTCAGGATCCTTCAGGTATGGATCCACTGCCTTTAGGCAGTTCTCATGGATGTTGTCTTTGTCATAGTTGACCAAGTTGTCAAGGAACTGATCTACCTGTAAAGAGAGACAAAATGTGATGTAAATGTATAGTACTTTCTTGGAACAGATCCACTAATTGTCACTAAGGTAACTGATTTACTAATTACTAGGGGTAACTGATCCACTAATTGTCACTAGGGGTAACTGATTCACTAATCATCACTAGGGGTAACGGATTCACTAATTATCACTAGGGGTAACAGATTCACTAATTATCACTAGGGGTAACGGATTCACTAATTATCACTAGGGGTAACTGATTCACTAATCATCACTAGGGGTAACTGATTCACTAATTGTCACTAGGGGTAACGGATTCACTAATTATCACTAGGGGTAACTGATTCACTAATTATCACTAGGGGTAACAGATTCACTAATTATCACTAGGGGTAACGGATTCACTAATTATCACTAGGGGTAACTGATTCACTAATTATCACTAGGGGTAACGGATTTACTAATTATCACTAGGGGTAACAGATTCACTAATCATCACTAGGGGTAACGGATTCACTAATTATCACTAGGGGTAACTGATTCACTAATTATCACTAGGGGTAACGGATTCACTAATTATCACTAGGGGTAACGGATTCACTAATTATCACTAGGGGTAACTGATTCACTAATTATCACTAGGGGTAACTAATTCATTTACTGTCCCTAAGGTAACTGTTCCATTTGTCGTAACTAGGGTAACTTGATTTATTTATAGCCACTAGGGTCCCTGATACACAGACTGTCATTATCTGGTACACTCACTGACACTTGGTTTGATTGAGGCTTGCTAGGCACAAATAAAAATAGGTTGCCTTACCTTTCCCATCATTTGGGTCTTAGCAGCCTTCCAGCTTCTGTCTTTAGGAATTTTGTTGCCTGGTGATAACAGAACCATGACAGCAGCAGTGACATTGATAACAGAGGGAGGGGGGCTACCAAAAGACTTCAATTCAGTCAAATTCGTCTGAAAAACAGAATATTGGCATTAAGACAAAAAAAAGGATGGTAAACAGGGGTGGGTGGGAATGGATGTAAAGTTATGTTAATTGATGAGTGCAGACAAAAATATCTCCATATCCCTATCTATATAACAAAGTTCACATGTGCTTCAATTCCATCCCAGAAATGTATTTTAGAATATTCATTTCTGAGTTATGTATAACATTACATTACTTTGATAAAAGCTGATTAACTGTGGAACTTTTGCACTTACACAATTTTTTTTCTAGATAACAGTAATGTATTTCAGTTTTACCCCTGCTAATATTCTTTAAATTGTTCTTTATAACAAAGTAAGGAAACTTTATTTTTTCTTTTGGGAGACACCTGCAAATAATGGGAAGGTTGACAGGTATGCATCAATTCTATCTAACCTAAATGAAATTTTCACAAAAAAAAAAGAGAAAAAGAAAAAAAATACTAGCATTTTGAAATATTTGCTTTGTTTTAAGTTTTTTTTATACATTTGTTTAAGTTATCTACTCTAAATACAACTTATTCAAGAAAAAAAGGATTTTTCAGATTTGTTATTTACATCCAAGGAGATGTTTCCTGTTTATCCTGATACAAACCAGGTGCACTGACACACATTTCCATATTTGAGTGAAGTCAACATGAGATAACATGAAATGATGTAAGAATATTTAATAAAGACTCATTAAGCTATTTATATGTTTTGTGCTCAACTTCAGATGTAATGTTATCTGAGGCATTAAAGCTTTTCAGAATCATCAAAACCTAGACAATAAAAGATTGTATGTAGTACATCATAATTACTTGACTATATAGATGTGTACCCTTCTCTGAAACTGTTCTCCAAGACTGTGTAAAATGTAAGATTTAATGGACCATGTTTGAAGTAAAAAATATTTCCCTAGTAATAAATTATGTAAAGCTAAGCTGTATAAGGGGATTACAAACACCCCCCTCTCTTAAGAAGCTTTAGTTTGATTTGTAAAATGATGTTTTATTGTAAGACAGCATATAATATAGACAATACATGAACAACCTGTTTCACTTGTATATAAACAGGCTGAGGGTTATAATAAGATAACCTATGGTGTTGTTTTGTGTTAGCTAAATACAGGGTATATACCTTGTTCAGAGTGTTCAATGCTTCTTTGGCAGCCTCCAGGGCAGGCAAAGCTTTTGCAAGATCACGCTCACAATCCACCTGCTTTTTACCAACTTCTTCATTGATTACAGACACTTTTTTCTCCTCTTCATCAGCGATTGCTTTTTCTTTGGATACCTTCTCTGTCTCTGCACCGACCACTGTAATCAGCTTGTTGGCATCCTCATTCTTTTGGGCCAGTTCTACCTCCTGTGATGCCAACTTTGATTTCAAATCAGCCACCTGCAGATGATAGAGAAGATTTTGAAACAGTGATTGATTGGGGTCACGTCTTTATATCATAGGAGACTATAGCATCTTTTATCTCCTTGGGGTTGTGGTAGGGGGTATTTAACAGGACAAATTAAAAAGTTACATGAGATTTGTTCTCCAAAGGGTGAATGATTATTTTTCTTTTATCCTGCTGACCTTCATGTCATTATACCAATGCTTAGCATTGTTATCACCACATAATTGTGTTAAGAAAGGGGAATCCCCCAGACTCAACCTTAAGGTGAGGAGAGTTTGTGCAGGTAAGACTTCTCAGAATGGTCACTTTTGTTGTATCTTGGAAATAATTGACCATTTGTAACTGGGATGAACAGATCATCTCACTGACAAAACTACCTTATTCTGATGAAAATGTTACCTGTGTAGCTGTACTTCTCAACTTCTCTAAACCATTCTCTAACCGAACAATCTTAGCCTGCAACTCCACGTTCTTCTTGTTCAAAAGGTTGTCATACAGCTTGATCTGCTCCAAGAAACTCTTTGGTGTTGTGTAGTTGTATCGTTTCTCATTGATCAGATATTTGTGGCTGGTTTCATTGACAGACTGATGCACAAAGGCCATGAATCTTGATATGGATTCTCTCATGTCCGACTGAAGAAAGTAATTGAAAATAGTCCTTAGTACTTTTAGCACTAGAGTTAAAATATTATGAAACATTCATTACTCTGAAGATTAAACAAAATGAAAACCATCAGTACTCTACAGTAAATGAAAATTAATTAAATGCTATGAACTTACACTAAGTAGCTCAATTTCTTCCAGGAACCTACTAGACACAGAGATAAGAGCAGTTTCGGGCCATTCGTGAAACCAGTCAATACAGGTACAGTTGGTGACAGCTGGAAATTTCCTTCCTCTGACACGGAGAGTAGAGCCAACAGGAGAAAAACACAGTACTACCTGTACACAAAGATTTATATTACAGTAAACCTGTACACAAAAATTCTTAAGATTGTCATAAAATTTTGTATATCACTTTGTGAATGTCATGTCATACATTACCAGAATACTTTAAACATTTCTTTATACAATCGGCCAGGTTATGGTCTCCATTGGAAAGTTTCAAAAATATTTGAAAAAAACTATGGCTAACTAAGCAAAAAAAATCTGAAAACACTGCACAGATTTGTTTAAGTTATCCAAGGCATATACTCAATACTTCAATAATAATGAGCATCTTGCAGTTATACACATTTTTTCTCCAAGTTTATATTATGAACAATTATGAACACAATACCTTCAACAACCTCCTGACTTTGTCAATGAAGAACTTCCAGCAGTTTTCTCTACTGTCCTCCAGTCCTACACCTTTCACTTCATTTCTGATGCCATTGATGATGTTCTCCAACTCGTCATCTGGGAATAAGTCAGCAATTTCTCCAGAAGCCAACAAATCATTAATGAGTACAAGGAATCTTTCATCTGCCACTTGAGCATCAGTCATGAGGAATACTATGCCCATATTTTTAAGTCCAGCCTTCAGATATAGAGTGGACAATTCAAGTTTTAAGTCAGCAATGCTGTATCCTTTCCTCAGTGTGATCTGGTATACATCCAGACTGCTGATAGAAGCAGCAAGTCGGGAAAGACTTTGCTTTCCACTGCCACCCACACCAATCAGGAGAGCGTTTCCTCTTGGTGATTCCAGAATACGATTGATCCTGCACACGTGCATCATAGCATCCTCAAACAGAACCAGATTCATTGCAGCATTCAATTCATTATAGTTTTCCAGAGCTTCCACTAAGATTTTGTTCAGATCTTCCCAAGATGTAACTGGGTTGTACTTTGGATCTCCAACACCTTGTGAGAAGTGACAGTACATCAACGGTTCTTTGTACAGAACTGCCTCATCAACATCCTGCAATGAAAATACTCCATTTATTGGAATAAATTTTGAAATGATATTTTTCATCATCTAATAGTAAAATAACTTGTTATTGATTAAAAATATCTTTAAAAACCATTACCTCAAAGTTCTTTTTGATAATGTCTTTGACAACTTTGTCATATCCTTCTAGGTCAGCCTGGTCAACAAGTTTATCTTTGTATACTCTTTCTGCTTCATGAAGCCACAGCCGGACCAATTCCACCGGTGTTTTTGCACATTCAGGCAAAGCAAACAGAAGACCCTGCAGAAAATTGACAATAAAAAGGAATTAACAAATCTATTTCAGTTTTTCCAATCTAATAAAAGAATGCCAGAATTTCAATATTTTTCATCAGCACATAAAATAAGAATCCCTCCACAAGAAAATGAAGTCTTGTGAAATGATTATTGCTTATAAATTGATCAAGTCAATGATATGAGTTAAGGGTACAATAAAGGGTCTGATTGCACACAGGGTCAGTAGCACAAAAAAGATGTAGACACCAAGTACAAACATCAAGTGTGAGTCAGGAGTACACACATAGAGTACAAACACCAAGTGTGAGTCAGGAGTACTAACACCAAGTGTGAGTCAGGAGTACAAACACCAAGTGTGAGTCAGGAGTACAAACACCAAGTGTGAGTCAGGAGTATAAATACCAAGTGTGAGTCAGGAGTACAAATACCAAGTGTGAGTCAGTAGTACAAACAGAGTACAAACACCAAGTGTGAGTCAGGAGTACAAATACCAAGTGTGAGTCAGGAGTACTAACACCAAGTGTGAGTCAGGAGTACAAACACCAAGTGTGAGTCAGGAGTACAAACACCAAGTGTGAGTCAGGAGTATAAATATCAGGAATATAAATACCAAGTGTGAGTCAGGAGTACAAATACCAAGTGTGAGTCAGGAGAACAAACAGAGTACAAACACCAAGTGTGAGTCAGGAGTACAAATACCAAGTGTGAGTCAGGAGTACAAATACCAAGTGTGAGTCAGGAGTACAAACAGAGTACAAACACCAAGTGTGAGTCAGGAGTACAAACATAGAGTACAAACACCAAGTGTGAGTCAGGAGTACAAATACCATGTGTGAGTCAGGAGTACAAATACCAAGTGTGAGTCAGGAGTACAAACACCAAGTGTGAGTCAGAGTACAAATACCAAGTGTGAGTCAGGAGTACAAACACCAAGTGTGAGTCAGGAGTACAAATACCAAGTGCGATTCAGGAGTACAAATACCAAGTGTGAGTCAGGAGTACACACATAGAGTAAGGAGTACAAACATAGAGTACAAACACCAAGTGTGAGTCAGGAGTATAAATACCAAGTGTGAGTCAGGAGTACAAATACCAAGTGTGAGTCAGGAGTACAGAGTACAAACACCAAGTGTGACTCAGGAGTACAAACATAGAGTACAAACACCAAGTGTGAATCAGGAGTACACACATAGAGTACAAACACCAAGATTGTGCAGGTTTGATGTAAATGATATATTTGTACAGGTTACTTATAACCCTTCAAATAGTTTCAACTTTTACCTGGAAAATATTGGACAAGTCTCTGAGATTGAAGACATAGTGGAACTTGATGGCAGTGGGCAAGAAGGTGCTGGTGACTTTGGCGTGGAGAGCTAGGGCACCAGTAATAATTGCAGGGACATACTTCTGCACTGCCTGAGCGAAGCTGTTCTGAGCCAAGTGCTGGGACAAGATGCTAGTGTAGATAGTGGTCAAGGCTTCCCCATTCGGGAAATTCATCGCAAACACACAGAAATGTCTCTGAAAACACAAAGCAATGCATAGTTATAAAACATATTCTCAAATGATCATATTTTCAGACCATAAAATGGAACATTAAACATTCCTGAATTTAAGTAATATTACAAGTAGACACATCATTCTTAGAATCAAAAGATAATGAAGAATGAGAGGAATTCCTCTTGTGAGAAATCTGCCCCAGACCATGGTTAGTAAATGCTAACTTTTTCCAAAATGCTTTTAATGAAACATGCACTAATCTGTCAGCAGGAAAAAACTTGACATTATCAAGATATTATTTTTATGGCTTTCAAACAGTAGATTATGAGATGTACCTGTAGACGAGAGTCAATGGTAAAGCTACCCGCAGTGGGATTCATACAGCCAACATATTGGGTGTTGTGGATGTCCTTCAGTGTCAGTTTAGTCCTGTCATACCAATGGCTGTGATCGATGTGTTGCCTCATCAGTGTGTGGGGCTGTACAGTGAAGTACTTGTCCACCTGTCAACAGTATGTTAATAACAAAGTTTTAGTGGAACAACCCAATCACGCCTTGTCAGGCTGAAAATAGAAATCTTGGAATTTCTCACCATAACTTACATTTAACAGATCTGAAAAGACTTTACTATGATTACCTCTGGCATGTTCATGTCATCTACAAAGTAGATGAGCTTGCGTGTGCCTGGAGGTCCAAAGTTTCGCCCAGCTTTTTTCTCTAGTGGCTTCTCAAGGATTGACTGCAACATCTCAGAAGTGGTATAGAAATTGAAGGGCACATTTGCAACCATGTACTCTTCAGAGGCATTGTTTAGCTTGTCAGACATGAGCACGGTTTTGCCTGTTCCAGCATTTCCTACCAACATGACAGGTCGTCTCCTGTCTATCAACATGTCAAGGAAGAACTTGATCCTGGTTGTCTCTGAGGTATGCACCAATGCAGCCTAAAGATAAACAAAAATAACATTTATCAAAATAGCAACATTCATTTATACACTTAAATTTTAGTAATATCAATACACAAGTTTTTGAAGGTACAAGATAAATATGTTACCTGCAATGGTACGTCTGGATCAAGTTCAAACTTTTGTACAAGTTTAGTCCAGGGCTCAAACTTCTTTGATTCATTGTCAATGTAGTAGTCAAACACTGTGCCTTGGATTGGGAATTTCACAGTCTTGAATTCTGTTGTCCACCACTTAGTAAATTCAACTCGATAGTCGACAAGCTTTGGAGATAAAACAATTTGTTCCGTAATGAAACTTTAATAAAGTATGATTAATGCCTTGTGCTTATCAGATCCTCAAATATTAAAATTCTTTGTCTTTATCATCGAGCCTTATTCAAGTAAAATAGAATCAATGACTTTATTTTGAAATACAAGCCTAGCAGATAATGCATTGATGACATAAATTCTAAAATACAGGTCCAGCAGACATATAATTATTTGATATCATGAATTCTAAAATACAGGCATCAGATAACTGCTCATTCTACCTGATCTTGGAAGGTTACTCCGCCGAATGCCCACACACATGCAAACACAAAGTACAGTTCATACAGTTCCTTGGGACAGTCTGGAGGAGTGTTCTCTGGAGTGAGGAAGCATTCCAATAAGTAGCACAACATCTGGATCTGGCACACTTCAGCCACTGGAGTGATCTTCTTGAAGCGGAAGCGCATAGTGTCCAGGCATAACGGTATATACTTTTCAAAGAGAATGGACAAGTTAGCTTTCTCTGACTGTACCTCACGTGTGTCTATCCAGCTCTGTACATACCTGTAAAAACCAAAACAAGCATTTACATCTTAAAAACACATTAAAGGAACAATGGAGTGAAACATGAACACTGAAAACAATATTTAACATGTAATCAAATCTTTTCTCATATACAAGACAGTGAGATCACACATTCTGTCACTGCTGGATTTTTCTCACTCATTGAATCTATCAGGTACCTTAATTTCACATGACGATAAACATTTGACATTACAACCAAAATAATGCCATACCCAACTGCCTTTCTGACATATGACACAATGATGTACGCACCAAGAACTGTCACTCTGAGAATAACTGATACCTCTCTTACAGATGCAAAGACCTCTAAATACCAAATGTGGTCAAAACTCCATGAAAAAGCTATAAACAGTAAAAATGGGCTTGCAGCGCTCACCTGGTAGATATATATATATACTAGCTAAATATCATGCCTCACAGCTTTTAGTTCAAGAAAATAAGTTGTTTAAATGTTTTAACAAATTTTACTGCTGTGACCTGGAATGAAGGTCAGGGTCATTTCTTGTTCTAAACTTTGTCAAGCTTCTCATGCCTCTAGGCCTTTTACTTCATGAGAACAAGTCGTTTAAAGGTTAGGGTAAGAAAATAGGTCCAGGTCATTTTTTTTGGAAACTTTTATGGGTTTCATCCTAGTAATATTCCGGCCAAATATCATGCATCTAAGTCTTTCAGTTCATGAGAAAAAGTAGTTGGAATGTTAGACCAAAGTTGACCCCTGTGACTTTGAATATATGTCAAGGCCATTTAATTTTACAAAGCCCACAATTTGTTGTCATGACAATAAAACCCATTTAGTAATGGCACCCTATAAACCAAATTTGGTCAAAATTGGCAATATCTAAATTTCAATCAGAGGCCACCATTGATCTTAGCATGGTTGTCATGGCAATTGCAGTTTTTGCAATTACCAGTTACCGTTGTTACATACTGAAACCACTTACGGATTCCAGCCAAGATCGGCAGGGTTGATAAAGAGAATACCAGCCCTAGACACAGTAGCTGGAGTGGCAGTCCTCAAATGGGAGATTTCAAACAGCAGTCTCATAGAGTTGGTGAGAGGGATCCGCTCATTACTGGCCAGGGTTAACACCTTGTTGTCATCCATGACAGTGTTAAGGGATTCAATCCACATGGGATCAATATCTCCGTCGAGGACAATCCACTTGGGTCCATCCCCAGTCATGTTGGCAAGGTCACGCATGATCACAGAAAATAGACCTGCCAAAGATTATTTCTATTATAAAATGTTTCCAAAGCAAGACTGAAACCAAGAATTATGTGTAGTTAGATATATTAACTGCCTTACTATGTTAGTAGGATTATTTCTAAGCAAAATACAAGACTTAAAAACATCCCAACTATCTCCAAACAAACAAAAAATTCATCCACATTTGCAAATTAATTTCAATTGATGAAATGGAAACACCATGTAAGTGTTTTTGCCATGTTGTCATGTGAAATTTGGCAAAGTAGAACTTATTTTTTGAGTGATGGATCATAATGCAAAATCTGTAAACTCTCAATCACAGGCAATACAAAAACCCACTGAAGCTGATTTATCTTATTTCCATCAATTAATACTTGCCAGGTGAATAAAATATCTGCGCAATATTTCGATACCAACAACAGCATATTAAAAAAAAATGTGCAAAAATGGAATTGTTGCTGGGGTTTGTACTTACCATCCTTCCACTCTCTGGTGGCTGGGTTAATGATGCCAAACAATTCATTGTTTGTGACTGCCTTGGGATCCAGATCAATGGCCAAAGGCTTTTTGCCCTGGTTTCTATATGTCCTGATGAGTGTACCCCACACTTTACTTTTTCCTACCCCGGCATTTCCAAGGCAGAACACTGAATGACGTACCTCAAACAACTCTTGAAGCTGAACACACTATAAAATCAAGCAAAATAATTCATTATATTTCATCTGTTGTTTCTGACACAATCTTGATTAAGCTTATGATATATAATCTTACTTTGGGAATAAAGAAATCAAGATATCCACAACGGCTTACCTTGAGAATGAAGTTGTCCTCTGGTTGAAGTTTCTGGTCAAGAGTGGCTGTTTTTATTAATTTTTCAAGGTCAAGGTCACGCTTTCGTGGCACATTGAGTGCTGGGAACAAATCTCCAATGAGACCCATGAAGATTGGCAAATCATCTGAGACAATTTTGGGAATGTTGAAATCCCGCAATGCTCTCATCAACACCTTGGTAAAAAGAAACGTAAAAGTGTAGTCTACAGGACAAATCAACACATAAATGTTTACAGACATGAAACTCAACAACTACATTCATGTGGAGCACTTTTGTTTGATTCAATAAATTTTGGTTAAATGATGGATATGTTTATTTCCTCCAATATTTCTATAAAATAATAGCCAATTATTGGAGAATTATCAACAGAATTCTCTTTGCAGTATAATTAAAAAGTTTGATACAAACCTGATCTTCAGGACGGTCAGGGTCACTCCTCTTTAGGGAGCCAGCTACTACAAGGACAGACTTGATGGCACGAAGTCCCCAATCATAGTGGTCCTGTTTGCAAACAAATGTCAAAAATATTACTGCTTTACATATGATTATATAAACAAATAAGAGGCCCACAGGACATGTATGATTCATCTGGTATAAGCAGAATTATTTTCAGAATAATGTCAGTTCCACCAATACCTTTTATGATATCATCAAATAACCATTCTGGTTTATTTACCATATATACCACTTTTTAAACAAGAGGCCCATGGGCCTTAACGGTCATCTGACAAAAAGCAAGCCAAACCTAGAAAGTGGGTTGAGGTCATTCATTTGAACAAACTTGGTAGCCTCTCCTCCAAGCATCTTACAGGCCCAATATCAGCACTCATGGACTTTTGCTTGTTGAGAAGAAGTCGTTTGTATATTTTAACATATTTGACCCCTGTGACCTTGAAAGTGGGTTGAGGTCATTCATTTGAATAAACTTGGTAGCCTTTCCTCCCAGCATGCTACAGACCCAATATCGGCACTCATAGACTTTTGCTTATTGAGATGAAGTCCTTTGTATATTTTAACATATTTGACCCCTGTGACCTTGAAAGTGGGCCAAGGTCATTCATTTGAACAAACTTTGTAGGGCTCCATGCCAGCATGCTATGGGCCAAGTATTAGCCCCCTAGGCCTTCTAGTATTTGAGAAGAAGTTATTTAAAGATTTTGACATATTTGACCCCTGCGACCTTGAAAGTTGTTCAAGGTCGTTCATTTAAATAAACTTGGTAGCCTTTCCTCCCAGCATGCTACAGACCCAATATCGGCACTCATAGACTTTTGCTTATTGAGATGAAGTCCTTTGTATATTTTAACATATTTGACCCCTGTGACCTTGAAAGTGGGCCAAGGTCATTCATTTGAACAAACTTTGTAGGGCTCCATGCCAGCATGCTATGGGCCAAGTATTAGCCCCCTAGGCCTTCTAGTATTTGAGAAGAAGTTATTTAAAGATTTTGACATATTTGACCCCTGTGACCTTGAAAGTTGTTCAAGGTCATTCATTTGAACAAACTTGGTAGTCCTTCATCCCAGCATGTCACAGGCCCAATATCTACACTCTGAGCCTTTTGGTTAATGAGAAGAAGTTGTTTAAAGATTTTAACATATTTGACCCCTATGACCTTGAAAGTGGGTTGAGGTCATTCATTTGAATAAACTTGGTAGCCTTTCCTCCCAGCATGCTACAGACCCAATATCGGCACTCATAGACTTTTGCTTATTGAGATGAAGTCCTTTGTATATTTTAACATATTTGACCCCTGTGACCTTGAAAGTGGGCCAAGGTCATTCATTTGAACAAACTTTGTAGGGCTCCATGCCAGCATGCTATGGGCCAAGTATTAGCCCCCTAGGCCTTCTAGTATTTGAGAAGAAGTTATTTAAAGATTTTGACATATTTGACCCCTGTGACCTTGAAAGTTGTTCAAGGTCATTCATTTAAACAAACTAGATAGCCCTTCATCCCAGCATGCCACAGGCACAATATCAGCAATCTGAGCCTTTTGGTTATTGAGAAGAAGTTGTTTAAAGATTTTAACATATTTGACCCCTATGACCTTTAAAGTGGGTCAAGGTCATTCATTTGAACAAACTTGGTAGTCCTTCATCCCAGCATGTCACAGGCCCAATATCTACACTCTGAGCCTTTTGGTTAATGGGAAGAAGTTGTTTAAAGATTTTAACATATTTGACCCCTGTGACCTTTAAAGTGGGTCAAGGTCATTCATTTGAACAAACTTGGTAGAGCTCCATGCCAGTATCCTCTGTGCCAAGTATTAGCCCCCTAGACCTTCTAGTATTTGAGAAGAAGTCGTTTGAATGAAAAGTTTACGCACGGCGCACGGCGCACGGCGCACGGCGGACGACGACGGACGAAGCATGATGACTATAGGTCATCGGACCCTTCGGGTCAGATGACCTAAAAAGGGAAAAAAATATTGTCATTAGAAGATATTTTTTATTATTGAATGATAATGAGGAAGCACCATAGATATCTTGACATGCTTGATTGATTTACAAGATCAGAGAGTCTTGCTTGTTTCTATCTACTACACCTACAATATAGGAGAGTCTTGCTTGTTTCTATCTACTACACCTACAATATAGGAGAGTCTTGCTTGTTTCTATCTACTACACCTACAATATAGGAGAGTCTTGCTTGTTTCTATCTACTACACCTACAATATAGGAGAGTCTTGCTTGTTTCTATCTACTACACCTACAATATAGGAGAGTCTTGCTTGTTTCTATCTACTACACCTACAATATAGGAGAGTCTTGCTTGTTTCTATCTACTACACCTACAATATAGGAGAGTCTTGCTTGTTTCTATCTACTACACCTACAATATAGGAGAGTCTTGCTTGTTTCTATCTACTACACCTACAATATAGGAGAGTCTTGCTTGTTTCTATCTACTACACCTACAATATAGGAGAGTCTTGCTTGTTTCTATCTACTACACCTACAATATAGGAGAGTCTTGCTTGTTTCTATCTACTACACCTACAATATAGGAGAGTCTTGCTTGTTTCTATCTACTACACCTACAATATAGGAGAGTCTTGCTTGTTTCTATCTACTACACCTACAATATAGGAGAGTCTTGCTTGTTTCTATCTACTACACCTACAATATAGGAGAGTCTTCCTTGGGTTCTATCCTAAACTATCTATACTAAACCTGAAATTTCCTTGTTTCTGTCTGCTATGTTACACAAAGTTCCTTACAAAAACTGTACTCACCTGTTTGGATAGCAGTTCCTTACACAAGCTGTACAAAGTGATGAATTTTCTGGCTAAAAGACGAGCTTCCAGGAAGCCTTCAGCCACCAACATGATTTCACAAATGAGCTCAAAATCTGGCACCACCATAGCACATGGTCTGTAAATTATGAAGTATTTTGAGTAAAAATTTTGTTACTTCAAAAGTTCAACCAATCAATTCTAAACATTGACAGGTATGACCTGGTTAAAAAGTAAACGTCATTTCTTTTTTTCTTGAAATTTGTTCGGCTTTGACCTTGTAACACCTTTCCAACAAATATCCTGGACTTTTGGCCTACCTATCATGACATCTAGTCTGTTGATTATTGGGAAGAAGATGTTTAAATGGAAAAGTTGATGCTGGGCAGACAACAGATATTGCGCCACTGCATAAGCTCAAGTTTAATGTCGGTGACAATTTTTATAAAACATTAGAAATTTGCCTGTGAAAAACTAGAATTCATAAATTTGATGAAAATTGATATTTACTGCAGTGATGATATATGAATTATTTTTGACCTATCAGAGTGGTGCTTCCTAGTCACTGTAATGAAATTTTCCTGTTCTTTTAGAAATATGTAATAAAAAGAAAATTTAATGTTTTTAAATATCACAAAGATTTCACTGATAAGACAAAACACATCTGTATTTTCATGTGTTCTTTGCACATCTGAAAAATATAGATATTCTGTCATATTTATGAAATACATATATGACACCAAATGGAAAATCATAAGATAACCTCTTTATATACATTACATCCAACACATATTTATATGCTGCATCTTGTATATCATGTGGTCTTTGTTTTCAGTTTTACTTAGAGTTCACCAATTATACCAACTAGAAAGGGTTGACACAAACAGGAATTATTGTCAATTTGTAATAAACATTGTGTTAGATTGTTTTTCAGCAAACCCCTAAACCAGAACTACTACAAACAATTAACAGACAGTTGATCAGGGACCTACATGTCACTCAACTTGGTATAGAATATAAAACTGCTAAAGCATTATTTGTTATAATTATTTCTGTAATGTTGACCTGCCCTTCATGTAAGGCTGCGAGAATAGTTACCACATAAATAAAAAGGTTCGATCAGAAAAATATCCAATAAAACATGTGTTCAGTTACAACATTGAAGTTAGACCAAACAACAAGAAAAAAGCAAAGTTCTCTTACCTGAACAGAGCTTTGAGGTTTTCTGGGAGTTCAGTCCGACCTGCATAACCAGGGTTCATGGTGATAAAAAGGCCGACAGTGGGTAGAAGCTTGATGGTTTCTCCAAGGAAGTTGAAAATTTGTTTTTTGTCGCGAATGGCATCCTGGATACATTTCACTTGAACAGCTACGACAGACAACACTTCCACTGCTATACGGTTGAACTCATCAAAGCAGCCCCAAGCTCCAGACTGAGCCAGTCCTTTGTAAATGTTTCCAATTGACTGAAAAATTGAGATAGATATAAATAGAATTCATTTACTTTACAACAAATGCGAATCAAGTTTTCCCAACAAGTATTAATCACTCTCGTTGGTGTGGATGGGAATTGGAGTGCGTGCAGAAAACCCACAGTGTGACAGGCAGGTGACCCATACCTTTTCATATCCATTCCACCTGAAATTTCTCCACCCCAGACATATTTTTTGTTATGTGTGTTTCATATGATTTAACCAGGGGCAATAGAACAAAAATGGTAGAAAAAGTTACTTATTAAGAAATAGGGTTATGCTTCACTTTACCATTGAGATCATTGTATGAGAATGCATTTCAACACTGATAACTTTGCCAACAACAACACTTCTGTCAAATCTTCTCTATCTTATTTGTGGTAAAATAATCTAGAGACAATCATTTGCTAATAATTGAATACCCACCATGGAGCAGCACATTAAGTTACTAGAGCTATCAACCTCAGTGACTTTGGAATTTCAGGTGATGGTCACTCTTGAATCAAGATAACATACAAATATGTTTGGATAAACTTCAGACCACAATTTATTGTGAATTACATTCTTATAAAACATAAGCATAAAAATTAAACAGTATAATTATTTCTTGTAGTTAAAATTTGAAGGAATGGTCCTCCTGCTAAAATATATAAATTAGGATTGCCTTCCCCTGTAATGTTAATATTTGATTGAAATATGTTCAGGAATAAGGAAGCAGAAACATTATAAAGTTGTAAGAACAAGCTTCTACATGGCAGACAGTGATGACATTAATTTAGACTCTGTTGGTCAGATAGTGTAAAGATGACCAAAAGCAACATACCTTGTAGTCCATCTGTTCTGAACAATTGAAGACGTACACCATTACACCAAGAGCTCTGCCCAAATCTTTGGTAGTTTCAGTCTTCCCTGTTCCAGCAGGACCAGCAGGGGCACCACTCATGATCAAGTGTAGTGACTGAGTCAGGGTTATGTAGCATCTGTAAATGCATAACACTTACATACAGTTTTTAACTCTCAGGTGAAGTGCAAATCTCTCAGGTTTAGTGTAAAACACACCGGTATAGTGTATCACAGGTATAGTGTAAAACTTTCAGGTACAGTGTAAAACTCTCAGGAACAGTGTCAAATTCTCAGGTATAGTGTAAAACTCACATGTATAGTATAAAACTAATATGTATAGTGTAAAACTCACATGTATAGTGTAAAACTGACAGGTCTAGTGTAAAACTCACAGGTACAGTTTTTAACTCTCAGGTTCAGTGTAAAACTTTCAGGTATAGAGTTAAATTCACAGGTACAGTGTAAAACTTTCAGGTATAGTGTAAAACTCTCATGTATAGTGTAAAACTCACAGGTAAAGTGTAAAACTTTCAGGTACAGTGTTTAACTCACAGGTACAGTGTAAAACTTTCAAGTATAGTGTAAAACTCTCATGTATAGTGTAAAGCTCACAGGTATTGTGTAAAACTTTCAGGTATAGTGTAAAACTCTTATGTATAGTGTAAAACTCACAGGTATTGTGTAAAACTCATAGGTATAGTGTAAAACTTTCAGGTATAGTATCAAACTTTCAGGTATAGAGTAAAAATTTCAGGTACAGTGTAAAACTTTCAGGTTTAGTATTAAAATCATAGGTACAGTGTTACACTTTCAGGTATAGAGTTAAACTCACAGGTATAGTATCTAACTCTCAAGTATAGTGTAAAACTCACAGGTACAGTGTAAAACTCACAGTTACAGTGTAAAACTCACAGGTACAGTGTAAAACTTTCAGGTACAGTGTTTAACTCACAGGTACAGTGTAAAACTTTCAAGTATAGTGTAAAACTCTTATGTATAGTGTGAAGCTCACAGGTATAGTGTAAAACTTTCAGGTATAGTGTAAAACTCTCATGTATAGTGTAAAACTCACAGGTATAGTGTAAAACTTTCAGGTATAGTATCAAACTTTCAGGTACAGTGTAAAACTCTCATGTATAGTGTAAAACTCACAGGTAAAGTGTAAAACTTTCAGGTATAGAGTTAAACGTACAGGTACAGTGTAAAACTTTCAGGTATAGTGTAAAACTCTCATGTATAGTGTAAAGCTCACAGGTAAAGTGTAAAACTTTCAGGTATAGTGTAAAACTCTTACATATAGTGTAAAGTTCACAGGTATAGTGTAAAACTTTCAGGTATAGTGTAAAACTCTCATGTATAGTGTAAAATTCACAGGTATAGTGTAAAACTCTCATGTATAGTGTAAAACTCACAGGTATAGTGTAAAACTCATAGGTAAAGTGTAAAACTTTCAGGTATAGTATCAAACTTTCAGGTATAGAGTAAAACTTTCAGGTACAGTGTAAAACTTTCAGGTTTAGTATTAAAATATAAGGTACAGTGTAACACTTTCAGGTATAGAGTTAAACTCACAGGTATAGTATCTAACTCTCAAGTATAGTGTAAAACTCACAGGTACAGTGTAAAACTCACAGTTACAGTGTAAAACTCACAGTTACAGTGTAAAACTCACAGGTACAGTGTAAAACTTTTAGGTACAGTGTTTAACTCACAGGTACAGTGTAAAACTTTCAAGTATAGTGTAAAACTCTCATGTATAGTGTAAAGCTCACAGGTATAGTGTAAAACTCTCATGTATAGTGTAAAACTCTTATGTATAGTGTAAAACTCACAGGTATTGTGTAAAACTCATAGGTATAGTGTAAAACTTTCAGGTATAGAGGTTTAGTATTAAAATCTAAGGTACAGTGTAACACTTTCAGGTATAGAGTTAAACTCACAGGTATAGTATCTAACTCTCAAGTATAGTGTAAAACTCACAGGTACAGTGTAAAACTTTCAGGTACAGTGTAAAACTTTCAGGTTTAGTATTAAAATCTCAGGTATAGTATCTAACTCTCAAGTATAGTGTAAAACTCACAGGTACAGTGTAAAACTCACAGGTACAGTGTAAAACTCACAGTTACAGTGTAAAACTTTCAGGTACAGTGTAAAACTTTCAGGTACAGCGTAAAACTTTCAGGTACAGTGTTAAACTCTAACAACACATCGGTACAACAGTTATATTGTAACAAAGCATTACATCAAACACTAACAACTGTTAGATACAACAGATATTCTACACAATTCTGTTAAATAGAAGATTACCTGTCAGTCAGAGGTGTAATTACAAGTCGTGGAGTGTTGCCCAGGTATTCATGAGAGTAACGGAACTGAGCATCACAGATGTTTGCATAACAGTCCTTGTCATTGTCATCCCATCGGTGTCGGAGCTGGGACAGCCAAGCAAAAGCCTGAGCACTGTCAACTTTGGTTGCTATCAGCTTAGAAATCACATCTCGAGCATGCACGTCAATGGTACAAATGGTCATAATCTTTTGACGGTCACCTTTGGTCAACTGACCAATCAACATACTGATGAGGCTGTTCAGCTGGGCAATCTGAAAATCAATAAAAACAAAGTGAACAAGGGTTCACATACCTATATCTATTGTAACTATTTTAGTACCTTTCTAAGATAAATATAGATTTACACTTCACGATTATATCTATTGTGGCACACATGCTTGATCTCCGACCTTTACCCTTGTGAAGTTCTACAGTCAGCAATACAGGGATGGTATAATTTACAGTAAATGGGGAAAGCCATTTGAAGACAGGGTAGGAATTATATGAGTACTGGTTTGAACTAAATATTTGGAGAAGATTGGGAAGGAACTAATTGTTTGCGAAGATCGGATTGAAACTTTTTGAAGACTGGGTAGGAAATAAATATTTGGAGAAGACTGGATAGGAACTCTCTGAAGACTGGATAGGAACCAACTATTTGGAGAAGACTGGATAGGGAATAACTATTTGGAGAAGACTGGATAGGAACTCTCTGAAGACTGGATGGGAACCAACTATTTGGAGAAGACTGGATAGGGAATAACTATTTGGAGAAGACTGGATAGGAACTCTCTGAAGACTGGATGGGAACCAACTATTTGGAGAAGACTGGATAGGGAATAACTATTTGGAGAAGACTGGATAGGAACCAACTATTTGGAGAAGACTGGGAAGGAACTACATTGGAGAGTAGACAACTTGTTACCTGTTTTTTATTGTAGTCTTTGAGGGCATTTTCGTAACCTTCTTCTAGTCTTCCAAAGGCAATGTTCACCTCAGTGGTCCACCAAATCTGTGTGCCACACAAAGCTACCTGGGCAGGGAAGTCAAACAGCCATTGTTCTCTTGGCTTCTCCTCATATCCTCCAACAGCTTCAGTCATCTCATGTCTCACTGTGCTACACATGGCATGGAGCAGTCTCATCAACCACACCTCCACCTATACATACAATTGAAGTTATATATTTGGTATCAATTTAACGCTTCAATGACTTCGTTGCACTTACATCTTTCTTATCTTTTATTTCAGTCTAAGACTTTATCTCTTCAAACCTTTTTACATTTCATTTGCTCTGTATTGCTGTTATTAAAGTATAATGATAAAACTGAATCCCATCACTCGAAAATTATAGAAGAAAGCAGAACCAAGCATCTCCCTGCAAATTATACACAATATAAAATATAAAGCAACATCAATACGATACTTGACTCAATTATTATATAAGGTCTGATGCAGTGTATACACCACTTTGTTGTTGGTAAGACTGACCTGTCCACTGAGGTCACACTCCTTATCTAGCTCCACGCTCTCACCATCTTTACTCCACATCAGTGTGGCTACCTTAGTATCATTACCCTGATCATCTTGGACAAGTTTCAGCTTGGCCATGCTGTCAAATAACTTGGTCAAATGACGTTGTACCTGATAAAAAACATCAGTGTATTGTCAAGCATTCTTTCTGAAGTTAGTAAAACTATCATGCTACGAAACAGAGTTTTCATTATCTGCTATCATTCTAAAACACAATTTCAACTAGCAAAACTTTTATCTGTTACTATAGTGGGTTTTTTCCCCAATAGAACTCCATTTTCAAGCAGTGAAATATGTCACAGAGTTTTTGTTTATTCATAACATCAAAGCAAAGGCACGTAGTAAATAATTCAGTATATGGTCGCTTCATGATTTCTGTTGTGTAGTACAGTTTCCTAGTTCAGTATCTCCTGGTTGGTCAGTTTATATGGGTAGTAAGAAGAGGAAAAAAACTTACTGCTGTTGGATTGTTGCCATTAGAGAGGATGTCTAACAAATCTGCAGAGGAGACAAAGTAAAACCTTGGGAAAGCAAGACGCTTGGTTTCCAAGTACTCAGCCAAAGCCTTTTCACATAGAGTCAGGGAACCCTGCAAGGCCTCCAAGCGTTCATATAGGTTCGGCTGGTTAGTTGCCTCCACCACGTTCTTTGTTTTCTCCATCTCTGACACCAATTCCTGAAATCATAAAATTCAACAGCAAGTGTTGAAATATGTTAACAAGCAATGGAATTATTTCGGTAGTCTAAGACATTTAAATTCGATTAATATAACACAGCTCGGATTACAGAATTTTATAACATCACCAACCTTGAAATCATTGTCAATTCCATCAAATCTCTTGGAGTCTTCTGGTAGCTGAGCTCGAATATCTTCAGAGCCAATGAAAATACTCTCCAAATGCGACCATGTACGCTGAACTTCCATCCAAATGGAAATGACTTGATCAGCAGTTGACAGTTTCTTCTGCCAGCTTGACACCTCTTGAAGGAAGTGAGCAATATACTTGGAAGACAACATGTTTTGTAGTTGTACCTGTCAAAGCAATACACAGAATTCATAGAAAGTGTTAACATTTCAATTTCAACAGATTCAATATATGTTTGGTATTGCATTCCAGCTTGAATTTTTTTCTGTTTTTGTCAAGTATGCATACAAAATGTAATGATGTTATGTAATGTTATGATTATATAAAATCTGTAATGATGTTATGATCATGATTATGATTGTAGCAAAAACTGTAATGATGTTATGCTATGATTATACAAAATCTGTAATGATGTTATGTAATGACTACATAAAATCTGTAATGATGTTATGTAATGACTATATAAAATCTGTAATGATGTTATGTAATGACTTTATAAAATCTGTAATGATGTTATGTAATGACTTTATAAAATCTGTAATGATGTTATGTAATGACTTTATAAAATCTGTAATGATGTTAGGTAATGACTATATAAAATCTGTAATGATGTTATGTAATGACTATACAAAATCTGTAATGATGTTATGTAATGACTATATAAAATCTGTAATGATTATATAAAATCTGTAATGATGTTATGTAATGACTACATAAAATCTGTAATGATGTTATGTAATGACTATATAAAATCTGTAATGATTATATAAAATCTGTAATGATGTTATGTAATGACTATATAAAATCTGTAATGATGTTATGTTATGACTATATAAAATCTGTAATGATGTTATGTAATGACTATATAAAATCTGTAATGATGTTATGTAATGACTACATAAAATCTGTAATGATTATATAAAATCTGTAATGATGTTATGTAATGACTACATAAAATCTGTAATGATGTTATGTAATGACTATATAAAATCTGTAATGATGTTATGTAATGACTATATAAAATCTGTAATGATGTTATGTTATGACTATATAAAATCTGTAATGATGTTATGTTATGACTATATAAAATCTGTAATGATGTTATGTTAAGACTATATAAAATCTGTAATGATGTTATGTAATGACTACATAAAATCTGTAATGATGTTATGTAATGACTACATAAAATCTGTAATGATGTTATGTAATGACTACATAAAATCTGTAATGATGTTATGTAATGACTATATAAAATCTGTAATGATGTTATGTAATGACTATGTAAAATCTGTAATAACTATATAAAATCTGTAATGATGTTATGTAATGACTATATAAAATCTGTAATAACTATATAAAATCTGTAATGATGTTATGTAATGACTATATAAAATCTGTAATGATGTTATGTAATGACTATATAAATTCTGTAATGATGTTATGTAATGACTATATAAAATCTGTAATGATGTTATGTAATGACTACATAAAATCTGTAATGATGTTATGTAATGACTACATAAAATCTGTAATGATGTTATGTAATGACTATGTAAAATCTGTAATGATGTTATGTAATGACTATATAAAATCTGTAATGATGTTATGTAATGACTATATAAAATCTGTAATAACTATATAAAATCTGTAATGATGTTATGTAATGACTACATAAAATCTGTAATAACTATATAAAATCTGTAATGATGTTATGTAATGACTATATAAAATCTGTAATGATGTTATGTAATGACTATATAAAATCTGTAATGATGTTATGTAATGACTATATAAAATCTGTAATAACTATATAAAATCTGTAATGATGTTATGTAATGACTATATAAAATCTGTAATGATGTTATGTAATGACTATATAAAATCTGTAATGATGTTATGTTATGACTATATAAAATCTGTAATGATGTTATGTTAAGACTATATAAAATCTGTAATGATGTTATGTAATGACTACATAAAATCTGTAATGATGTTATGTAATGACTACATAAAATCTGTAATGATGTTATGTAATGACTATATAAAATCTGTAATGATGTTATGTAATGACTATATAAAATCTGTAATAACTATATAAAATCTGTAATGATGTTATGTAATGACTATATAAAATCTGTAATGATGTTATGTAATGACTATATAAAATCTGTAATGATGTTATGTAATGACTATATAAAATCTGTAATGATGTTATGTTATGACTATATAAAATCTGTAATGATGTTATGTAATGACTACATAAAATCTGTAATGATGTTATGTAATGACTATGTAAAATCTGTAATGATGTTATGTAATGACTACATAAAATCTGTAATGATGTTATGTAATGACTATGTAAAATCTGTAATGATGTTATGTAATGACTATGTAAAATCTGTAATGATGTTATGTAATGACTACATAAAATCTGTAATGATGTTATGTAATGACTATATAAAATCTGTAATGATGTTATGTTATGACTATATAAAATCTGTAATGATGTTATGTAATGACTACATAAAATCTGTAATGATGTTATGTAATGACTACATAAAATCTGTAATGATGTTATGTAATGACTATGTAAAATCTGTAATGATGTTATGTAATGACTACATAAAATCTGTAATGATGTTATGTAATGACTATATAAAATCTGTAATGATGTTATGTAATGACTATGTAAAATCTGTAAAATTTGTATAATATCATGACTGTATAAAAACTTAACATTGTGTGATGTGACTACCTGATTGTCCTCTAGGGTTTCAATGAGCTCCTCACTGGTCTTGAGCATAGTTATTTTTGTACGTGTGTGTTGCTCATGGTCAAACTCCATCGTTGTCCAGGTAGTGTCAAGTTCCTTCAGCACCTTCTCCATGCTCATTTCCTTCACTGCTTTGTCTACAATGCCACGTACTTCATCCTCAAAGTTGTGCAAGTTAAGTAGCAGCAAGTCCGCCAATGTGGTACTCTCATCCATAACAAAACGTACCTTTAAAAGTATATTTTAGTCTTCAATACAGATTTGTATTACAGGTGAGATGACAGATACAATGAGTGACTATTAACCTATTATTATTATTGTTATTCATTATTACCTTAGTTTGTATTTATTTTTTTTAGTAAAAGTCTCTAACAGCAAATTTTAGCAATGTGTATCAAGTGAATATTGACTTCAATTAAGATCATACCAATCTAAAAATAATGTTACTTTTCGTATGTATGACATTAAAAAAAAGAATACTCTAAAACTAGGCTGGCTTTTGGGGTCGAGTGCAAATTTCTGTGAATGAAAAATTGAGGTTCAGCCAATAATTCACAGAAGCAGAAAGACCTGTGGAAATACCAACTCTATTCACAGACAGGCACTGCAGGAAAAACACATCCAGAAAATTGTGCATGGTGTAATATTTCCTAAATTATGCGCTATGCAGGAGTCAAAGCTTTAAAGAAACATTGATAGACAGTTATGTGGTGAACATTGAATGCAGCATCACAGCAAGATGTCTAGAAATTCCTAGTACAAGATACAAATATCATACACAGTCCATCCAGATAGGCACATTTGTCAACTGATAACTGAAGATGAACCTTGATATTCAGTGCTGAAATAGGTAACTCAGTATTGATTGATGAAGGTAGTAATGAAGAAAAGAACCGGACTTATTACAATTGAAGGTGATATTTTGATATTTACTACTGAAGGTTAATAATTTATACTTCTGAAGATGGTAAATAATGATTTAGACGGCAGTAACTTGATTTATTACAATTGAAGGTAATATTTTGATAGGCACTACTGAAGGTGATAACTTGATATTCACATCTGAAGGTGATATTTTGATAGGCACAATTGAAGGTGGTAATTAGATTTTCAATACTGAGATCAGTAACTAAATATTTATCATGGAAGGTAATAACTTCATGGTAACCATGGAAGGTAATAACTTCATGGTAACCATGGAAGGTAATAACTTCATGGCAACCATGGAAGGTAATAACTTCATGGCAACCATGGAAGGTAATAACTTCATGGCAACCATGGAAGGTAATAACTTCATGGCAACCATGGAAGGTAATAACTTCATGGCAACCATGGAAGGTAATAACTTCATGGTAACCATGGAAGGTAATAACTTCATGGTAACTATGGAAGATGGTTACTTGATTTCTTGTACTTTAACTAATTTCTCAATTCTTCACATTGTTTCTTCTTACTAAAGATGCTGATTTCTTGCCTCTTCAGGAAATTGCTTGATTTTTTCATTACTGAATGGTGGGTGATAAAGTGATGAAGATTGTAACTTGATATCTGAAGATGATTCAATTTGACTTTCACTCAGAAAACATTTTTACATCCAAATTTTGATAAAGAAGTGAACTCATAATGCAGATTGATTTACAAGGTAACCGGTAAATAACACAAAAAATAAACAATATACCATGGTCATGCATTGTCCAACGATCCAACAAAAATAAACATCAGAAAAATTGTTTAATATACTTGCAGCCCCAACGTACATTTTCAGTCTGGAATCAATATTTTGATGAAAACAATACATAATAATGTGAAGGTTATTTTTTATATCTTTAATTAAAAATGGATGAATTTTATTTCTTGAGTTGACATCAGTTTACAAATACATATGCAACTAATCTAACATTTAGGGGAAAGAATAGGTCTAACAAACATTCAATATTGATGAAAAAAACAACAAGCAGGTGAGAAAAGACACTAGGTTTAACAAGTACTTAATATAACTGTTTACTTGACCACTGGAACAGAAACAAGCAGGTGAGAAAAGACACTAGGTTTAACAAGTACTTAATATAACTGTTTACTTGACCACTGGAACAGAAACAAGCAGGTGAGAAAAGACACTAGGTTTAACAAGTACTTAATATAACTGTTTACTTGACCACTGGAACAGAAACAAGCAGGTGAGAAAAGACACTAGGTTTAACAAGTACTTAATATAACTGTTTACTTGACCACTGGAACAGAAACAAGCAGGTGAGAAAAGACACTAGGTTTAACAAGTACTTAATATTACTGTTTACTTGACCACTGGAACAGAAACAAGCAGGTGAGAAAAGACACTAGGTTTAACAAGTACTTAATATAACTGTTTACTTGACCACTGGAACAGAAACAAGCAGGTGAGAAAAAGACACTAGGTCTAACAAGTACTTAATATAACTGTTTACTTGACCACTGGAACAGAAACAAGCAGGTGAGAAAAAGACACTAGGTCTAACAAGTACTTAATTTAGCTGTTCACCTTACCAATATTTTACGTACCTTTGTTGCTGCCATAAGTTGCTGCCAATGTCTGTCTCGGATTGCTGGGTTCTGGAGTTCACTTACAGCCCTCAATGAGGTCAGCATATTCTTGACTGTATTTTCCAGTCCCAGATAGGAGTCCCAAGCCCTCATTTCCTTATCTAGAGTACGGATGTCCTTGGCAAATTTCTTGCTGTCCATGTCCATCTGGTCAACATTGATGTCCTTCCAGGGTGTAGTCTTCCAATCATCAATACTACTGCGAACCATCACAATGTAATCCCAGAGAGTCTTAAGGAGCTTTATCTCCTTACGACACTGCTTCAGTTGTTTAAAGTCAGGTACATTTACTTCAAATAACCCAGCAGAGTCCAACAAGTCACTCATATTTTTTTCCATGGCAGCGATCTCCTCATGGTACTGAAATAGGTATTTAAATAAAGATTATAAAATAGATTTGTTTTTTTAACACTGTTAATTACACCAAATATGGTTATGGCAACAGCATGAACCAAATCAGGATGTGTGGTTGATATCAACCAATTTATCATCAAAATCAAATCTGTTGTTGGTTTGACCTTACACCATAGTTTAAATACACTTGTTAAGGCTATAAAGGGAGTTTATAAGATTCATATTTCAGGATCACAAAAAAATTACTTGAATCAATTTAAAGCTTGTTGACAAACATATCCTTACTTTATCTATGTGTTGGTACGCCTTTTCACAGTCATATCTAAATGGTGGTATGGAACGGAACTTTTCTCTGAACTTGTGCTGGTTCACATCAAATGTTGCAGTTTTCCTACGAATGTTGGCCACTTCTGTGGCTTGTAATGGTGCCACCTGTTGTTTAACAGTGATGCCGATCTTTTTTGTGTTGTTCCACTGTTCTGGCAATTCCTGATAGACAAAGGGAAAAGAACAGCATTTAGAAAATCTTACTTCTTTTCTATCTTTATCAATATATATAATTTACATATGTCATCTCACTACAGTGGGCGGAGGCACAACATCATTACATATGTCAAGTTCAGGTACTTTTGAATATCAACACTGACTTCTTGGAAAATAGCGCTGACTTTTCTTTTTGGCAAACATTAAATCTAACATGAATGAAGTTGGAGGTGGAATTCTTACCTGGACTTGTGTTGGAAGAAGAATTCTTACCTTGAGTTGTATTGGAGGTGGAATTCTTATCTGGAGTTGTAGTCAAACATTAAACTAACATGAATGAAGTTGGAGGTGGAATTCTTACCTTAAGTTATATTGGAGGTGAAATTTTTATCTGGAGTTGTAGTCAAACATGGAATCTAACATGAATGAAGTTGGAGGTGGAATTCTTACCTGGAGTTATGATGGAGGCGGAATTCTTACCTGGAGTTGTATATGAACTTCTTCGGGCATTTCTTGCTCATATGTCTTGAGAAGTTCAATGGTCTGCTTCAGAGGTTCAAACATTTCATCTGTAGTGGCTTGGCGCTCCTTCACAGCAAACAAGTAGCCCATACACTCAACCAGACCGTTGTAATCTCCTTCCTCCACAGGCTTTGTCAAGCCTGTATCTGTTGTCTTGATGAAATCACCCAGCTCACGCAAGCTACAATATACATCTGCCCATTATACAATGAGTTCCAACCTACTTACCATAACTTTAAATTAACATTGGTTTTCAATTTTAAATTTACATTTAAATATACAGGGATCCATATGTGTTTATGTGTTTTTTAAACATTATTTTACAATAAAATGTCACAAATAAAGAAGTGTGTCAAATGAAGATCATATTTTCTAATTATTATCTCTTTCAACCAATTATTACTATTTCAACCCAATTATTACCAACCAATTATTACCTCTTTTAAACCTTTTCCCAAAGATGTTGGATGTTCATCCCACAATTCATAGAAGCAACATATGGTAATCATTCATAATTAAACATTTTCTGTCCACACATGGTCTGTCAGTAAAACATGAGTCTTCCTGACACAGACCTACCTATTGGTCACATGGTCTGTCAGTAAAACATGAGTCTTCCTGACACAGACCTACCTGTTGGTCACATGGTCTGTCAGTAAAACATGAGTCTTCCTGACACAGACCTACCTATTGGTCACATGGTCTGTCAGTAAAACATGAGTCTTCCTGACACAGACCTACCTGTTGGTCACATGGTCTGTCAGTAAAACATGAGTCTTCCTGACACAGACCTACCTGTTGGTCACATGGTCTGTCAGTAAAACATGAGTCTTCCTGACACAGACCTACCTATTGGTCACATGGTCATTCAATATTGTCCATTCTCAGTTCTCTGAGTTTACAGACTTACCTATTGGTCACATGGTCAATGAGGTGCTGTTTGAACATGAAGCTCCATCTCTTGATTGTGTTGAGTAGAGCCTGTTTGAATGGCTTTGAGTTGACTCTAAACCATGTTTCAAATATCATTATTGGTTCTACTGTCTCAGCCTCTTCATATATCTTCTCATATGTATCAATCTGCAGATAAATCAACAAAACATAATTCCTATCTATATCCTCATTTGTGTCAGTCAAAAGATAAATAAATGTAACCTAATTCCTATCTATATCCTCATTTGTGTCAGTCAAAAGATAAATAAATGTAACCTAATTCCTATCTATATCCTCATTTGTGTCAGTCAAAAGATAAATAAATGTAACCTAATTCCTATCTATATCCTCATTTGTGTCAGTCAAAAGATAAATAAATGTAACCTAATTCCTATCTATATCCTCATTTGTGTCAGTCAAAAGATAAATAAATGAGTTTGTTGGATTATTCACACCATGATCGTCACAATACTTTACAATAGTTAATCAACCTAGAATTTCATTTATAACCTGATCACTTACCTGTTCTTTAAATTGCTTGAGAGTTGGAGGACATTCTGGTACACCTAATTCAGCATGAGCTTCAATTTCTTCTGTAGTAAGGACATGGTTGTATAAAAGAAACTGACGCATGAACTCATTTCTGTCATCCGTCCAAAGATAGGAGTAGTTGTCAAAGGAATTCCTGTACTCACAGGCTTTGTTCATAATGTTTGTTATGCGGTCCATCAATTCCTGACGCATTTCTGACAGCTCCTCCATGTCCTCTAGATCAGGCTGGTAGTGTTCCTGTCCACTGTGAGCAGCCAGACGGGGTATGAGAGATGCCTGTTTGTAGATATCTCCAATTAGACCATCAACAAGGTCATAGAAACCATCTGCCACACCATAGTCCAATGAAGGCTGGAAGACCATCTCGGGGGCCTGCAGTTCCAGCATGGCCTCAAACAGAGAGTCAGGGTTGTTTTTGCTGTCTGTATTATCCAACATAAACTTTACACTGCAGTGAATGGTGGCATAAAATCCATCCACAATCATTTCATCCACATAGTCAACATAAGCTTTCCAGATATCTGAAGATGCATCTGCTTTGAAAAACTCCAGATTTTGCTGCAAAAAATTATATCATTATTGAAATTATTCTCATAATAAAAAGTGTCAAGTGCATTCTTTAATTTCATATAACATATAGTGTAAGTGATATACAAACCTAATGAAGGCGACACTTATTGTTAACCATCATTGTTTGCCTACCTTTAGAAGTTCATGTATTTTGTTTCCAACATTTTTAATCTCTGTGTATCGCTTGTTGATACGATCTTTTCTGTCCTCCAAATTGAGCAGAGTCTCATGCTTGTCTTCTTTTCTCTCAAACAGAGGCAGTTTGCTCCAAGTGTTCATTAACTTTTTAATCTCCTCCACATTATCTTTAGCTTTTTGTACTCTAGATTCTAAGTCAATCACATGGTCACGTGTCTTCTCAATGTACTCCCATACACCTAAGGAGAAAAAACATAATCAAGAACTCTCGAAGATTTAGCTACAATTTTGTAACATTTCTTTTTAATGATGCCTACCTGTAATTACATTACCACGTATCTATAGTACATCAGATATAAATTGATTCAGTACTTTAAAAGGCAGTCAACTGCAGTGCTGGGGTTGTGTTCATTGTTTTCAGCAGAATGATATAGGAATACAAAGGTCAGAATGGTGGTCCAGAATACATTTCAGTCTTACAGTTCTACATTTGTATTTAAAGAGGGAAATGCTGCAACGGGTGAGTAGGAGCTCATACATGTATGGCTCCATCACTTGACCAGGAAGGAGCTCATACATGTATGGTTCCATCACTTGACCAGGAAGGAGCTCACATCTACATATGTCTCCATCACTTGACCAGGAAGGAGCTCACATCTACATTTGTCTCCATCACTTGACCAGGAAGGAGCTCATATCTACATTTGTCTCCATCACTTGACCAGGAAGGAGCTCACATCTACATATGTCTCCATCACTTGACCAGGAAGGAGCTCATGTCTACATTTGTCTCCATCACTTGACCAGGAAGGAGCTCATATCTACATTTGTCTCCATCACTTGACCAGGAAGGAGCTCACATCTACATTTGTCTCCATCACTTGACCAGGAAGGAGCTCACATCTACATTTGTCTCCATCACTTGGCCAGGAAGGAGCTCATGTATATGTATGCTTGACCAGGTGATAGACTTTGTGTGGTTTCATTAGATATTGTGAAACCTTGATTAACATTAAAATCTTATGCGGCATAGAACTTGATGTTATGATAATGTGGTGTAAATATCAGTTAAATCTATTTAGAGTTTCATGGTAAATCTTGTACACATGCTTAAATTAGACATAAACAGGTACTCTGATTAGCCAGGTGCTAATTACAATAGATTATACTGTGTGATATCCTTTCCACATCTGTATCGATTTGCATACCTTCCCCATTCCAGTTCAGGGTCTGTTCAGCCTGTTTAAGTTCCTGATCAATGTCCTGGAGCTGGCTCTCTATTAAGGGGAACTCCACCTCTAGAACTGTCTTACGTACTTTGTTGTACAGGTGCACAGTCAGATCTAAGTTAGTTACAAACTTCCAGAGAGTATCGTTCCTTTTGAATATTTCACTGGCACTATCAGGAATTTCCTCTTTTTGTTGGGATTCCAAATACTTCACTTCTCGCAAAACAGCTGTCAGCTGGGGATCAAAGTTTACAGAAACCAACTTAGTTTCTTCATTTCTCATCAGTAATGACTGGCTGAGATTGAAAGAACAGGCTTCACCAACCCCAGCAACCCATTCCTTGTAGATGTCCTCATCCCATCTGTAACAAACAAAAATATGTCTGTATGTAAAGTCCAACATTTGTTAACTGATGTAACTAGAACACTAACCTACAGGTTTCTTTATTACATAACCCTAACCCTAACAAACAAAGATATGTCTGTATGTAAAGTCCAACATTTGTTAACTGATGTAACTAGAACACTAACCTACAGGTTTCTTTATTACATAACCCTAACCCTAACAAACAAAGATATGTCTGTATGTAAAGTCCAACATTTGTTAACTGATGTAACTAGAACACTAACCTACAGGTTTCTTTATTACATAACCCTAACCCTAACAAACAAAGATATGTCTGTATGTAAAGTCCAACATTTGTTAACTGATGTAACTAGAACACTAACCTACAGGTTTCTTTATTACATAACCCTAACCCTAACAAACAAAGATATGTCTGTATGTAAAGTCCAACATTTGTTAACTGATGTAACTAGAACACTAACCTACAGGTTTCTTTATTACATAACCCTAACCCTAACAAACAAAGATATGTCTGTATGTAAAGTCCAACATTTGTTAACTGATGTAACTAGAACACTAACCTACAGGTTTCTTTATTACATAACCCTAACCCTAACAAACAAAGATATGTCTGTATGTAAAGTCCAACATTTGTTAACTGATGTAACTAGAACACTAACCTACAGGTTTCTTTATTACATAACCCTAACCCTAACAAACAAAGATATGTCTGTATGTAAAGTCCAACATTTGTTAACTGATGTAACTAGAACACTAACCTACAGGTTTCTTTATTACCCTAGGCCTGTTCTAATGTTTAAGATGTTCTTTAAACACTTGTATGTTTCAATGTTCTATCAATACATGTAATTGCTCCAAAATTAAGAGACATTGTATATAGCTTGTATGTCACATGAGTCAAAATGCTTCTTGTAACATGTCATACAAATGATTATGTTAAAATAAAGTAAGATAACTTTATTTATATGGTACACATAATGCAAATGTAAATTGTGTATACATTAACTGCTGTCCCAAGCTAAAGCTTCTAACCAAGTTTGAATTAAAAGAAATTACACTCAAGATTTGAATTTTCCTATATAAAATGTAGTAAATTCTATCCCCTCCCCAAGGGGAAATGTGAGACTCTAGGATCATGAAATTTACAATTTTTATAAACCACCATAAGACACCTCTGTCCATAAAGAGTATTCGGTTCTACAGCCCCTGAGGACAGCCGATGTCAGTATGTGCATCTCATTAAACTTTCATCTTAAACTAATAATTCTAACCAGGTCTAAACTATGCGCAAAAAGAAAATAAACAAATACTGTTCAAAAATGTCATTTTCCTATATCAACTATAGAAAATTTTACCCCCTCCCCAAAGGAAAATGTGAGACCCTGGGGTTATGAAATTTATGATTTTGATAAAGCATCTAAAGGCCTTTCCATCAATGATGAGTACTTGATTCCACCATACCTGGGATTCGAGAAGAAGATTTTTGAAGTTTCAATCAATTTTACCATTTCTGGCCCCACCCTTCAGGCCCCTGGGGGTTGGGAACCATATAATTTACAAATTCGGTGCACCTTTAGCCATGGAAGGTTTTTATAAAATGTCATTGAAATCTGTTTGGGAGTTTTCCAGAAAAAGTCGAAAAAGTTAAAAGTTTACATCGCACAACACAGGACAAAAGGGGATCGCAATAGGTCACCCTGATACTCTCAGGTGACCTAAAAATACATTCTGATGTAAATGAGAGAAAGTAAAGATGCATACCCACTTAGCAGCTGTAGCATTTCTTCATATTTAGTGAAGACCAGCTTCGCATCTTCAGACTGCATACATCTGTTATGATGATAGAGGTTTGAAAAACATCATACAAAAAGGAATCTACAGAATGACGAATTCTAATTATTTTACAATTTCTACATCAAGTGACGAGTAAAATTTATACTCTGTGACAAGTTAATAGTCACAATGTTTAAGCACTTATAGGCTACCAGTTAACATAATCATTGAACAGTATTGTCTTGTGACTTTGAAAATTCATAGATTGGAACGTATACTTTGAGTAGAGGAGTTGGTTACTCAATCAAACATGTCTAATAAAATAGCATGGTCAAAAAATATTTCTTTATTCATTTTGTGACCTGATCTGAAGTTTCACCTACTATGCTCCCTAGTATGTTTCTTCTTTATTCTTTTATTTTTCACTTCAATCCAAAACGAAGTGTAAACAAAAACATTCATTGATAAAAAAAATTGATGACACTCACGGATGTTCTAAATGTTTAAAATTGACCATTGGAATTTTGATCCTGTCACGAAGCTCCTGTGCCCATCTCAGACTGCCTGACACTTTGGGCATATTCTTGTGGATAGCAGCTTTGCCTGTACTGTCTTTTATGTCCATCTGTTTGTCATAAATCACTTTCACCTTGTCCAGCTCCTTGTGCATTGTGGCTATAACCATGGGATATTTTTCTTCAAAGTCCTTTTTGATCATCTCTCTCTCCAACAGACTACCCATTATGTCCAGAAGCTTAAAAACAGATCATTTCAAATGTGCACCATATTTTAAGGCCTATAAGCCACAACTTTTTTCCTTATGAGTTGGGTGTGTGGCTTATATGTGGATAAAACAAACAAAAACAGCAGAATAGGGAGGGAAATGTTGTACCAGTGCAAGACGTCATAAACTGTTTACCATGTGTTTCATCATTTTTTTCCCCCTTATCACCCTGATTCAATCATATATACATGTAAGGAACAAATATCTCTGGGGTGGGGAAATTTAGGGCAGGGCAAGGCTGGGCAGGGCAGGGCAGGGAAGGGAAGGGCAGGACAGGGCAGGGCAAGGCAGGGCAGGGTAAGAGGGGTTCACTTCCCCACCCAGGACATATTTTTTTTGTTATTTATGTGTTTAATTTAATTAATAGGGTAATTAGAAAAAAATGGTGAAAAAAAGTGATAAAGAAAAAAAAGTGATAAAGAAAATAGTGTAATATTTCACTTTATCATGGCCATGATGAAGTGAACCTCTGCCCCACCGTAAATGTCCTCACTCAAGATATATTTCTTGTTTTTTGTGTGTTTATAAGATTTAAAAAGGGTGATTATGAAAAAAATGGTAAAAATAGGTAATTAGTAAGAAATTAGTGTAATGGTTCACCTTAACATGGCCATGATGAATTGCACCATAATGGTAAAATTAACCCCAGTTCACTTTACCATGAGCTTCATTTTATCATACTACACTTGTATAACTATTGTAACATCAATTATGTACTGCTACTATCACCTGAAGATCTAATATTATGGCAGTGCTAGTGCAAAATGTAACATCTCCTTTTGTCAAATATAAATTCAATTTCCTTGTATCTCCTCAATTTCAACATTATATATATATATATCTTACATATCAACCCTGTAGTAAGAAATTACATCTTGATGTAGATCCTGTTTGTTTGACTGTTGATATATGAATAGAGCTTGGTATCATCCTTGAACAAATTTATGCAACACTCTATAAGCTTTGAAGTAAAAAAGAAGTTACAGGAAATTGAAAAATTTGATAACAGTAAAAAGAGAAATGAAAAAATATCTTCAATAAGAAATGGCAAAAATAATGCACTAACCTAATATATCAAAACGTTTTGTGGAGTTGAGTGGAATTGTTCCGAAGTTGTAGCCCAGAATGAAAAGTTAACACTAATTTAATTTTTTACTGTTTCCATGGTAACAGAAAAAAAAATTGAAAACTTAAGTGTTGTCAATAGCAAAATGCACAACAAGGGCACTAACTTAATAATTACTTTAAGTTTTGTTCAGTTGAGTTGAACGGTTTTGAAGTTCAAGCCTGGAAAAACCCTTGGATGGACAGAGTCCAAATTAATATCCCCAACAAAAGCATTTCCTGGGGGATAAAAAGATGTCTTCCTTGGTGAGTGAGATATTGTATTGGTGAATCACTTTTTACCATTGACACAAATGGCAGACAGAATGTTTCCTATTTTAACAGCAATCTGGGTACACATTCAAACCATCAAACTCCTCTTATTCCACTCATGTCTATTTACTCAAGCTCTCGTACCAGCCCTACTAGAAATTGGAAAGGGATAAGTAGTATATATAATCAAAATCAGGAAATGTCTTTAATTATCCATTTGTATTGCAATAGGGATGCTGGCCTTCTGATCAGAATAGTTGTTGAAAACCTACCTTAAATTGTGCCTCCAGGCCTGAACAGTCATCAAATCCTTGGCAGATAATGGTAGCAAGTCGTCTATCAAAGTCAAAAACCTTCTCCAAAAAAGTGTTGTAATCATCTTGGAACTCCTGTCAAACCAAGAAGATTTCATTGATTGAAATTTGAAAGCCAAGCAAAGATTTTTAAATAAGAATTCTGCCAAATTGTAAGTTTTCCCAATCCCAATTTCACTCACTATAATTTTCAAAGTTCTTGAAAATTCTCATAATTCATCACAATTTCATGTATTACATCTCAAGAATGGACCATATCAATTAATTGAAATACCTTTTTTTGTCTTGAATTAAGATGCAATATATCCCTTAGATCTAAGAAAGAATTTTGGAGGAATTACTTTCTTGCCAACTTTCCAAGTCCATAAAAGATTCATGGTTTTTTGTTTGCATTAAGTTACATTTTCAATGGACCATATCCTTATGCTAAATTATGGTTTTAGTAAAAGATCAGTGAAGTAAAAATATCTGCTCACATTGCTTGCTGGATCCAGACAGTCATAGTTCTTCTCTGTAAACACCTTGTATTGGGCATTGAACTCTTCAAACAGCTGGACAACTTGTTGACTGAGCATTTTACCCTTTATTCCACCTAATTCTATCTTCTCCAGCTTCATAAATTCAAGAGCAGTCTCCATCAACTCCTTGAAATTGAAAAAGGGGGAAGGAAATATAAACTAATTCCACAAAGCTCACTTAATAAGGAGGCAAATAGTAAACACAGCAATATTAACCAGACTTATTCTAAGATACTTGTAAGTAAAATCTTTAATGCATGTCACATCATATAACTCGCACAGTTATATCTGTAAGAACAATTACATGCCAAAACAAAGTTACAGAATGCTATATATTACAAATATTGGTATATTCTCAAGTTATTCTGCAGATAAGTAGAAACTGAGATCGTTTTGTAGAGAGATATTCAATTTTGTATAGTGGGTACCAAATATGTTCTGACCAAAAGATGTATATTTGAAAGTGTCACTATAACTTGATTACCTTCACAGTTTCAACTCTCTCAAGAAATTTGTCATATCTTGCAAACACAAGTTTTGGAGCGAATTCCCATAGTCTTGGTTCAGTTCCCTCTGGAAAGTAGCTCTTCAGTTTGTTCTTGTGGTCCTCATAGGTGGCCTTGAATGCATTAAGAACATCACAAGCTTTGCGTACTTTTTCTATGGTTTCCTCCAGCTCCCCCTTGAAAATCTCTGTTGGTTCCAAGTAATTTGATGCCTACAAATTAAAGAAAATAGATCAATTATTTTGATCACTGTAACAACAAATTAATGGGGGCATATTGAGACTTTTATTAGTTAGCATATACCACTGACAAAGTATACATTTATAGCTTATTGGCATACTGGTGTTTTTTCTGTTATATTGTTAGTCATCAAAAGGCATTGAAAACTGTAACTAAATCATGAAATGAAAATAAGGGATTTATGTGTTTACACAAAAGATACTATCCTTCATTGTTTTTATACTTAAGGTATTAAACCTATTTTTCTGACAGAGTATCTTCTTTTTTGAGAATAAAACCAATGAGATATTAGGGAAGTAAATTTTGTAATATTATTAAACTCTCCCTCAGATTGTCTAATGATTATACACACCATATTGATGGTCATGTTGCACATCTCCTTGAGTAGGACAATGATTCTAGCTGGTGTATTGTAATACTGAGAGTGAGACCACACCAGACAAACAGTCTGCATCATTGGAGCCAAAAGTGGAATACTTTCATCAAATTCAGCCTGTTCATAGTCTTCAAAGTGATGACGAAGTGGTGTCATGTACATATTAATATCTTGGGCTTCGGTGAGGGCTGAAATATAAATCACATAGGCATTCTGAATCAATGAAGTGCTGTGTGATCTTTCAATTTTACAATATTTAAATTTTGTTTGTAAGTTATGTTCAGCATGCAGCGTTTTTTATAACCACCATGATAAGTGATATTTATTTCATACATACATTTTTTAGAAGAATTATAATTGAAAGAAATCAGTCATAACATACCTGCCACAACATCTCTGAAGATGTCTTTAAAGGTAGGAAAATAACTACTTTGAGTGCGCTCCAACAACTCTGCCATCTTTCTGACTTTGGAATCTCGAAGCTATTAAAAAGAGTAGTTCTATTTATGAACATAGGAAAAAAATCAATATAGACACCCATGTATGTGTTGTAGTGGAACTTAACAAAGGAAAGTAAATGTAATATAATTTGCACTGTAGTAGAACTTAATGAAAACACAACATACACAGGTACAATTACAACAGGTAATGCAAATCTGGATTTTACTAATATTTTGGACATTGTAACAGAAATGACAAAGAAAGACAATTATTGACTCATATGCCCTATCCAGACTTCAAACTAATGACCTATGGCCTCAAATTGCCTAGCCAAAAAATTCAACGATGGTCAATTATTACACCATCGAAACATCCTGACACCACTATGACACAGATGGTGTAATGATTAGGCAGTTGTAGAATTTCTTATCTGGGCAATTTGGTGCCATTGAATGTGTTGGAGGCCCATATAGGGCACAAGTGAAAAACTGTCTTCTTTTGTCAGGTATGTGACAATGTCTTATATATATATATAACATCCCCATCCTAATTACCTGGTCATAGATACATTCCAAGTTGGTAGCTTTGTTTTTCCAAAACTCAATTTCAACAAATGGTGTGGGATGGAGACCTTCAAGGATGGGCTGTGCAGAATCCCTCTTAAGTACATCTCTGATCTGATGAGTCCATTCAATGATCACAGACTCAATGGCGTGTATCAAAGTTCTGTCAAACGAATCCCTAGTTGACAAAAAAAAACACAATTTTTGTGACATCATATTAAGATTATTATGATAATACTTTATTACTTATTATTTTTGTAAAAATGAATACCCTTCCTCATTACCAGTATTTGCCTGCCATTTTTTATTTTACATTTAATCAATTGGATTAAGTCAATTACTTGCAATATTGATTGCATTCAACAAAATTTTTCCACAGCATTTATTTTTTTTTAGCACATTAGATATGCAATACATTACTTTTAATCAACATCTGCATTTCAGGAATTTCTGGGTTTTTAAAGAAATATACATACATATTGTTACCTTTATCAATTCATCAGATTATTTCATATTAATGTTTTACTCAAGTAAACATACTTATCCTCATCCGCCTGTTCCACTCTTTCTGCACCAACTGGTAATGGCAGAAGAGTTTTCCCTTTGGCTTGTCCAGAAACCACATACACATTGCTTTTCAAATTGTGTACATGGCGAGTAACATCGTTTGACACTACTTGGGGCCATTGTTCGTGATTCCTATCATTTGATAGCAGAGGAACTAGCACCTGTCAGAAAAAAGAAATCTTTCCATAACATTTTGATTCTCAAGATTCAAGTTTTTAGTTTCACCCAGACCAACATGCAGTTTTATAGTTGATAACATCAAATCTCTTGTTTATCAGTTTTCATTGAAATCATACAGTTGTAGCTTTTCTTCACTGAGCCATGATCATGAACTTGTCATATATAGCCCCTTATATTTTTCACAGCTGTTAATCTAACTTATGCCCATTTCGTTTTCATCTGTAGTTAGTGTCCACTTAGAACTGACCAGTCTGACAAGTAAATCTATCAACTAGTTTACAAATAAAAATAAGATTATTTATCTCAAAATGTCAGTGAAACTGATTTAGAAACAACTTTATTCAAATCTGAGACTGAAAGTAGTTACTGTAATGCTAGGTAAAAAAAGTTCCAACCTTCATTTAAGTTATATCACATGCAAGAAATGATTTATAATGATAATTAGCATTGCAGTTCAACTTGAAAATTTCTATGCTTTTTCTTATTGTTGCTTTTGAAAAGATTAGTTATGCAATTTTGGAAAAAACCCAGAAGTATCATAAAAGACATGCATGCAAGAACTTTGTATTTTTGTACCAAACAGTTAACACTAGCAAAATAGTAAAGGTAATTTTATACTCCAGTGAATTGTTGATTTTACACTAATTTTCACATAAAATCATTGATTTCTTAAAACCAGAGAGTTGAGACATAATCGGAAACATCTGACTATCTTTTAATGCTATTAATTTTGCCTGATTTTGCTGGATAGTTCATATAGTTCAGTCTTAGCTGACTGACTCTTTGCATAGGTCTATAGCAGCGAGCATGAGAGGTATGGCTGAAGTGAAGTGAACTGTTTATAGGTCATGAACAAGAAATAAGTTCTAGAGAGTTCAATAACAGAGATCTCACAAGAGATCATCACAAAATTCTGAAGGGTTTCCTGTTATCCTAAACATGTTGGCAACCAACTTTCAAAGAAGAAAGTAGAATATACTGTTTGAAACCTGACTTCAGGAGTTGTTCTTCTTCCTCGTTTTTAGTTTGTTTACTAACTTTTTAAGACGGCTTACATACCGCTAGGTAGCCCAAAGGGTTCTCACCATCTATCTGCAATTTTATTTTTGTCTTGGTTGAAGAAGACCACAACCAAGGCAAAAATATAACAGCAGATTGATATATATATGGTAGTCAGAACCCTTCTGACTAACCACTAGGTATCCTTCTCAACCTAGCAGATGAACTAGCTACTGTACACACTCTTGGTGAGATGATGATTCTTAGAGAATTTCTTCAACTGATCATGAGATCGTCTCATCTTGATCAGAAATAATTTGCTGGGTTTTTTTTCCCATTATCATACCAGTTTGCTTCTGATCATGACAGAAGCCCTTCCACTTTACTTTTCCAGATTCCAGTTCTCCTTTATTGTTTTTAATTTTTTCCCAATACATATGTTTTTCTAGTTCTTCTAATTTCAACTCTAAACTTTTTTCAGTAAGTGAACTTTAATCTAAAATCTTAAAAAAAGAGAGTTTGTCAATTAGGCCACAATATCTACAATGTTATTTCTATATCACCTTTGACAAGACATTTGTCTTAAGTTTCTGTTATATGCTCGACTTGTATAAAAGTTAGTCTATCTTTTGATAGAGAAGTATTTTGTTTCAGTATCCACTATTGGCTCGACTTTGAAAAATATACAAGGATGATCTGATCTGTAACCAGGCATCGTTTTTCAAACTTTTGTTTGTAAATAAATGTCTTCTGAAACTTGGAAGTAATGTACCGGTAGTCTGCTTTTTTGAAAAGGATTATTTATCTCAAAGTTAAGTTTCTAAAAATCTGGGTAAAAAGCACCACTAGGAGTCTCTAAGGCCATATAATTAGGTTTTTTTTTATTAAGATTTTAGGTTATTATTGTGAAGAATATTTTGTGTGTTTATTTCTCTGTTCTGTGTTCCAAATACAACATAATATCAGGCAAGTATTTTAGCAGAGTCAGATTTTGCGATACAAGATTTCCAGTTATACACACCTTTGCATATAGTGACACTGTATCACTAGGCCAGCTAGGATAGTTTGTTTCTACTAGGTTCCATTTTGTAATACTGTGTGTTATTGGGGAATTTCATAAAGCTGGTATTGTGTCACAGAGTACTTTGTACCCTGTTTGCAGTCCTATTTAATCATCATGTTGGCAGAAGTGGTTTATTTATGTTAACCAACTTTTGATTGGTTGCCTATTCCGTGTGGACTTTGTTTTGCTTTGTAGGATTTTGAAAGTAGAATATCCTGCTTAGAGATTATTTTGGGTCTATGAAGCCGATAATTTGTCTTTGCTCTCTCTACCTCTAGTCAGCAGCCGATCTTATTCCACATTCTGAGGTGAAGTTAGCCTCCCTACTTCTCAATCTAATCTATTCTACTTAAAATTCTGTTCTGTCCCATCAGCAAAATAACACCTTGATTTCCTCCTTAACTTCTCATTACCCACCCAACATCGGTCTTACATCGTCCCGTCATTGGGATGTTAAATTTATACCCAAGTTTTATCATTTTTCTAGCTTTAGCTGGAATTTCATCACACATTTATAAGCCAGTTGGCATTATTCTGTTACGTACATGTTCATAGTGCTAATTAAAGGGTCCCTATTGACCCCTTTGAGATTGTCTATTTTTAGGGCTTATGAGTATACCAGAGAGATTTTCATTCATTGAACATATCATCATTGTTATCCATATTAAAGTGTTAAACTTAAACGGTTACCTCGTCAACAAATGCAGAGAGTTGATCCAACGGTGCATAAGACAAATCACCATAGATGAAACTTTTCCTATAATCTGCGTCTTTCTGAATGTTTTCACGACCTCTCTTCACGAAGTAGCATGCCTTTGCTTTGGGATTTGATGGCCATTCATACTGGACACTCAAAGCGCCGCTGCCTGATGAAATAACCACCAAAGAAACGAACTCCGGTTTCTCAAAAAATTCAAGTATCATCAACTTTGTTTCCTCTTGACTGTACATCTTTGAAAACTTGTCAGGCTTAACTTTCAGTGTTTTGATGACATAGTCAGCAATGAACTCTACTCGGCTATCGCCGAGTTCCAAGTCAGACGCCATTCTGAGCTTTACAAGTTGCGAAAACTCAGTCTATATGCTTTCAAAATAATCCCGTTTCACTCCTGCATCCCACAGGACGAGATCTTGATGACTGTTTTGCCTAATTCATTCAAATCAAAGAGACTTTCTTCTGTCTTCCCTTCCCTTCTCTCGTTGGTAATGACAGCCGTTGCCAATAGCAGCAATAAACACGAGACGCAGGTATCGTCACTTTCCGCCTTACAAAGCGCTGTACTTCGTGAGTTTCCGTTCACATTAAAAGCGTTAAGCGTATTTACAACCATGATTAAACGAACATTGTCGGAATAACACGGAAACTGTCCTGAATCATCAAAACGTTTGTATCTTCGGATAGTCTCGAACACATTGATAAATCACAAAATATTTCAAAGACAACAACATGGCACTTCGTGGTTTCAGCCGTCTCTTCCAATCATGTGGACAAAAAGTGATTGGTTTTATGGGGATGTTCGGCAGTCTAAGGTAACATTTACTCCATTTTGACCAAAGAATTTATCAGAAATAAAAATTAAATGATAATTTTATTATGATTGTGAGGATCATAGGATGCAGCGAAACATCCTCTTATAATATAAGATTTAAGGTACTTGCTCGGGGTACACTAGTAATTAATTATAAACTACGGAACATCCTTAGATTTGCACAGGAAGTGGAACTCCAACACAATGGTCTACAGGTAAGTCATGAAGTGCTTTGTGGAAATAACCGGACAGAATGGCATATTCACTTTAAAATGATCAATCCATAAAATGCGCGTGTGAAAAAAAAACCAAATATATGTTGTCTAATTTGTTTACAATTCAGTGAACAATACACTGCACATTGTAGTTCAGCGGTCATTTTCAGCAAAATTATGCACAAGAATTTGAAACTATTTTTTGAATGTTCCCACCTGTGTTTTTTGTAACAAAAGGTTTCAATGACATCATTAGCAATATTGAATAAAGGAGCAGTTGAACTGTTTTCATAAAAAGTCAATAACATATTTTGGAAATACAAATCAGCCTGTGAATTAAAAAAGAATACTATTTTTTTCAGTTTTTTGAAAGACCATTCAATGACTTATTTGTAAACCATTGTGCCTGAGTTCAAAGGCACCTCACCAATCAAGGATGTATGTTAATATGGAACAGATCAACCCCAAGAAGAGAGCAGCATATTAACATTATTAATCATTATATTGTCATCAGTCTGTGGTTGATATGTACTGGCAGTATTTTTTATACAATGTATGTAAAATGCTATTCTGTTGTACTATAGTCATCATTGTCATAGGATCAGACACCTTTTCCGCTGGCGGACTAGTGGGTGATACATATATATGTACGTAACTGTTATAATTGTCATTGGACAACAAGTCTTGTATCGATTACGTGATTTCCACACAGTTCATGTAAGTTTTCCAAAGACAAACCCTTATTGTAACAGGATCAAAATTAAGTTATTATATTGAATGTCAAATTCTTTTGGATTTGAAAGATATTTATTTGTCATTTAGTACAATATACTGAATTTGTTGGTTTTTTAATCACTTGTATATTATCAGTAAAACTGGCATTACATTTTTCCTGTCAATGTATCAAGTATAGTGCAAGTATGTTTCTTTGTTTGCACTTTGTACGTATGTGTGCTGTATGTGAGTTGGGGTCAGCTGCGGACTGGACATGTAACACTTGACAGCCTTTGACGAAATTGTTAGATTGGTTGAAAGTTTCTGTCTTGTTGCTTTCTTTTATTTGTCATTAGTACTTTGGTACATTTGAATTCTATCACTCTGAGTGACGGGTGGAATTCTTGTGTTAGTAAGCCTGTCTCTGTATTTTTCTGGCATTTGCATCTGCTATTGTGGTGTCATCTGTGCTGTCGAGTGTAACATTATTGCATGATACAAGTTAATCTTGCTCTCTTTTGATAAAAGTAAAACATCGAACCCAGCGGATTCATTATGATCATACCGCTACATTATGCTCATAAATTTGCAAATTCATAAAAAGATTTGCTTGCCTTCTGTTAAATGTTGAAGAAATTTTTTTTCCCTAAAAACAGTGCCTTAAAAGATTATCTATATGCAGACAAAAAATTAAGTGATCATGATATTCTGAAGATAATGTTATATTTCAGCTACCTGTTGATTTGACTTCCGCAAATATCAATGTTCACCTCTAGGTATTACCTTCACACGTATATCCTACATATATGAAATAGCCTGGGGAAGGAGCTGAACACTAGGAACAAGGAAGTGTAAATGCCATGTCACAATGTGTCACATAGTCATACAGGTTTTACTGATCTTTAGCCTTTAAGCCATATGTCCACTTATTTAACAAGGAAAGGAAGTTGGTAAATATATATATAGATCAGATCAATATATATACAAATTTGATAGTACTACATACAAAAATGTATAAATGCGTAGAATTTTCATATCAGTAATTGACAGAAGATTTGAAATATATATATTCTGGACATAGCTGATTAGTTCACTTGGTGTAGACTAGTACTGCTGATTACTTCACTTGGTGTAGACTAGTACTGCTGATTACTTCACTTAGTGTAGACTAGTACTGCTGATTACTTCACTTAGTGTAGACTAGTACTGCTAATTAGTTCACTTGGTCTAGACTGGTACTGCTGATTACTTCACTTAGTGTAGACTAGTACTGCTGATTAGTTCACTTGGTCTAGACTGGTACTGCTAATTAGTTCACTTGGTCTAGACTGGTACTGCTGATTAGTTCACTTGGTCTAGACTGGTACTGCTGATTAGTTCACTTGGTCTAGACTGGTACTGCTGATTAGTTCACTTGGTCTAGACTGGTACTGCTAATTAGTTCACTTGGTCTAGACTGGTACTGCTGATTAGTTCACTTGGTCTAGACTGGTACTGCTGATTAGTTCACTTGGTCAAGACTGGTACTGCTGATTAGTTCACTTGGTCTAGACTGGTACTGCTAATTAGTTCACTTGGTCTAGACTGGTACTGCTGATTAGTTCACTTGATCTAGACTGGTACTGCTGATTAGTTCACTTGGTCTAGACTGGTACTGCTGATTAGTTCACTTGATCTAGACTGGTACTGCTGATTAGTTCACTTGATCTAGACTGGTACTGCTGATTAGTTCACTTGGTCTAGACTGGTACTGCTGATTAGTTCACTTGATCTAGACTGGTACTGCTGATTAGTTCACTTGGTCTAGACTGGTACTGCTGATTAGTTCACTTGGTCTAGACTGGTACTGCTGATTAGTTCACTTGATCTAGACTGGTACTGCTGATTAGTTCACTTGGTCTAGACTGGTACTGCTAATTAGTTCACTTGGTCTAGACTGGTACTGCTGATTAGTTCACTTGATCTAGACTGGTACTGCTGATTAGTTCACTTGGTCTAGACTGGTACTGCTGATTAGTTCACTTGATGTAGACTGGTACTGCTGATTACTTCTCTTGGTCTAGACTGGTACTGCTGATTAGTTCACTTGGTCTAGACTGTTACTGCTGATTAGTTCACTTGGTCTAGACTGGTACTGCTGATTAGTTCACTTGGTCTAGACTGGTACTGCTGATTAGTTCACTTGGTCTAGATTAGTACTGTGTGCATGAATTCATATGATGGCATATCTGCTAACTTTCCCGATTCAGTGGTGATTTTCCTGATTTTAATTACCCAGCCCTCAGGACTCAGTGTACATGACTGATTGTTTCCTACCTAATCAGGGTACATGACTGACTATTCCCTACCTAACTATTGGTCAGGACGCGGGGTACATGGCTGATTGTTCCCTACCTAAATATTGGTCAGGACTCGGGGTACATGACTGATTGTTCCCTACCTAACTATTGGTCAGGACTCTGGGTACATGACTGATTGTTTCCTACCTAATCAGGGTACATGACTGACTATTCCCTACCTAACTATTGGTCAGGACACGGGGTACATGGCTGATTGTTCCCTACCTAAATATTGGTCAGGACTCTGGGTACATGACTGATTGTTTCCTACCTAATCAGGGTACATGACTGACTATTCCCTACCTAACTATTGGTCAGGACGCGGGGTACATGGCTGATTGTTCCCTACCTAAATATTGGTCAGGACTCGGGGTACATGACTGATTGTTTCCTACCTAATCAGGGTACATGACTGATTGTTCCCTACCTAGTCAATACCTGTAATTTAACCATGCCAGTCAATACCTGTAATTTAACCATGCCAGTCAACACCTGTAATTTAACCATGCCAGTCAACACCTGTAATTTAACCATGCCAGTCAATACCAGTAATTTAACCATGCCTGTAATTTAACCATGCCAGTCAATACCTGTAATTTAACCATGCCAGTAAATACCAGTAATTTAACCATGCCAGTCAACACCTGTAATTTAACCATGCCAGTCAATACCAGTAATTTAACCATGCCTGTAATTGAACCATGCCAGTCGATGCCTGTAATTTAACCATGCCAGTCAACACCTGTAATTTAACCATGCCAGTAAATACCAGTAATTTAACCATGCCAGTCAATACCTGTAATTTAACCATGCCAGTCAATACCAGTAATTTAACCATGCCAGTCAACACCTGTAATTTAACCATGCCAGTCAATACCAGTAATTTAACCATGCCTGTAATTTAACCATGCCAGTCAATACCTGTAATTTAACCATGCCAGTAAATACCAGTAATTTAACCATGCCAGTCAACACCTGTAATTTAACCATGCCAGTCAATACCAGTAATTTAACCATGCCTGTAATTGAACCATGCCAGTCGATGCCTGTAATTTAACCATGCCAGTCAACACCTGTAATTTAACCATGCCAGTAAATACCAGTAATTTAACCATGCCAGTCAATACCTGTAATTTAACCATGCCAGTCAATACCAGTAATTTAACCATGCCAGTCAATACCTGTAATTTAACCATGCCAGTCAATACCAGTAATTTAACCATGCCAGTCAATACCAGTAATTTAACCATGCCAGTCAATACCTGTAATTTAACCATGCCAGTCAATGCCTGTAATTTAACCATGCCTGTAATTGAACCATGCCAGTCGATGCCTAGAATTTAACCATGCCAGTCAATACCTGTAATTTAACCATGCCAGTCAATACCTGTAATTTAACCATGCCAGTCAATGCCTGTAATTTAACCATGCCTGTAATTGAACCATGCCAGTCAATACCTGTAATTTAACCATGCCAGTCAATACCTGTAATTTAACCATGCCATTCCTTAAGTTGGCATTATGAGTTAAAATTCAGATAAAAAAATATTTCACTCACTGAAGAGTTGAATAAGATTTCAAGCATGTTTGGTTCCCCCCCCCCCCCCCCCCCCCAGTAATTTAACCATGCCAGTCAATACCAGTAATTTAACCATGCCAGTCAATACCTGTAATTTAACCATGCCAGTCAATGCCTGTAATTTAACCATGCCTGTAATTGAACCATGCCAGTCGATGCCTGTAATTTAACCATGCCAGTCAATACCTGTAATTTAACCATACCAGTCAATACCTGTAATTTAACCATGCCAGTCAATGCCTGTAATTTAACCATGCCTGTAATTGAACCATGCCAGTCAATACCTGTAATTGAACCATGCCAGTCAATACCTGTAATTGAACCATGCCAGTCAATACCTGTAATTTAACCATGCCATTCCTTAAGTTGGCATTATGAGTTAAAATTCAGATAAAAAAATATTTCACTCAGTGAAGAGTTGAATAAGATTTCAAGCATGTTTGGTTCCCCCCCCCCCCCCCCCCTGAAAACGTGATTATAGCTGAATAGAAAGTAGCTACACTTAAAAAGACGAAAGGATCCAGACCAAATTTCCGTATTTGTATCTGTCTACAATTCTTATCTAAATATATATATAACAGTAAATATTTCAAATAAAATTCAATTATCATGGACCATTTTATCTAGATTAAAACATTTTGAATTTTATGGAAGAATTTTTTTCATTAATGATTGCTTTTGCCTCTTTCAACATTTTAATCAAATAATAGCTTAAAATTTCATGAGATGATTTTATATTACTTTTTCCATATTTCAATTAAACAAATTCTTTTAGAAGCATCATATTTGAAAATAAATATGTTTACTAACAATCAAACAGACATTCATAAATCTTAATATCTGTTATATTGTGCGAGTTCAATGAATACTGATAATTTAAATGAATAAATTCCAACTTGATCCCTACTTGTGAAAAAAAACCCATATTTTTTTCATTGTTATAGTTTAGCAAAGCAGGCACTTTATCAATTCAAAGTTGTCAAGATGTATTTATTAAATATCTATTAATCAATTTTTCCTTTGTGACAAATGTCCTGACATGCAAGGTATCGTGGTAAGTCAAAAATGTTGTTCACACACTTTTCTCTGCATCAGAATTTTGAAAAGTTGGCAGGTATGTGGTGGGGCATTAGGTGCCTATATGTTTTTCTTTCTACTTTTGCTCTTGAGATACTACAAGCCAAGAAGGACTCGCTGAATAAAGAGAAAATAATTTTGGAAATCCATCTGCTCAGATAAAGGGATTCCAAAAACCTGAGTAAAGCTTTGGATACAGGCCTCGGGAAACTTACTTACATGGTATTAGATAAGCAGGAAGTGAATTTGAAGCTATAGATATGTATTTTAAGTTTATATGATATGATGATGTGAGTTTGAACTTGTATATTTATGAGATAAGGACATGGTGTTGATGTGATATGAGTATATAGTGTCTGCCTTAAAAATGCTAATGTTAAGAGAATGAAATGGATTTGGATTATAGAAAACAAAATACTAGGAACCAAGAGCATCTTTGGATGATGGAATTTCAATTTTGTATACATGGAAGGGTTTTTCTTACCAGTTTAATTAAGGTTGGATAAGGAATATTTGTTTGGTTTCATGGTGGTATGAAAGAAAAACTGATTTGCAAGCTGAATGAATGCACATCCATGAATTTCTTAGATTCATTTCAAAAACAAAAATATCACATCAATGAATTTCTTAGATACATTTCAAAAACAAAAATATCACACAAATGAATTTCTTAGATACATTTCAAAAACAAAAATATCACATCAATGAATAGATATGATAATTTAATGAAGAATTATAACAATCACTACACATAACAGCTTGCAGGATATGAGTTGACATTATTTACAGCTAATTTGCAGCATTTTCAGTAATTCAAAATTCATTCATCAGTTGGCCCATCACATTTCAAGCAGAAATCATAGTAACAGACGATGGACAAAGGGGCTCAGTATATATGTGACAAGTGGTTGGTTTACATCATTATTTGGAAAGAGCACTGTTGGATTAAAAGCAGAAGTGATTTGTGACAGTAGTGAGTAGGAAAAGAGTTGCTAGCATTCTTGTGGTCCTGATACAACAGATAAAGTGTTTTTTAGATTCTCATCTAATTCACCATTCAGAAAATCATTGGCAGGCTTCGGAAAGCTAAAGACACCACTGAGATTGAAATCTATTCTGTTATTGGAAGTTGGACATAAAATTTATAAGCAGACTATGTTTTGATCTGGTGTTGTCATATTGCTTTTAGCCCGGAGTTCAAAATGTGTAAAAATATGAAATAACAGATATTTTGCCTCTGTTAGATCTGTTATTTATTCATTGTTTATTGTACATTGTAAGATATTTGAATTTCATGATGTTCACTTTTTTTTTGTTTACATCATTGAATGACAATGTTCAATGCACCAATTGAATTCCTGTCTTTCAAAAAATGAGTTCGACATGTACAAGGTGACATGTTGCAATTGACTCCTCCAATCATTATCAAGTGGGCAGAGATTGATGCATTTTTATTCATGGAGAAAGGAAAAGAAAAAATTGATGAAAGAAAAAATTGCATTTTGTGTTCAAATAATAAAAATTAATTATTGAATCTTATTCAAACTCCAGTTGAAGAAATAAAGCCCAAGTGGCAAATTATAAGGAAAATAAAGATGTTTGTAGTGTTCATCAACCAGTAAGGTTTGAGGTTTATCAGTTGTATTTCTTATATTCATAGATATCTATCACAGACCAACTGCATGAAAGACATTGAGAGACAAGTCAGTAATGAACAAGAACAGATTATATCAACAAATGACCAAGTGAAGAATGCTTTTTCCTGGATTGGCAGTAAGGCTCCTTGTTTTGGTATCAACGGCCACCAAGTTCAAGTTCTACAGCAACCTGATCAGTTTTATGAAACTTTAAAGGTAATCTGATCAATTCTAATTCAACCACCAAACAGAGAAAGAGTCTGATATTAGGAGTCAGTTCTTATTGGAAAGTGGAAATAAATATATCATTATGGTAGTTGTCTAACATCAGGTGTCATTTTGGTAGTTGTCTTACATCAGGTGTCACTATGGTAGTTGTCTCACATCATGTGTCACTATGATAGTTGTCTTACATCAGATAACACTATGATAGTTGTCTCACATCATGTGTCACTATGATAGTTGTCTTACATCAGGTGTCACTATGATAGTTGTCTAATATCAGGTGACACAATGATAGTTGTCTTACATCAGATAACACTATGATAATTGTCTAACATCAGGTGTCACTATGATAGTTGTCTTACATCAGGTGTCACTATGATAGTTGTCTAACATCAGGTGACACAATGATAGTTGTCTTACATCAGGTGTCACTATGGTAGTTGTCTTACATCAGGTGTCACTATGGTAGTTGTCTAACATCAGGTGTCATTTTGGTAGTTGTCTTACATCAGGTGTCACTATGGTAGTTGTCTCACATCATGTGTCACTATGATAGTTGTCTTACATCAGATAACACTATGATAGTTGTCTCACATCATGTGTCACTATGATAGTTGTCTTACATCAGATAACACTATGATAGTTGTCTAACATCAGGTGTCACTATGATAGTTGTCTTACATCAGGTGTCACTTTGATAGTTGTCTTACATCAGGTGTCACTATGGTAGTTGTCTTACATCAGGTGTCACTATGGTAGTTGTCTTACATCAGGTGTCACTCTGATAGTTGTCTTACATCAGGTGTCACTATGATAGTTGTCTTACATCAGATAACACTGATAGTTGTCTAACATCAGGTGTCACATTGGTAGTTGTCTTACATCAGGTGTCACTCAGATAGTTGTCTTACATCAAGTGTCAATATGGTAGTTGTCTAACATCAGGGGTCTCTCTGATAGTTGTCTTACATCAGGTGTCACATTGGTAGTTGTCTTACATCAGGTGTCACTCAGATAGTTGTCTTACATCAAGTGTCACTATGGTAGTTGTCTAACATCAGGTGTCACTCTGATAGTTGTCTAACATTAGGTGTCACTATGGTAGTTGTCTAATATCAGGTGTCACTATGATAGTTGTCTTACATCAGGTGTCAATATGGTAGTTGTCTTACATCATGTGTCACTATGATAGTTGTCTTACATCAGGTGTCACTATGGTAGTTGTTTTACATCAGGTGTCACTATGATAGTTGTCTTACATCAGGGGTCACCCATTTAGGTACAGATTTGTCAAAGCAAAACTGATCTTTCCTGACTATTGATGAGAAATCGTCATTTGATTTTTAAGAGCTTAAAATAAATAGTTGCTATTAAAACTATCTGTGTACCCATTAAATTTGTTACAATCTTGCAGATGAGAGTTAAACAGGCTAAGAAAAGAGTTGTGCTTGCCTCTCTCTACTTGGGGACTGGAGTGTTGGAACAAGAATTGGTATGTACTAAATATGTTTCTCAAACAAAGAAAGCAAGATTTATCATTTTCTAACAAATACATAGCAAGTTTTGATAGCCTGTTGTTGTTTCTCTGTACAGGTAGACAACATATAATCCAGAGGTCTCTCTAGGGTCCAAGAAATATGTAGAAAGTTTTAATAGCCCGTTGTTGTTTCTCCTTACAGGTAGACAACATATAATCCTGAGGTCTCTCTAGGGTCCAAGAAATATGTAGAAAGTTTTAATAGCCCGTTGTTGTTTCTCTGTACAGGTAGACAACATATAATCCGGAGGTCTCTCTAGGGTCCAAGAAATATGTAGAAAGTTTTAATAGCCCGTTGTTGTTTCTCTGTACAGGTAGACAACATATAATCCGGAGGTCTCTCTAGGGTCCAAGAAATATGTAGAAAGTTTTAATAGCCCGTTGTTGTTTCTCTGTACAGGTAGACAACATATAATCCGGAGGTCTCTCTAGGGTCCAAGAAATATGTAGAAAGTTTTAATAGCCCGTTGTTGTTTCTCTGTACAGGTAGACAACATATAATCCGGAGGTCTCTCTAGGGTCCAAGAAATATGTAGAAAGTTTTAATAGCCCGTTGTTGTTTCTCTGTACAGGTAGACAATATACGTGAGGCTTGCCTTCAAGCCAGAAGGAACAAAGATGAGAACTTTGAAGTGCATGTACTATTGGATTTTGTCCGTGGTTCACGAGGACATGACAATTCATCGAGAACAATGCTCACACCACTGTTAAAAGAATTCAAAGGAATGCTTCATGTTCATCTTTTCCATTCACCAAACTTGCGTGGTCTAGTCCGTTCTTTATTGCCACAACGATTTGATGAAATTGTTGGACTGCACCACATGAAGATGTACTTGTTTGATGATAGTTTCATCATCAGTGGGTAAGTTATTTTTATCCTGCCTCCAAACCCCAACTTAGAGGGTGGAGGTTATATGAGAAATATGATGATGGTCTGTCTATGACTATGTGAGGGTAGCATACTAGTCACCCCCATTGTTTGGTATCTTAATTGAGCTTTTTATCCCACTATCATAAGATGCTGTTCTGATAGCCCATGGCTGTGGTCCTTTATTCATTTGTCTGCCTCCCGTCTGTTCTTGTTATTGCCCTTTCGGGAGAAATCCTTCTTAATCCTTTTATGAAAATTAGCCTTGGACCATAATGGTGCCCATTCAACTTTCAGACTAGTCAGAAAAAATAAAATGGCTCAAGAGAGGCATCTTGGTTTTTTAGTGGTCATTTTGACTTGAACATCTTCTCAGCACCCAGATATTGGAGAAGTACTTTTCATGGATGGAATTATCTTCTGGCGCTTTACCAAAATTATGAATATCTTGACCTATGGGTGTAAAATGTACTATAGTTTATATTGGAAGATTACATTTATGAGTATCAATTGTTTAAATTTGGAAATAATCTAAATTACTATTTCTTATGAAGCGCTTGGTAGATAGAAGTTCATTTGTAAGTTCCTATTGGTCCATCCATAGTTGTGATTCTAGCTGGAGATTTAAAAGAATTTACCGTATTTCCTGGCCTATAAACCAGTTTTTAGCAATTTTCAACATTCACGAAGTATTAGCTGCACCAGGGTTTAAGCCGCACTCTTAATATGATTAAGGGCCAACCTGAGAGATGATAATATGTGATGCTTTTTCAGGGCCAACCTGAGATATGATGATGAAATGTGATGCATTTGCAGGGCCAACCTGAGAGATGATGATGAAATGTGATGCTTTTGCAGGGTCAACTTCAGTAAATGGAATAAAATGTAAATGCAGCAGCAGCGCAAACTCAGTTATGATGATAAAATGTAATGCTTTTGCAGGGCCAACCTAAGTGAATCCTACTTTACAGATAGACAGGACCGTTATATACTCTTCAATGACTGTGTGGAGATGGCTGACTTTTTCTCTGCCCTAGTGAAGGGTGTTGCAGCATCTTCTTTCATCCTCCACTCAGACAACACTGTCACACTCTCACCACACTGCAAGGCACATCCTTTTGATGGTTTGTTCATATCAGTTATACAACAATTGATTTTTATAAATTCTTCTGGGCAAAGATTAGAATTTCCTGGCAGGTTGTCCTGGATCTGTCATTCATATGTCTGTAAACAATATTGTGTTTTCATTACTACTCCAGCAACTGTTATTCATATGTCTGTAAACAATATAACTACTCATAACTAGGGCACTGATATAGATGGCTCTGCTTATGTGTAGGAAATAGTCTGTATAGTAGGTCTATGTAGTAGGTCCTAAAATGATGAGGACAAACCTCTGCTAGTGAGTAGGACATAGTCTATATAGAAGGTCCTAAAATGATGAGGACAAACCTCTGCTAGTGAGTAGGACATAGTCTATATAGAAGGTCCTAAAATGACGAGGACAAACCTCTGCTAGTGAGTAGGACATAGTCTATTTAGAAGGTCCTAAAATGATGAGGACAAACCTCTGCTAGTGAGTAGAACATAGTCTATATAGAAGGTCCTGAAATGACGAGGACAAACCTCTGCTAGTGAGTAGGACATAGTCTATTTAGAAGGTCCTAAAATGACGAGGACAAACCTCTGCTAGTGAGTAGGACATATTATATATTTAGTAAGTCCTAAAATGATGAGGAAACAGATACAATGACTCTACTAGTGAGCAGGACATATGATTTGACCCCTAGGGACTTTCATGCAGGGCCCCAAAAGGGGAAATCAGTCAATATTTTGTTTCAAAACACTACTTCTTTTTAATGCTGTAATGGATTTCAACCATATTTTTTCTGAAACATCATTGATATTGGAGAATCATTTCTTAAATTCAGAAATTTGATTTTACCCCTTGTTATTAGGAATGTCCTTTATCCACTTGAGAGGTCACAGGGGTCAAATATGTTGAAATGCTTAAAACTTTCTCTCAATAATGGAAAGGTTTGGGATGATATTATTATGCCTGAAGCATGCCAAGGGTCTTGATATTGGGCCTGTAGCTTGCTTTTTCAACAAGCAATACATTTGGAGTAATGGCAGTTGTATAGTGCATGTATAAAGAAAATGATTTCAAGTTTGTAAAAAAAATGTCTTGATGAACCAACAATGTCTTCTATCTTCTGTATAAGCTGTAGAGTAGTTGGGCAATTTATTTCAAGCCTACTTTGTCTCTTTCATATGTAGATCTTTATAGTCAGATGACCGTTAAGGCCCATGAGACTCATTTTACAATGAAGTTTGTTATCGCTATTTCTTGCGAAGTATTCAATTAGATGTCTCTTACTTTCCCTTAGTCTCTTCTTGTACCATTTTGAAGTGGGACTGATCAGGAGAAGCAAAATTGCAACCAGGAGGCCATCTTGGATTTTGACAAAGAAAAAATGTTACTGCTATTTTCGAGAAGTTCTGAATGGATCTTTCTCAAATTTCATATGTAGACCCTCTTGGTCCCTGGCTGCGCCCATTTGATTTTGCAAAAAACAGCTCTCAGGTGACCATTTTCTTAATTATTATTATTGTTATTTCTTAAAGGATTTTTAAAATTTCATATAATTAAGAGCATAAACAGAGGTAAGAGGAGAGATCCAACTTTCAAATAACAAATAAAGATTAATTAATGGTGGGTATCCCTCTGGGATCTTTTGAATCAGTATTTTATCTGTGTTCCCTGCAGTAACCTTTATGCAATACCTTTTAACTAAGCTTCACTTTCTTTAGTGTAAACAATACTGACTACTAGCTACTGTGCTATTTATAAAGCTAACCCTGAGTTTATGTAACTCTTCTTCCTTACCAAATTTTGTATACTTTTTTGTTGCCTTCTTTTTACCCCTCATTTGTTTTCTCCTATGACAACTCATTACCCAAGAATAGGGTTAGGGTTAGAGTTAGGTCCTACACTTGCATGCAGATATGATTATTTATGCATAAAATTTGAATTGTAGACAAAGATGATGGTGAGGGTTACAAGAAAGAGGCTCGTCAGAGAATCCTAGACATTGTTAAGAATCAGATGAGTGATGGTCAACTAGCTGGAGAGGGTGTAGATACGTGGGTATACCCTCTGGTACAGATGGGACCACTAGGGATCCAGGATGATGAACAGGTCATGAAACACATGTTCAGAAAAGCAAAGAAGGATGAAAAACTACTACTAGCATCTGGATACTTCAACTTGACAGAAGAATATATGCAGATAATTTTACAAGAAACAGATGCTGAATTCGACATATTAATGTCTTCACCAGAGGTATACAATCCTACGGTTGCCAACTCTTGTTGATGATAGGTCAAGGTCAAAGGTTATTATTAGTTATCCATTCTTTTGTGCAAACTGCCTGCAAGACAAGTGTGCATTGGCCACGGTAAGACATCTGTCCATTTGGAGTAAGCTGAACACTTGTTTTTGCTCCATAAAAGAAAAGCCCAGGGTAATGATACTAGGTTACTGGCATGCCAGAATGAAGGGCTACCAAGTGTATTCAAATGAATGGCCTTGACTGATTTTCATAAAGGTTGATAGTGTAAAACACTTCAAGTGATTTCATCTCTATAATAAAGAGTGCCTCAGGTATTAGCATTAGATGTGTAAAATGCAGAACGAAAGGGCACATCAAATTTGATGAAATTAATGGCCTTGTTCCACTTTAATGGTCACAAGGGCCAAATGTGTTAAAATCATTTCAATATTATAGATATTGATTGCTGTTTCCAGACAAATGGATTCTTTGGTGCAAAAGGTGTGTCAGGAGCTGTGCCTTACGTGTATGTACAGACTGCTAAGGAGTTTTACAACAGGATCTGTGAAGGGGACCAGGAGGCCCGTATAAAATTGCAAGAGTACTTCCACCATACTTGGTCTTTTCATGTGAAGGGCTTGTGGTACTATCTCTGTGATTCCAAGTATCCAGCAATGACCATTATTGGCTCCAGCAATTTTGGTAAAAAGCTTTTTGTGAAGACCTCACTTAAACAAAATTGTCATTATCAATGACATTGTAGCCGAGGTTTTATATTCCTAACCAAATGATGTGTTCTTTATAGCATACCATTTTAACTTACTTTAGGAATCAAACAATGTGTTCAGATACAAGGTTTTATAGTATTATTTTAATTCACTAGAATCAAAGTAATCAAATTATAGTTTGTGATGTTAAGTTTAATAATGTAATATTTTAACCCACCTTAGTCAAAGGAATTATGAGATTTGTTGTGATGTTAGGCTTCATCATATACATTATTTTAACCCACCTTAGTCAAAGGAATTATGAGATTTGTTGTGATGTTAGGCTTCATCATATACATTATTTTAACCCACCTTAGTCAAAGGAATTATGAGATTTGTTGTGATGTTAGGCTTCATCATATACATTATTTTAACTCACCTTAGTCAAAGAAATTATATGAATGGTTGTTGGATGATCTGTATTCAAGGTCACTGGGGTATGATTTGTTAAAACCTTTAATTGACTTCTCATGAACTTAAAAGGCCTAGAGGCATGATGTTTGACTGGTATGTTCCTGTAATGAAGCTTGACAAAGTTTGCAAAAAGAAATGACCTTGACTGATATTCAAGGTCAAAGGATTCAAATTTGTTAAAACATTTAGATGACTTCTTCTCATGAACTAAAAGGCCTAGAGGCATTATATTTGGCTCATATGGTCCTAGGATGAAACCCGACAAAGTTAGGGAAATAAATTGACATTGACTTATAGTCATCTATGAAATTTTTCTACTTTGTACAGCAATGGGACAAATTTTATCACAACTTGCAAATTACTATCCTTTTGGACTTTCATTCTCATAAGACTTTGAGAACATGATAACTTGAGTACATATAAACAATTTTGATGAAATCAGATATGCAGCCTTATATATATAAAAGATCTTGTACACATTCAGCAGTGCAATATATTTGGTTATAACTTACAGACTTGTGTCCTTTTCCAACTTCAGTGCCTCAGGTCCTTACCTATACAATAACTTCATTAAATTTAAAATTAAAAATTTTCTGGTATTGGATATCATGCCTTATGTTACTAAAATTCTTGGGAAAGATAAGCAATGGACCTAATTCAATCATAACCACCAGAAGAAGAGTACTGCCCCTTGTTGTTTTCATCGTGTTAAGCTTGTTGAGAAATCTGTATTTGGAAGAGTACTGCCCCTTGTTGTTTTCATCATGGTAAGTTTGTTGAGAAATCTGTATTTGGAAGAGTACTGCCCATTGTTTTCATCATGTTAAGCTTGTTGAGAAATCTGTATTTGGAAGAGTACTGCCCCTTGTTGTTTTCATCATGTTAAGCTTGTTGAGAAATCTGTATTTGGAAGAGTACTGCCCCTTGTTGTTTTTATCATGTTAAGTTTGTTGAGAAATCTGTATTTGGAAGAGTACTGCCCATTGTTTTCATCATGTTAAGTAAGCTTTTTGAGAAATCTGTATTTGGAAGAGTACTGCCCCTTGTTGTTTTCATCATGGTAAGTTTGTTGAGAAATCTGTATTTGGAAGAGTACTGCCCATTGTTTTCATCATGTTAAGCTTGTTGAGAAATCTGTATTTGGAAGAGTACTGCCCCTTGTTGTTTTCATCATGTTAAGCTTGTTGAGAAATCTGTATTTGGAAGAGTACTGCCCCTTGGCGTTTTCATAATGTTAAGTTTGTTGAGAAATCTGTATTTGGAAGAGTACTGCCCCTTGTTGTTTTTATCATGTTAAGTTTGTTGAGAAATCTGTATTTGGAAGAGTACTGCCCCTTGTCGTTTTCATAATGCTAAGATTGTTGAGAAATCTGTATTTGGAAGAGTACTGCCCCTTGTTGTTTTCATCATGGTAAGTTTGTTGAGAAATCTATATTTGGAAGAGTACTGCCCCTTGTTGTTTTCATCATGTTAAGTTTGTTGAGAAATCTGTATTTGGAAGAGTACTGCCCCTTGTTGTTTTCATCATGTTAAGCTTGTTGAGAAATCTGTATTTGGAAGAGTACTGCCCCTTGTTGTTTTCATCATGTTAAGCTTGTTGAGAAATCTGTATTTGGAAGAGTACTGCCCATTGTTTTCATCATGTTAAGCTTGTTGAGAAATCTGTATTTGGAAGAGTACTGCCCCTTGTTGTTTTTATCATGTTAAGCTTGTTGAGAAATCTGTATTAGGAAGAGTGCTGCCCGTGTTGTTTTTATCATGTTAAGTTTGTTGAGAAATCTGTATTTGGAAGAGTACTGCCCATTGTTTTCATCATGTTAAGTAAGCTTTTTGAGAAATCTGTATTTGGAAGAGTACTGCCCCTTGTTGTTTTTATCATGTTAAGCTTGTTGAGAAATCTGTATTTGGAAGAGTACTGCCCCTTGTCGTTTTTATCTTGTTAAGCTTGTTGAGAAATTTTTTTCTGTTTCCTGGACAGATGAAACACAAATATTGCCATTTAGGCTGAAGTAAACATTAGCTTATTTCTTTACCTTAATCAAGTAGTGAACATACAATATGTATTTGACAAGTTAATTCATATAGTGAGCCTGGATAATTTGTATCATATACAATTAAAAGTATATATATAATAATTCTCAAATCAAAAGTAATATCAAAAGGGAATTAGACATGTTTTCCCATTTCATCTGTATATTGTTGTCGTGGATATCTTTACATGTTAGGAACTCTTGAGACTTGGGGAAGTGAGGGGGTAAATATATCATGGTCTGTTTTTTAAAATCAGATATAACTGAAAGCTATAGAATATATTCCACACCTTGCATATTATAAGCTCTTTGTGATGAACACTAATTCTTGATCACTGTTGCAGGTCATCGATCTGTTTACCGAGATTTAGAGTGCCAAGCAGTTGTGGTGACAGACAATGCTTATCTTCAGAAACAACTCAAAAAGGTAAAACTTTGTTTCCTGCTACAGTTTCTACTCTTTCTACTACAGTTCCTGTTATTTCAATCGTTCCTGCCATTTTGAATTATCTGTATGTTCTCACAATGTTCCATACGTCATCTCTATATTTTCTCTAAATTTCCTGTATGCTATCAATATTATTGGAAAGTCTAAACATTCTCACAACATTCCACATTTGTTTGGAGTATCTCAACATTATTACAATATCCCTAATGTATTTAAGTGTTTTTAATTTCTCACAATATCACACAGGTTATCAAAGCATCTCAACATTATCACAATATCTTGTATAGCTATAGAAGTGTCTGTACATTCTCTCTATATTCCACTTATTATAGAAGTGTCTGTACTTTCTCTCTATATTCCACATATTATAGAAGTGTCTGTACATTCTCTCTATATTCCACATATTATAGAAGTGTCTGTACATTCTCACTATATTCTACATATTATTGAAGTGTCTGTACATTCTCACAATATCCCTTATGCTTTAGAGTATCTGTACCTTCTGTCACTCACATATATTTTCTTCTGTTGTTTCAAAGGAACATGAGGACTTGTACCAACGTTCATCCACTATTATAGAAGCAACCTTCCAGCAGCAGAACCGTTATGTTCCTTTGTGGGTAAAATTTGTTACCAGGACTTGTCGTACCTTTTTTTAAGCAGAACTGGGAGGATGTTTATGTCATCTTTTATTTTGTGATTTTTTAAATGGACATCTAAAGATGACAGTATACCATCAATCAGGTGCTAAAATTCTGATATAATCAAAACCTTTGTTTAAAAAACTAAACAAAAAATATGCAATTTTAACAAAGACAGATTCATTGAACCCATGATTATGTCATATCACAGTGGTGAACCATCTAGTCACTTGTTACTGACTCAGCTAGAGGTATGTCACAGTGGTGAACCATCAAGTCACCTATCACTGACTCAGCTAGAGGTATGTCACAGTGGTGAACCATCTAGTCACTTGTTACTGACTCAGCTAGAGGTATGTCACAGTGGTGAACCATCAAGTCACCTGTCACTGACTCAGCTAGAGGTATGTCACAGTGGTGAACCATCTAGTCACTTGTCACTGACTCAGCTAGATGTATGTCACAGTGGTGAACCATCTAGTCACTTGTCACTGACTCAGCTAGAGGTATGTCACAGTGGTTAACCATCTAGTCACTTGTCACTGACTCAGCTAGAGGTATGTCACAGTGGTGAACCATCTAGTCACTTGTCACTGACTCAGCTAGAGGTATGTCACAGTGATGAACCATCTAGTCACTTGTCACTGACTCAGCTAGAGGTATGTCACAGTGGTGAACCATCTAGTCACTTGTCACTGACTCAGCTAGAGGTATGTCACAGTGGTGAACCATCTAGTCACCTGTCACTGACTCAGCTAGAGGTATGTCACAATGGTGAACCATCTAGTCACTTGTCACTGACTCAGCTAGAGGTATGCCATAGTGGTGAACCATCTAGTCACTTGTCACTGACTCAGCTAGAGGTATGTCACAGTGGTGAACCACACCTTAGCTACAGGTGACTGCATGGTTTTCAGCTGTAGGTATTCTGCAGTGTTTAAACATAAAGTCAGTTTTTCCCTACTCATTTAGAGGTATGTGAAAGTGGTGTATCATGTAGTTACATATCTTGTTATAATTGTTATTCCTTGGCCTCTTGAAAAAGGTGATTTCTAATTTGGTCCCACCTGTCTCTTTCTGTATGAACCAATCATTAAAACAAGGCAGTTTCTAATTTGGTCCCACCTGTCTCTTTCTGTATGAACCAATCATTAAAACAAGGCAGTTTCTAATTTGGTCCCACCTGTCTCTTTCAGTATGAACCAATCGTTACAACAAGGTTATTTCCAATTTGGTCCCACCTGTCTCTTTCTGTATGAACCAATCATTAAAACAAGGTGATTTCTAATTTGGTCCCGCCTGTCTCTTTCAGTATGAAGCATTCATTATTACAAGGTGATTTCTAATTTGGTCCCACTCCTTTCTTCCATTGGCATTAACCAATTGTGAATGTTTGTTTTAAGAGACCGACACTTCATGCAAAGGAATTACAAATATGATTTCTGAAAATAAATAGATCTGAATACATGATGCAGGCTCAGTTGGCCACTTGTATTAAGGCAGCACTTCATTACAGATTTGTTAATCAAGAGACTTCTGTTGTTGTGATGCATAATTGTTTTTTTTAGGTTTTTGTAGCCTTCTGCTATTTCATGATTTAAAGATGATGTAAAAGGATGATCAGTATTATGGGTAAAAAAATATTTGTTACTTTGACAAGCAAATAGTTGTAAGTAAGACTCAAAGATAAGTCCTTGTTAATGAGACAGTGAGGGAAGTCCTTGTGAGACAGTTAAGGACATTCTTGTTATTGAGACAGTGAGGGAAGTCCTTGTGAGACAGTTAAGGACATTCTTGTTATTGAGACAGTGAGGGAAGTCCTTGTGAGACAGTTAAGGACATTCTTGTTATTGAGACAGTGAGGGAAGTCCTTGTGAGACAGTTAAGGACATTCTTGTTATTGAGACAGTGAGGGAAGTCCTTGTGAGACAGTTAAGGACATTCTTGTTATTGAGACAGTAAGGGAAGTCATTGTAAATGAGAAAGTTATAGAATTTTTTTGTTAATAAGTAGGAAATAGTTGTTGGTAAGACGCAAAGAGAAGTCCTTGTTAATGAGACAGTGGGGGAAGTCCTTGTTAATTAGACAGTAAGGAAATCCTTTCGAGACAGATAAGGAAATTCTTGTTTATGAGACATTGAGGGAAATCCTTGTGAGACAGTTAAGGACATTCTTGTTAATGACACAGTGAAGGAAATCCTTGTGAAACAGTTAAGGAAATTCTTGTTAATGAGACAGTAAGGGAAGACCATGTTAATGAGACAGAAAGGGAAATTTTTGTGAGACAGGTTAGGAAATTCTTGTTAATGAGACAGTCAGAAAAATGTTTTGTGAATGAGACAGTTAAGGAAATTCTTGTTTGTGAAACAGGAAGGGAAATTCTCATTAAATTCTTGTTTATGACACATTAAAGGATATCTTTGTAAGGCAGAAAAACACATTTTTGTTAATGAGACAGTAAGGAAGAACCTTGTTATTGAGAAAGTTAGGGAAATCCTTGTGAATGAGACTGTAATTGAAATTCTTGTTGATAAGACTGTAAGAGAATTTCTTGTTGATGAGATGAAGAGAAATTCTTGTAAATGAAACTGTAAGGGAAATCATTGTTAAAAAGCAAGACAGGGAAATTCTTGTTAGGGAGACAGGGAAATTCTTGTTAATGAGACAGGGAAATTCTTGTTAGTGAGACAGGGAAATTCTTGTAAGCTAGACACAAAAAAAATGTTTGTGAGACAGAAAGGGAAATCCTTGTTAATGAGACAGAAAGGGAAATTATTGTTAGCTAGACAAAAACATTCTTGTTAGTGAAATAGGGAAATTCTTGTTAGTGAGACACACAAATTCTTGTTTGTGAGACAGGGAAATCCTTGAAAGTGAGACAGAATAGAAAATTCTTGTTAGTGAGTTAGGAAAATGCTTGTTAGTGAGAAAGAAAGGGAAATTCATGTAAGTGAGATAGGGAAGTTCTTTTTAGTGAGAAAGAAAGAGAAATTATTGTTAGTGAGACAAAAAGGAAAATTCTTGCTATTGAGAAAGAAAGGGAAATGCTTGCTTCTGAGACAGAAAGGAAATGCTTGTTAGTGAGACAGAAAGGAAATGCTTGTTAGTGAGGCAGAAAGGAAATGCTTGTTAGTGAGGCAGAAAAGGATATGCTTGTTAGTGAGGCAGAAAGGAAATGCTTGTTAGTGACACAGAAAGGAAATGCTTGTTAGTGAGAAAGAAAGAAAATTCTTGTTAGGGAGACAGAAAGGAAATGCTTGTTAGTGAGGCAGAAAGGAAATGCTTGTTAATGAGGCAGAAAGGAAATGCTTGTTAGTGAGGCAGAAAGGAAATGCTTTTTAGTGAGACAGAAAGGAAATGCTTGTTAGTGAGGCAGAAAGGAAATGCTTGTTAATGAGGCAGAAAGGAAATGCTTGTTAGTGAGGCAGAAAGGAAATGCTTGTTAGTGAGGCAGAAAGGAAATGCTTGTTAGTGGGGCAAAAAGGAAATTCTTGTTAGTGAGGCAGAAAGGAAATGCTTGTTAATGAGGCAGAAAGGAAATTCTTGTTAGTGAGACAGAAAGGAAATTCTTGTTAGTGAGGCAGAAAGGAAATGCTTGTTAGTGAGGCAGAAAGGAAATGCTTGTTAGTGAGAAAGAAAGGAAATTCTTGCTAGTGAGAAAGAAAGGAAATGCTTGTCAGTGAGACAGCAACTAAATTCTTGTTAGTGAGACAGAAAGGAAATTCTTGCTAGTGAGACGGAAAGGGAAATTCTTGCTAGTGAGACAGAAAGGAAATGCTTGTTAGTGAGACAGAAAGGAAATGCTTGTTAATGAGGCAGAAAGGAAATGCTTGTTAGTGAGGCAGAAAGGAAATGCTTGTTAGTGGGGCAAAAAGGAAATTCTTGTTAGTGAGGCAGAAAGGAAATGCTTGTTAATGAGGCAGAAAGGAAATTCTTGTTAGTGAGACAGAAAGGAAATTCTTTTTAGTGAGGCAGAAAGGAAATGCTTGTTAGTGAGGCAGAAAGGAAATGCTTGTTAGTGAGAAAGAAAGGAAATTCTTGCTAGTGAGAAAGAAAGGAAATGCTTGTCAGTGAGACAGCAACTAAATTCTTGTTAGTGAGACAGAAAGGAAATTCTTGCTAGCGAGACGGAAAGGGAAATTCTTGCTAGTGAGACAGAAAGGAAATGCTTGTTAGTGAGACAGAAAGGAAATGCTTGTTAGTGAGAAAGAAAGAAAATTCTTGTTAGTGAGACAGAAAGGAAATGCTTGTTAGTGAGGCAGAAAGGAAATGCTTGTTAGTGAGAAAGAAAGAAAATTCTTGTTAGTGAGACAGAAAGGAAATGCTTGTTAGTGAGGCAGAAAGGAAATGCTTGTTAGTGAGGCAGAAAGGAAATGCTTTTTAGTGAGACAGAAAGGAAATGCTTGTTAGTGAGGCAGAAAGGAAATGCTTGTTAATGAGGCAGAAAGGAAATGCTTGTTAGTGAGGCAGAAAGGAAATGCTTGTTAATGAGGCAGAAAGGAAATGCTTGTTAGTGAGGCAGAAAGGAAATGCTTGTTAGTGGGGCAAAAAGGAAATTCTTGTTAGTGAGGCAGAAAGGAAATGCTTGTTAATGAGGCAGAAAGGAAATTCTTGTTAGTGAGACAGAAAGGAAATTCTTGTTAGTGAGGCAGAAAGGAAATGCTTGTTAGTGAGGCAGAAAGGAAATGCTTGTTAGTGAGAAAGAAAGGAAATTCTTGCTAGTGAGAAAGAAAGGAAATGCTTGTCAGTGAGACAGCAACTAAATTCTTATTAGTGAGACAGAAAGGAAATTCTTGTTAGTGAGAAAGAAAGGGACATTTTTGTAAGTGAGAAAGAAAGGGAAATTGACAGAAAGGAAATTCTTGTTAGTGAGAAAGAAAAGGAAATTCTTGCTTGTAAGACAGAAAGGGACATTCTTGTTAGTGAGAAAGAAACGAAAATTCTTACTTGTAAGACAGAAAGGGACATTCTTGTTAGTGAGAAAGAAACGGAAATTCTTCGTTGTAAGACAGAAAGGGACATTCTTGTTAGTGAGAAAGAAACAGAAATTCTTGCTTGTAAGACAGAAAGGCACATTCTTGTCAGTGAGACAGAAAGGGAA